TTTTTTTTAAATAATTAATAAGGAAAACAAACAATTATTTTCGTTACGTGGTAAATTTCGAATTATGAAGTGAAGAGATATTCCGCGTGCGGTTTAAACTTCCGGTCGAGAAACAACATATCGCCTTCTATATTATACCTTCGGAAATCTGTTTAGAAATCTTTAAGAAAGCGCGAACCATTGTGCCGCATCTATCGCGTACGATGAAAATGGCTTCCTGTAGTTCTTGAAGCACAATTGCATGCAGATCTCGACATGTTGTATTTATATATATATACGTTTTATTTACGATCCTATATATATATGATCATAGTTCGCATTTTCTAAGTGCAAGACTGTTAACCGAAGTAAATCGTCAAAGATTCCAAGGTTATCGATTTGAGGAAAAAACAATATTCCAGGATATGTGATTACAATTTTAAATTAGGAGAAATAAATTTTTTTACTAAAGAGAAAGAGGGAATAATTATGGAACACATGATTATCGCATAAAAATCATTAATTAGAATTTTTATTTTAAAGTATATTTTATTAGAAATAATGATTTTTTTTTAGAATTTTCAATTTTCGAATTAAAAATTAACAGATTTTTTATTTTATACGAAGTTTTAGTTGACAAAATTTTGAGTTACCGAATTTTTGTTTAGCAGTAAATTTACAGATTTTACAGTAATTTTCTTTACTAATTTTCATTTACTCTTTTTTTTTTTTATTTAAAAGAATTTTAATTTAACAAAATTCTCATTTAATCGAATTTTTAAATGATATAGTAATTCCAATTCACTGAATTTTAATTTGTACGAATTTTTAAGACACCGAATTTTTATTTGTCCAAAATTACAAAAATCGACAGAAAGATTTCGTTGCAATTTTAAAAATTTGAACGATTAGAAATTATATCAAGAAATCTTTCTGTCAATTTTTTGTTCGAACACTTTTTTTGTAATTTCGGACAAATAAAAATTCGGCGTCTTAAAAATTGTATTAATTAAAAATTCCTACAAATAAAAATTTGATGAATTGGAATTTCTGCCATTTAAAAATTTGAATTACAAAAATATTCGAGAATTCTGTTGAATTAAAATTCTATTAATTAAAAATTCCTACAAATAAAAAATTCGGTGAATTCGAATTTCTGCCATTTAAAAATTCATGTAAATTAAATTAACTATAAAATAAAAATTCTGTTAAACTAAAATTCGGTAGCTAAAAATTTTGTTATGTAAAAATTCGTATTAAAAAAAAAAATTCTGTCAAATACTAATTTAAAAAATGAAAATTTGTCTAAAAAATAAATATTTCTAATAAAATTCTCTAAAATAAAAATTCTAATTAATAACTATTATGGGATAATAATGCGCCCCATGTTAATAATAATAATAATAATAATAATAATCTTCTGCAATTTTTCTTCAAAAATATTCTGACAAAAATAAGATTATTTGCAAGGAAATTAAATTATCGCGGTAAAATGTGAACATTTGTAAATTTGATAAATATTTTCTTTGGCTAAACGTGTTTTTAACTACGTGTTAGTTATAACCGAACTTGTTATTATCAACATTTAATCGTGCAATAATTGAAAAAGTAAAAGTAGAAATTACTATTCGTTTTCCTCATCATTAATTAATAATAATTTAAATCGCATTTTACATCGATTATTTAATAGACTTCATAAAATTGACTTTTAAATTAAAAAAAAAATTAATTTTTTTTTAAATATATAATAAATTTAATATTGATGAATTTAGTTTGAATAAATTTGGTATTTAAAAAATTTGCAAATTGAAATATCAAAAAAAAAAAAAAATTCAAAAATAAACAATGTTTCTTAAAATCGCTTAATATTTGCGATTAAATTGCGAAATTTTCTTTGCTTAAATTTTTGATGATATTTTTGGCTCACAATTTTGACAGAAGAAATCTATTTATGTGACATTATTATTTATCATTATTATTACTATTATTTAGCAACAATATTACTTAAGATTACTAATTTATTAATATTAGTTATATGTATAAAAACATAGAAGTAATAGTAAATTATTATTTTTTTTTTTTAGAAATTCTAGTTTTTGCAATACCTTTTCCTAAAATTGGAAAATATAGAAATTCTTTAATTTCATATTATATTCGATATTAATATTGAATATATTAATATTTAATATTGCAAAAAAAAAAAAAAATTGCATAAATTTGTAATTCACAAATTTAATGAATATTTTCAAGAATTGCGTTACAAGAGTGTTTTGCAAAGTTCTTTCTTTTATAATATATTTAAATAACGTTCTCTTCAATTTGTATTCTGATTTCTTTTATTGGCAAAAATCTATAATAACTGTTATTAATTTATTATTTGAAAGTTGAAGGATTATTTCCTAAGTTTCAGAAATTATTCGCTGTTTATAAATTGTGTCACACACACACACAGGTGTAGATTTTTGACAACTCGACAACAATTTCCTCATTCCTATGTGTTAAATTCTGTAATTTGATTCTTGTCGTTTTGCTTTTTTGTTGCAACAAACATCAAAAATTATTTCTTCAATGAATTTCAACACTGAAATAAAATGTCGACATTTGACAATTAAATTCTTGGTATTCGAAATTTTTGTGCTTTTTTTCACTGTGTTTACAAATTATTTACATTTATTTCACAAAATTATTTACATTTTTACAGAAAGAAATTGTTTCTTTATTTCTCGCTAACATGCGAAGTGAAAGTATAGGGGCGATGTGTGAAAAAAAAATTGATCAAAATTTCTCGCGTGTAAATTACGATTTTTTTCAGTAAAGAATAAAAAGAATATCAGTTCGTTTTTTTTAACTCTTGTATAAATATTTCAAAATACATACATGATTTCTATATTCTGACTTAAATTCTTGAATAAATAAATCCCGCGTCATTAATCAAGTCTTGGCTTCTTTGCTCGTAGACTAATTTTGGAAAAGTCGTTTTATTTAATATAATTTTCTGTGTGGGGAATTATAAATTTAATCTAATGAACGAGATGATGATTATTATTTTTATGAGTGTTATCGTTTAATTTGATAAAAAAAAAAAAAAAAAAAAATTGTTTCCAGAAATTATTCGTTTATTTTGCAGAAAAATTCTATATTATCTTTCTGTTTTTCCGTTTGTAGCTTCTGGAAAAATAAGGAAAAAATTCGAGACAAAAAAAAAGAATACTTTTGAAATTGAATCGTCGATAGGAAAAATGTGAATTATTTTCAGAAATCTTTTTTTTATTCGAAGAATCAATTTTTCAAAAAATTAATTTTTTTTTAAATATTCAGATGTTTTTATTTCTTCTTGAAAGATATTTTAGAAACAAGTTCTCTAATTGGCTAATATTTTTGTGACAATTGCTAATTTGTACCTGTGATAATGAAAGGGTTTTTGAAAAGCGAAAAAAAATTGAGAATCGAAAACTCTTGCCCTTGTTTTCAATTTCATGATTTCCGAGTATGATTCATCAGGTCATATAGATTAACCACGTGCTCATTGCTAAAATAAATCCACATTCTTGATCTAAGGAAACAATTAACCTGTTTTTTTTTTCAAAGAAAAGCAATCTTAAATACACATTCTCGACCTTATTTTGTAATTTTAATTCGATTGGAGATAATAATTATTTTCAATTATTACGATACTTTATTATTTTAAGATTAAAGTTCTCTTCTTTATTTATTTAATATTTTTAATTATAGTATTTAATTTTTTTTATTATAGTATTTTATTTAATTTATTTATTATAGTAATTTTATTTTATTTATTATAGTATTTAATTTTTTGATTATAGAATTTTATTTTATTTTCGCAATTTATCTTTTTTCAGGTAACGATAAATAAAGCAAAAAGAGGATGAAGAAGTGATATGGCGCTTCTTTTTTTTTTTAATAATCGAAAGAGAAAAAAAAACAAGCTCAAAGAATTCCACGAGAGAGTTGTTGGGTCCTCGTTTTACGAAACGAGATGATTTGCAATGGTTCTGTATTCGTCATCTTTTGGCTGAAAGCCCAACTTTAACCCCGTTAAACCAAAAGGAAGCTTCGGCCAAAATCTCGACTTTCATCGCTCGAGATTTCGATATTTTGTAGGGAAAAAAAAAAAAAAAAATTTCCTTACAAACTGTCTTTTAGCGACAGTTTACATTTATATTTTCCTTCTTCTTTCTCTTCCTCTCTCTTTCGATTATTATACCTCATGAATTTGCGGTTGCTTCTTCACTATTTTTGCTGAAAGCAAATTACGTTCCAACTCTTGAGTTTTTATCGTATTTCATCATTTCCGCTTATGAAATTAAATATTTCTAAAATACTCGATTTACTAATTTTTTTTTTTTTTTTTTCTAATAAGAATTATTTTTTTTTCGATTTTTAATTTAAATAGAATCCTTGGTTTAATAAGTGTCTTGTTCATGAGAACGACTTTGAATTCTCACGTATAAGTTTCTGAACAAATCACGTTTTCAGATTCGTATCTTGTTTAAAGCAGTAGCAAGAATGTCTTGCTATTCAACAATGTCTTATTATCCGTGAAAATCAGCAACATTCTAGAGCGACCGACTTTTATAGAGACATAATAGTTATTAACATCTTTCTCTTTCTATATAGATTAATTGAAATCTCAATTATTAGAGGATAATAAAAATAAGATCATTATTTAGTAAATTATTTTTCTCTTATTTTTGAAATAAAACAAAATTTCGATTTTTAAAATTGCAAAAAAATAGTTTTTTTTTTTTTAAATTCGAAAGTGAAATTCGATTAATAATATTCGTTATTAATTGTATATTTTAGAAACTTTTGATAAAGTAAAAAGTTGAATTTCTTGAAACACCACTTAACAATTAATCGACCTCGTATTTTAACCATTAGTAGATAAATATACTTATGTGCAGTCGAGCAATAATTGAGAACCGCAATTTAGCCGCATAGTAAACTATAGCGAGTGAATTAGCATTTTCTCAAGAATCATGTATTTCCTTGTTTTTCAGGTCACCCACAAAGTAACTAGTCAGGTGATGGTCCTGAAAATGAACCAACTTCCGGCCAACAGACCTAACATGCTCAAGGAGGTCCAGCTGATGAATAAACTCAGTCACCCAAATATTCTAAGGTATCAAAATTTAATCACAAAATTATAAATACAAAAAAAATATCAAAAAAATACAAAATTTATATAATTAAATTCACACGTACTTGAATATTTAATTTAGTATTATATATTTTGTATTAAAACATTATTCTATAGAAAATTAATAATTTTTAATTAAATATGATTTATTTTGTTTATTATGTTTTTTAGTCAAATAATATTTAACTAGTGTTCGTGCAATATCTTTGATTCTGCATATATGATAATTAAATTCATAAAAACAATTAACCGTTCTACTTACTGAGAATATGATGAGCGAGCATTTTTTTTCCTTCCTATAAAAAAAAAACGTGACGATTATAAAAAGGCAGATTTTTTTTTTACGCGATTTCAAAATCTTAAAATGTCAACTGCATTTCTCCAATTTTTTTTTTTCTCTAATTAAAGCCTGACATTTTTGGTCCTGAAATATCAATATAAAATCTTGAAATACACGTTTCTAATTTATTACACACACAAGAATTAAACTGAAAATAAATTTTTATTAATTATTAATTCTGTTTTTAATTTTTTTTTTTAATTATCTTTGAAAAAACAAATTTTTTTCTTATTAATTTCAATTCCTTGAAGATTATAAAATTATAAAATAATATATATATTAATAAAATGCTTGGTCTGTCCTTCTGTCCTAACTTGAAGTTGGCCTTTTCTGATTTCACGTGTTTTTTTTAATAGTAATCTTATGACGTGTCAAATTTTGACAATTCTTTTTCCCATTTTTGCCAAAGTTGTATAATTGTGTTTCCAAATTTCGGAATAAGTTTCTTTAAAATTCCAAATTCGAAAATTCAATTCACAAAACTGAAGTACACAACGTTTACGAACGAAATTGTTTTTAAAGTTGTATATTGATTCAAAAATTGTATACAAATACAAAAAATTTATGATGAGAAAAAAGATGCGCGAGGAAATTTCGTACAAGATAGTAATTTGAAAAAAAATTATTTTTAAGGTATCAGGGGCCAACGAATACCTATTAAATATTAATTATAAAAACACAGGCCTCGAATCAACTTAAAGACACAATAAGTCGTTTTAGTCAATTTATATTCCAAAAAAAGTGGATTTGTTTTTTATTTTAACAAAAATATTTTACAGATTTTTAAATAAAAATTTTTTTTTAATAATAATCCTTTTCGGAGGGTTAAAGTTGAAATTTTTAGAAATAATTAAATTTCAAAAGATATTGTTAATTTTAAAACAATTATTAAATTTTACAGAACTAAAAATAATTTATCAAAAAATTTTTGGAAAACATTTTTTAAATTTAATTGAATTTTCAAAGATTTAAAATTGAGATTTTTGAAATTAATTGAAACTTTAAGTGATTTGTAATTAAAATTTTAGATGATTTTACTAAAAATTTATTAGAAAATGAGGACAAAATACAATAATTTGAAAATCATTTTTAATTGAAAAATGGTTTCAGATAGTTGAAATTTCAAAGAATATTATTAAAACAGTTAAAAATAATTGAATTTCCTTAGAGTTATAATTGAAATTGTTAAATTTCAAAAAAAAAAAATTTTCGATGAAAAATTTTAGAAATAATTAAATTTTAGATGCTTTTAAATTCAAATTATTGAAAATTCAATTAATTTTGAATTCAAATTTTTGAGAATAATTAAATTTTATTTGATTTTAAATTGAAAATTTTTGGGAAATAATTGAATTTTAATTAAAATTTTGAAAATAATTGAATATTAGTTGATTTTAAAACCACAATTTTAAGAAAATAATTGAATTTCAGTTTATTTTGAATTGAATACTTGGAAAACAATTGAATTTTAGTTGATTTTGAATTGAAATTTATGAAACTAATAAAATTGAAATTGAAAATTTTTAAAACAATTGAATTTATTTGATTTAGGATTGAAAATTTTTAAAGTAATTCAGTTGAAATTTGGAAAATAATTGAATTGTAGTTTATTGTGAATTGAAATTTTTGAAAATAATTGAATTTTAGTTGAATTTGAATTGAAAATAATTGAATTTTAATTTATTTTGAACTGAAAATTTTGAAAATAATTGATTTTCAATTGACATTTTGGAAAATAATTGAATATTTGTTAATTTTGGATTTAAATTTTAGAAAATAATTGAATTTTATTTTATTTTAAATTGAAAACTTGGTAAATAATTAAATTATAATTGAAAATTTTGGATAATTATTGGATTTTGAATTAAAATTTCGGGTAATAATTGAATTTTAGTTTATTTTGAATTAAAATTTTTAAAAAATAATTCAATTTTATTGTGATATATTTTTTTTTAATTATAAACAATTGTTAAATTTCATAAAAATTTTAATTAAAAAATAATTTTGATATAATTGAATTTGTGATGTATTTCATTAAAATTATTAAAAATAATTAATTTAGTGAAGAATCATTTTAGTTCAAAATTTGTTAAATAATTGAATTGAAGAAGATCTGAAGAAGATCTGGATTTTATACTAAAAAAAATGTATTTTATTTACATTTTTTTTCAAATGTAAAAAGAATTTCGCATTTTACTAAAATAAGTCGATAAAAGTGGTATTTTTGAAAAAAGTCGGAAAAAGTCGTATAATCCGAGACCTGTAAACATATAATTTTCATTATTATCATTTAATATGTAATAATATTCTAATAAATTAAATTATTATTGATAATATTAATCTTTAATTTCTTTATAACAAACAATTAAATAACCAATTTGGCGCGCTTGCGCGCGTTTAATTTTGCTAATTATAATTATAAAATTATAAAATTTCCTTGGATTATAAAATTGAAAGGGATATTTTCTAGAAAAACATTCGGTGAAATGAAGCGATAAATAAATATATAGGTAAATCGTTCTCAATTGACAATTTTTTTTTGACAAAATAAATTTATCGATTTTCTCATTACGATTAAATTCAATTTTCAATGAATTTTTGTTTGAGACGACAAAAACGTTTACTAATTGGATTTCTCATTCTCTCGAGGCCATATGTACTTTTAAGCTCTCCTTATCGTGAAAAAAAAAGAAAAAGAATTTACAGCACACTTCTCGCAAATATTTGTAAAGCATCGGTGTAGGTCTCTCTCTCTCTCTCTCTCTCTCTCTCGACATCAACGATATGAGGATTATAATTCACCCGCTTTCAAACTAGACGGTATTATTTTTATAAAAAGTTCACTGCGCTCCTCGTTCTCATTTCTGAAGAGAGCTTCATGTAAAAATTCACTCTCATGCGTGAACAGCACTTTGCTTTCCTTCGAGCTCTCTGTTATTTACATTCTTAAATTTCACTTTAAAAAAAAAAAAATAAGAAATAATTCTCACGATTATTGGTTTTAATTTATAAAGAAATTCTTAATTCTATTTCAGAAGTTTGAAGATTCGAAAGTTTGTTTCTATTTTACGTTTCTCTGTAAAAAAAAATTTGGCATTTTTAAAATTGACAAATATGAAATTTGTTCAAAATTTATATTGTACAGATTTTTAAATTAATTTTTTTTTTATTGAATTGCAAAAGATTTTAAATTTGAAATAAATTTTCTACAAATTTAAATTGCTGTAGTTTTTTCTTTTTAAATTAGGATAACAATTCAATTTTACAGTTTTTATTTGAAACTTTTTTAACTAATTGAATTTTTAAAGAAATATTAGGAATTATTAAAAATAATTGAAAAGAAAAAGAAAGTACCATAACGCTAAATTAAAAGAAAATAATATAATTAAATTTTTTTATTCAACAGATTTATGGGAGTTTGCGTCCACGAGGGTCAATTGCACGCCCTTACAGAATACATTAATGGAGGAAGTTTAGAGCAGCTGATAATGTCAAAACAAATACGATTGCCACATTTAATAAGAATGAATTTGGCACGCGATGTAGCGCGAGGGATGTCCTATTTACATAGTCGAGGAATTTTTCATCGTGATTTAACATCGAAAAATGTTCTTATAAAAAAAGATGAAAATTCCGGTGATATGAGTGCTGTTGTTGGGGATTTTGGTTTAGCAGCTAAAATTCCCGATCCAAATTCTGGCTATCGATTGAGCACTGTTGGCAGTCCATATTGGATGTCACCAGAATGTCTCAAGGGTCAATGGTACGATCATCGTTCCGATATATTTTCATTTGGAATTGTTGTCTGTGAATTAATCGGTCGAGTGCCCGCTGATCCTGATGTTTTACCACGCTCGGATAATTTTGGTCTCGATTATTTAGCAGTCGCTGAAATTTGTGCAGCTGCCGATCCACCACCTGCCTTTTTACAACTAGCCTTCCATTGTTGCACGGTAAATATATATTGACAATTTAAAAATTTTTTTTTCCACTAATATTGATTTTTTTTTTGCAGTATGAACCAAAATCACGACCAACATTTCCGGAGATTGTATCGACACTGGATAATTTAGTTGCAAATTACGAGGAGGAGAGTAAGGGAAATAAAACTGATTCTGGTTTAATGTCAAGTGTTGAGGAAATTGTACGTGAGGGACGATCAATGAAAAGAAGAGCGGTGAGATTAAGAAGTCATTCGGCGGATGCTAGGGGTTGTGATAATGCAACGCCTTCCGATAAGGCGAGATGTCATTTAACGAGAAGAGTCGCTGAACTTGCGAGTAGAAGAGATCCACATTATAGACCAATGACTGCAAATCCATTTCATGCATTGGGTGGTGTTAAGAAAATACTTGGTGATTTATTTTCAAGTTGTTTGGAGCTACCTAGTTTGGAGGATGTACGACCAAGTTGTACCGATGGTGTCAATTCTTCTAAATTTAAACCCGCTCAAAATGACAGCATTGCAAAAATTCTCGAGAGAAAGAAACCAAGCTCCGAGCCGAGTAGTCCAACAGCTAGAAAAAAATGGGAAAAAAAGGTAATTAAATTTATAATATTCTTTGAAAAATTCAATTATCTGAAAGTATTTTTCAAATTAAAAACTTTTAAAATTAAATTTTTATCTATAATTTCTAATATTATTCAGCAACAGAAATTACCAAAAAAAAATTTTAATCAAAAATCACCTGAAGTTCAATTATTTTCAAAAATCTGAATTTGTAAATCTTTGAAAATTCAATTATTTTTAAAAACGGTTATCTAAAATTATTTCAAATTTTGAAAAATTTAATTATAGTCTGATATTTAGTAAAAATTCTTTGAAATTTAATTATTTAAAAAATCTGAATTGTAAATCTTTGAAAATTCAATTATTTTTAAAAACTGTTATCTAAAATAATTTATCAAATAATTTATTAAATAATTTTAGATATTATTTTTTAAAAATAATTGAATTTTCAAAAATTTACAATTCAGATTTTTTAAATTAATCCAATTTAAATTGACTTTTAATTGAAATTTTTGATTATTTCTGTTAAATTTTTATCTATAATTTTTAATATTATTCAGCAACAGAAATTACCAAAAAAAATTTAATGAAAAATCACCTGAAGTTCAATTATTTTATTTATTTATTAGTAATTACAGACAAAAATTAAATTAAAAAATTTTTAATTGCAAAATGCTTGTATATAATTGAATTTTTAAAGAAATAATTAAAATTTTGAAAAATAATTGAATTTTGGAAGAGTTACAGTTGAAATTAAATTATTTTTAAAAAATTTCAACTAAGTTTTCCAAAATTCAATTATTTTTAATAATTCTAATATTTCTTTAAAAATTCAATTAGTTAAAAAAGTTTCAAATAAAAACTGTAAAATTGAATTGTTATCCGAATTAAAAAGAAAAAACTACAGAAATTTAAATTTGTAGAAAATTTATTTCAAATTTAAAATCTTCTGCAATTAAATAAAAAAAAAATTAATTTAAAAATCTGTACAATATCAATTTTGAACAAATTTCAAATTTGTCAATTTTAAAAATGCCAAATTTTTTTTTACTTAATTACTTAATTAAAAATTTGAAAATTTACGTCTTCAATTCGAAATAAATATTCTTGATATTTTTTTTTAAATTTATTAAAATCTGGAAAAGAATTTTTAACATGGAAAAGTCCTGGAATTTTATTTGAAAAAGGTGCTAGACACCCTGAATATTAGAATAAAAATTAGAATAAATAAAATAATAAATTGAATTTGAAATAAAAATGAATTGTTTCTGTTTTTAGGTTGCTACAAAAGTCGGCGCTGCTTGTCTATTTGCACATCCACTATTCAGAGATGGATGGGAACCAAGACGACGTGGAAGTTGTGAATCAGGTTTTTGGAGTTGCGTTGGCGAAGATTTAAGTCCAGAGCCACCAAATCGACGACATGCATCAACATTAAGTAGTTCAGCAGCAAGTAGTTTATTTCTTCTCGATGATCATAGAACAAGTTCAATTTACACTGATTCCTCGGAGGATATTGCAAGTTTAGGTGGTGGTGATTCATGTTGGGAGGATAGATTAAGTGGTATTGGATCGACAAGTAAAACAATATCAAAAATTGTCGAATATTTCGAGAGAAAACAATCGACTGGAGGTAGTTTAAAATTAAGTGATCATGGATTCGATGTGGGTCCTAATCGAATGGCTTTATTGCGAGCGAGCTTAGAGGGATCAATGCCTTTTTGCAATATTTCGGCGGCTCAACGACTTGTTGTTTGTGAAGGCGCTGTTAGAAGTAAATTGCCTCTTTTTGATAAAAAATTATGAAACAGATTTTTCGATGCTTTGTAATTTTTTTTTTTTTTTTTTTTTAAACAGTAATATAGCCAATTGATCATTACAGTAATTGATTACAACTAGTGATAAATTTAAAAAAAAATCGATACTAGTGTAAAAAATTACTGTTAGTTGATAAAAATTTTATTCATTACCAAAAAAAAAAAAAAAAAATGAGCCTGTTACGCATAAAAGGAAAGTAAAAAAAAAATGCTCATAAATTTAATTGACTGTGATGTTACTTTTTTACGACTCAAACGTATTTCTTGAATTAAATTCCAAATGTGAATTTATTTATTAACAATGGGGATATATAGAACTTTTATGCGCAACATGCAAGTGATCTGCAGCATTTTTCTTTTATTTATTAAAATTCTAATTTAATTTATCTTCTTTTTTTTTGAATTTTTCAATAAGTTATCTGCAGATTTGCAAAATGTGTGCTACTTTTTCTTTATTTCGAGTTGATTCGCCGTAATATTGTAAATGCATTGAATTAGATAGATTCATTCTATTAGGAAATAATGAATTCTCAATTTGCTTTCCGTTAGATCCTACCTCGATTTTAATAACGTTTTAGTTTTACACTTTAGCGTCAAAACAGTGTCAAATGTCAAATGTCTTCGTAAATATAAAAAAAAAAATCTTCCCTATAGGCCTATGTTACACATTTCACAGGGTCTAAAATTTAACCAAATTTTCTTTTTTTTAAGTTAAATTCTTTATTTTCCTGTTTTCTATTCCTCGGAAGTGAAATAAATTTTATTTACAAATTATTTATTTAAAAAAAAAAAATCAGAGTAAAATTTTATTTATATATATTTAAATTTTTATTTAATAAAATGTATGAAAAATTGAAATTTAGACCCTGTTATACCTATCAATTTCATTAAAAATTGGAATTGTCTCCCTCCCCCCTTTAAAAAAATCCCTTCCAATTCTCCACGCGAAGTGCAAAAAAAAAGTATTGTGTTCGATTCGATATATTTTCGAATCAAAGAGACAAATAAGTATATTTTGTTGTCAGAGAGACGCATCCCGTGTATTTTTATCGGTGTGAAATTTAAAAAAAAAAAAAAATACTTCGACCAGAGAGATTGCCAAGGTAAAAAAAAAGAGAGGATATAATATGTAACTGATCTAGTCAGTGTATTAATGAGGCCTTATATTATAAGTATTTAACAGCTTAAGGAAAAAATAAAAATAGAAAAGTACGATGAAGATTCATCAACAAAAATAATAATAATCACAACAAAAAAAAAGAAATTGAATTCGAAGGAATTGTCTTATACTAATTTATAAAATAGAAACCGAACCGAGAAATTCAGAAATAAAGCGAAATTAATTTATACAAAATAAAAAGAAAAGAAAAAATAGATTAATCAAATTATGCAAAAACAAAACTTTGCCACTGAAAAAACTCAATAATTATTCCGTCGTACTGTTTTTAGACAAATTGTACCAAATTTTTACTAAGCTAATAATAATATTAATAATCTATAATAATTAATCGTTAACTGTTTTTGATCGTGAAGAGTTCGGTATTAAAAAAAAAAGAAGCGAACTTACGTCAAATAAGACTGCGTGTTTTACTAAAATATATATATAACTGAAAATTTATTTTTAGTATTCGCGCTCCTTCGAGCCACTAGAAAAAAATGTGGTGTTAATAAATCCAATTGATTTTAAGTTGATTATAGATTTTTTTTTCAAAAGCGGGCATTTTCAAAAAAAAAAAAAAAGCTGGACATATCAGGAGTGAGCATATCGAAGAGAGAAAAAAAATGCATTGTTAAAAAAAAGAATTTAGGTATTGAAAGCAAAAAAAGAATAGATTGTAAAATTTATTTTTAAAAATCGCCTCTTCCATACAGTTTTTTTTTTCATCTGTTGTATATATTCAAATTTTTTTTATTTTCAAACCTGGCTCTTTGTTGGAGACTCCTGTGCATGGTATTTACAAAATATAGATTTAAAAATATTATTGTTTCAACGTCCCAAGCGTTTTCGGTTTCGTCCTTCGCTTGTTTTTTTTGGAATGAATCGACACACGCGAATGACGAATATCTATGACGGTACTAGTTTTTAGAATTATTACAATAACAACAATATTATTAATCAATAACGAACGAACATAAAAAAAACAGATAATTTCAGCGAAGCTATATATATATAATATATATATTATATTGTAAAAATTCCTATATACAAGAGAAAATAAAGTTAAGGGCTCCCAGTTTTTACGAAAAAAAAAAACAATCTCACTTTTTTTTGTTACATCCATAAAAAAAAATTTTCTTTCGTCAATAAATACTCTCAAAAATATGAAATTAAATAATTTTTGATTTTTTTCTTTTCATAAAGAAAAGTTATTTTTTGTATTAAATTTCTTCTTTTTTTTCAAAATTGTATCAATTTATAAAAAAAATATCTTAATTAAAACTTACGTAATCAGTCGTATTTTTATATATTTAAAAACTTAATCACTATGTGGAATTAAAAACCTGATTTTTTTCAAGAAAAAAAAAATAAAATTCAACGATCTCGTTCGGCGAGGGATTTTGAAATGCCAAGATCCTCTTCTGGAATTAATGGAATATATCGAGTTCGTGGATCATTTTTACGTTCATAGACATAAGGAAAAAGAACTGATCTCCCCTCGGGTGATTCAATTTTACTTGAAACTGTTGTCTGTGCAATTCTTTGAATATGAGTTGAAGATTTACTATTTTTTTCTTCCAAATTTGTCAATGGAATAAATTTTCGTTCCTCAATTGTACTATTTTCTTTATTTGAATTTAATTTTTCACTTTTTTCTGCAAAATAGAAGAGAGAAAAATTATTTTTTTTTGTTATTAATTTAAAAAAAAAAAATATTATCATACCTGTTGATGATTTTTCCGTATTTTCAACTGTTGATAATTTTAATGATTTTTCATTTCGTATTTTATCTGTTATTGGTACCCAATCGTCAATTTTTGTCTCTGGTCCAGCTTCAGCGTCTTCAGATTGTGGTGTCCAACTACCATCGTCTTCATTTAACCAAAGTCCCGTTAATGATTTTTCCTCAGTTGTTGTATTTAAATTATTTTTATTTGAGATCTGCTTTGATTCACGATTAATTGGAATCCAATCGTTGCCTTGTTTTTTCGATTGAATAACATTTTCCGTTGTAACATTTTCATTCTCAGTTGTATTTGTGGATTTTATTTCTTCCATTGTCTAGAGTAAGAAAATAATTTTTTTTATTTAATTTTAAGTAACATGCCTCGGATTATACGACTTTTTCCGACTTTTATAAAATTTCAATTATTTAACAAATTTTTAATTAAAATTCTCCACTAAATATTAATTTTTTTTATTTTAATGAAATTCTTCACAAATTCAATTATCTTAAATTATTTTTCAATTATAAATTTTTGTGAAATTTAATAATTGTTTATAATTTCATAAAAAAAAATTAGCAAATAAAATTACCATAAAAATTTTAATTCAAAATCACTTGAAATTTATTATTAAAAATTTCAATTTTTGTATAGAAATATAAATTTATAAAAAAAATACTAACCACATTTGTTTTGAAATCTTTGTCACTATTTGAATTTTCAGTTAATTTCTTAGTTTCTTTATCATCGGCAATATCACCTAAAGGTGGGAAATATTTTGGACGATCATTTCTTCCAATACCAACGAAACTTGGTGTATATTGCGAAATTAGAGGCAAAAGAGTTTGTCTTGCATATTTTTCAGCTTGTGCTAAAATACCTGCAAGTCTCTCCGGAAGAAATTGAACTGTAAATGATCTTGTTGTCGTTGACGATTCTTCCATTTCTATTCTATCATTCTGAAAAAAAAATACAATTAAAAAATTTTTTTTTAAATATTTCAAATAAAAAAGAAATTACCTGCAATGCAGAATCCCCTTTTATATTTTGTCTAGTTGATCGTGATTTTAAAATCGGTTCAGTTATCTCAGGTAATTTCATTGAACGAGCAGTTTCTTTTTTTGTAACTTTCAATAATGGTTCTTGAATTTCTAATACTGCCTCGGTGGTAATAGTTGGCGATTTTGTTGATTTTGAAACAGTTGTCTTGTGAATAAAATTTGAACTTGAAAATGCACGTCCCGATTCTGATTCTAAATTTTCCAATGAATTTGATTCACCATTATCTGAAATATCAATGTACGTCCAACGATTATTATTTCTTGTACTATCGGTATTTTCAATAATTTTCGAATCCAAATTCTTTTCTTTCTCCAATGGTTTTGGATTTTGATCTTTGGTAAATGGTCCAAGACCTTTTTGTGAAATTCTTTCATTTGATAATAATTCAACGGATATTGTTTCCTTTTTCTCCCAATTTTGATCCCTTGTAAATGGACCAATTCCACCTTGTTTCTCCTGTGGAAATTTATCATTAATCGCTTCTATAATTGTCACATTATCAATATCTGATTGAATAATACAATCGCCATGTTGAAGTCTTAAATAAACTGATTTTCCCGATTCAAGACTTAGACCACGTTTACATATTGATGTTGTTTTACCAAAACTATCGACAATTAATACTTTATCAATATTCCAAGTTATTAAACCCGATGAAATCCAACCATGATATGCTGTGTATTTTATCTGAAAAATTAATTTAAATTTAATTTATTTGCCTTTGTTTTTTTATTTTTTCGCAACTCTTTACCTCAATGGCTTCGAGATTGGTGACAACAGGATGTGGGACCACAATTTTTTGTAAAATGGCACCAACGAGAAGTTCTTCATCGTCCTTGCGGGTCATGGTGAAAGTCTCGTTAAATGATCCCTCCCCTACGAGTGTGACTTTCAAATTTCCATAACTCTTCGTTGCTCTTTCGCTTCGACTATTAAATACCTTTACTTGATATTGATTAGCACAAAATGGTTCCTCATCTCTTGTCATCAGATATAATTGTCCTCGACCCGGTGAACTGTCACTATAAAATCCCATATCACCACAAGGACGATCGGAATTTTCCGGTCCACATGGAAAGCAATCGCCTTTAATTAAACCATCATAACCACGATGACAGGGAAACGCAGGAAATCTACATTTTGGACTCACCGAGTCCGTGAAGAGTTTATAAGCTCTTCGATGATTACACAATGATCTTCCCTCCAATGTGCTTGCTGAAAGTAAAAAAAAAAAATTATCATTTCTGCAAAAGTGTTTTATTTTTTTTAAATTTCGAATTGAATTATTATTTCCGCCATCGTTTTTTAATAATTAAATTCAGAAAAATTTTAAAATAATCTAAAATCCGGTTAGAGAATCCTGGAGGGCTGAAATTATATTTATTGACAAGTGGTTTTTCTGAAAAAGTTCTGTCTAGAAATTTAACCTACTTTTCTCCAATCGAATATATAAATGGATCGTGTAGGAGGTAACGTGATCCTCCCAAGTCTTTCGAGATACAACTATAAGTGAAAAGACTTTGCTTTCTAATCAATGATCATATGACACATACATGTCATTCGTTGTCGTATTATTGAAATACTCCTCAAAAAAAAAAGAAATTCAAGAAAGTGAACTTTCAAGATTTCCGATTAGAATAACGTTTCAATTCTTTGCATAAATTTCTTTCCAATCGTCTTAATGAATGTTTTTTTACATTTTTTTTATAGTTTTCTAAATTTTTTAATATTTTTTTTGTATTTTTCGATATTTTTTGATAATTTTCGATATTTTTTATAGATTTTATAATCTTAAATTACTGAATTAATAATTTATATTGAAAAAAAATAATTTTATTTTAAAACTGTTTTTAAAATTAATTTTCTTTTTTTTTGTGAATATGAAGATTTGTGCAACTTTCTAAAATGATATACGTACACCAAATGATGTCAGTTACTGCGCCTAGAAAAATATTCGAGCAGCCACTTTGCATTCGACCGCCGTTGGGATAAAAATCAACGTCACCCATCGGTTGCCAGGAACCTAATCCTCCTAGGAGTAACTGTTCTCCATTACTGTGTATAACGTCAACAAATTGTGCGTCTTGTTCGTCCAATCTTGCACGCGGGTCTTGGGATTCAAAAAGCGGTCCAGCAGGATCCAAACCTGTCAAAAAAAGAAAATTTTTATCCATTACATTTCTTCAATAAAAATTAAATATTTCAATATTTCAATAAATAAATGAAAATAAAATCAATAATAAAATAATAAAATAATTATAATTTAATAAAAATAAATCAATATTAAAATACAAATAATTTTTTGTAATAAACAATTACTAATACATAAAATAAATAATTAAAAATAAAAATGCGAATAATTTTAAAATAAAAAATTCCATCTTTTCACTTGAAAAAAGAAATAATTCTTAAAAAGTTCATTAAGGAAACTTGAATAATTATAATAATTCGATATTTGCGTCTCTATTCTATAATTATATTCGTTTTGTCAGTATAGTACTTGAGCTGTTTTATTCTTTAGTATAGTGAAAACTCTAATTATAATGCAAGCAATACGATTGCAAATATATATCTATAATGACCAGCGAAGCGTCACACAAATAGGAGGTCAGAAAAAGGAATGCAGTTTCGCACATAAGTTCAATTACTAAAGTGTGAACGTAATATTCTGGATTACGTTTACATTCTGGCCTTGTAATTTCTAAACAATCACCAAAAGAAAAAAGAAAAAAAAAATTTTCTCCAATACAAAAAATATCGCAAAGAATCACTTTTTCCATTCACAGAAGAAATGTTATCAATTTCTGTTGAGATGAAATTGAAATTGCCAATTATTTTCAAGAAATGATATAGGAAAAATAACTTTCTTCTATAGAAATTCTAACTTCCGAATAATGAATTGAACTTTCTTGGGGACAGAATATCTGTGTCTGTATGTATGCTATTAAAAAATCCATAAAGGCCATTACAAACTTTTAATTAAACGAATTTAGAAAGTAAAAGATGAGGCGCAAACTCCATTAACTGAATGAAGATTTAATTCCAAATTGTCATTAGTAGAAAAATATGTGAAGGAAAAATTTCTGTAATTCTAGGAAATTATTGCAAAAATAACTTTCCTTAAAGTCATTAATAGAGAATAATTTTTAAAAAAAATAATAAAATAATTGAGACAAATTTTTAATTACTTAAGAAATTTTTTTTAAAAAATGCAGCAAAATTATTTTTAAATTATATTTTACGGGAATTTTAATAAATTTACCTGTTATTCTAGAAACATTTCCTAATTCTGCACCAGCGAAACCAGCAACATGAGCACCAAGACTAAATCCAATTAGATGAAGTTTATCCAAAGGCACATCTAAACTTCGAACTAATTTCGCCAATTGTCGGCCCACTAATCTTGTATTTGCTGCTGCTCTCACATAATTTGGAATTGTACTTCCTGGTGACCAGTCGACACAAACTAATATAAAAGAATTAAATTTTGCATTATTAAAAATTTCTCATCAGTAAAATTTAAAAAACAAAAAAATTGAAGGAAAATATTGCAATTTTTTTTTTTTTTTTTCGCTTACCTACATTACAATCTTGAACTTGCATAAGTGCAGATCTCATTTCATAAACCCAAATGTGATCACAGTCAGATCCAAATCCATGAACAAGTACTTTAGTAGGTAAATCTACATCTATGGCATGACGAATTTTTTCACTTATATCTTCGGCGGAAACCTCCATTGGAATCGATCTTGCTTTTCTGCTACCGTAGACAAAAAATCTGAAAGTAGACAAAATTAAATTTAAATAATTTAAAAATTTTATTAAAAACTAGCAAAATTAAACGAGCACCAAATTGAGTATTTAATTGTTTGTTATAAAGAAATTAAAGATTAATATTATCAATAATAATTTAATTTATTAGAATATTATTACAATATTAAATAATAAATAATAATAATGAAAATTATATGTTTACAGGCCTCGGATTATACGACTTTTTTCAAAAATACGACTTTTATCGACTTATTTTAATAAAATGCGACATTTTTTTTTACATTTGAAAAAAAATGTAAATAAAATACATTTTTTTAGTATAAAATGTAGATCTTCTTCAGATCTTCTTCAATTCAATTATTTAACAAATTTTGAACTAAAATGATTCTTCACTAAATTAATTATTTTTAATAATTTTAATGAAATACATCACAAATTCAATTATATCAAAATTATTTTTCAATTAAATTTTTATGAAATTTAACAATTGTTTATAATTAAAAAAAAAAAATATCACAATAAAATTGAATTATTTTTTAAAAATTTTAATTCAAAATAAACTAAAATTCAATTATTACCCGAAATTTTAATTCAAAATCAATTAAAAATCCAATAATTATCCAAAATTTTCAATTTAAAATTTAATTATTTACCAAGTTTTCAATTTAAAATGAAATAAAATTCAATTATTTTCTAAAATTTCTATTCAAATTTCAATTCTAAATCAACTAAAATTCAATTATTTTCAAAATTTTCTATTCAAAATAAATTAAAATTCAATTATTTTCAAAATTTTCAATTCAAAATCAAAGAAAATTCAATTATTTTCAAAAATTTCAATTCAAAATCAACTAAAATTCAATTATTACCCAAAATTTCAACTGAAATTTAATTATTTTCAAAATTTTCAATCCTAAATCAACTAAAATTCAATTGTTTTAAAAATTTTCAATTTCAATTTAATTAGTTTCATAAATTTCAATTCAAAATCAACTAAAATTCAATTGTTTTCCAAGAATCAATTCAAAATAAACTAAAATTCAATTATTTTCCAAGTATTCAATTCAAAATAAACTAAAATTCAATTATTTTCTTAAAATTGTGGTTTTAAAATCAACTAATATTCAATTATTTTCAAAATTTTAGTTAAATCATCTAAAATTTTAATTAAAAATCACTTAAAGTTTCAATTAATTTCAAAAATCTGAATTTCAAATATTTGAAAATTCAATTAAATTTAAAAAATGTTTTCCAAAAATTGTTTGATAAATTATTTTTAGTTCTGTAAAATTTAATAATTGAAAATTAACAATATCTTTTGAAATTTAATTATTTCTAAAAATTTCAACTTTAACCCTTCGAAAAGGATTATTATTAAAAAAAATTTTTTTTATTTAAAAATCTGTAAATTATTTTTGTTAAAATAAAAAACAAATCCACTTTTTTTGTAATATAAATCGACTAAAACGACTTTTTGTGTCTTTAAGTTTATTCGAGGCCTGTGTTTTTATAATTAATATTTAATAGGTATTCGTTGGCCCCTGGTACCTTAAAAATTAATTTTTAAAAATAAATTTTTTTCAAATTACTATCTTGTACGAAATTTCCTGGCGCATCTTTTTTCTCATCATAAATTTTTTGTATTTGTATACAATTTTTGAATCAATATACAACTTTAAAAAAAATTTCGTTGGTAAACGAATTTTCGAATTTGGAATTTTAAAAAACTTATTCCGAAATTTGGAAACACAATTATACAACTTTGGCAAAAATGAGAAAAAGAATTGTCAAAATTTGACACGTCATAAGATTACTATTCAAAAAAACACGTGAAATCAGAAAAGACCAACTTCAAGTTAGGACAGAAGGACAGACCAAGCATTTTATTATTATATAATTATTTGAAATAATTTTCCAGAAAAAAAAATAGATTCCATTAATAACAAAAATCTTTAAAAAGAATCAATTTAGTTTTAATTTTTTATTTTTTAAAACAAAAAATTAGAAATATTTTCAAATATAGAAAATTATTTTTTTTTTATTTGAAATAAAAAATTTTTTAAAACAAAAAATTAGAAATATAGAAAATTATTTTCTTTTATTTTGAAATAAGAAATAATTAAGAAATTACCTGGTACCAACATCCTTGGGGGCTGATGGTAACATTTCCAAATAACTAAATGGTCCAGTATCTTCAAAGCATCCGACACCATCATAGCAAACACTTGAAACTTCTCTCTTATTGCGATGAGAACTTTTTTTATGACTCTCCCATTCTTTCATGGATTTAACGACTGATTGAAAAATGAGTAAATCATTTTGTTCATCTGATTCTATAATTTCTTTAGGCGAACTTTGAGCCCCTACACGATCTCCTGAAAAAAAACATATTTTTTTTTCTATTAAGAAATCTTCTTAAAAAATTATTGTTAATTTTAAATACGAGCTTTGAATTTTAATTTAAATATACAATTTAAAATTAGAATTTCAAATTATAATTTTGTAAAAGTAGTGTGAGGAGATTTTTTTTTCGGGTGATTATCAAGGAGAATCTTTTACGCTTGATCAATGAAAGCGAAATAATAAAAACAAGCCATGAATTTTCCGGTCAATGAATTTATACAATAAACCATTTTGTTTGAAATTTTATAATTTATAAGAAATATTCTTCTTCAAATGTATTTTCTACTTCACGTTTCTAAAAAAAAAAAAAAAATGAATGACAGGAAAAAGGTGAAATTTTTTTTTTCTTTTCATCACATTACGTTTAAATATATATATATATATCTTTTACTTATTGGAGAACCTCTTTTACTTTTTCATCCAAGTTGCTTAACGAGTTGATTGTAAAAAAGATTCTCAATACTGAAGGCACCAATTATCTATGGTTTTTATTATTTTTATTATAAACTTTATGCCTTGAAATATATACACATGTTTCATTTTTATATTCTTTTTCAAAAGTCTACGTTCAGTCTAGATCAATTTCTCTCTTCAATAAAGGAAAATTAATTTCTTCTTTATTTTTAAGTAAATTTTTGCAATTTTTTTTTTTTTTTTTTGATAAAACATGACTATTTTTTCAATAAAATTTAATGAAAATAAAATAATCTCAATTTTCTAAAAAAATGCATTCCAATCATCATTATTCACATTATTAATTTGTAAGCGAGAAAAATTAATTACTTCCTGAACTATTTTATATTTATTTACACTTTAAAACCTTAAATTCCTTTCACTTTTTCTAGAATAAAAAAAAAAAGAAAAAAAAAAAATCACATGAGCCGTAAAATACAAAAGTGCTGCACCCAAGCGCAGTGCAATATTAATTTATTAGAAAGTGCAAAATAGTATTGGCATAAAATATTTCTTCGTTTAACGACCCTTTTGATTTGATTAAACTATTTTTTGCATTGCAGGATTTTTTTTTATTCCATATCACACACTTAGAATGACAAAGTAGTTTTGATTACTGGCCGTGAAATTATAATTCCGCATGCTGTAAACGTAATATTTTTTTTTTCCTACGACTTTGTTTCTGATACTATTTTAATTTCAGAATTGATTTTCAATTTTTTTTTCTTGTATTGAAAAATTGTAATAAATTCTGTTTTTTAATTTTTTTTTTTTGATTAATTTTTTTTTTGGCTATAAAATCTTATCTGCGGATTGATTGCGAAATGTCCTAGAGTAAAACGGTATTGAATAGAAAATCATTGTTGCGAATCTGGTTCGCGAAATTTATAAAGAATATATTTTCCCTCTTTGAATGAGTGAAAGAAATAAAAATAAAAGAAGTAAATTAGGTTTCAGGGGAGAAAGAAATAAGGAAAGAAAGAGAGGTCACCATTAGTGAGTCTCAGGTAAAACGTATATATATATATATATATATATATATTATAACTTATAACGGTATAAATGAAGAGACTACAATACAAGTCACGCGGGCTCTCTCTGATTGTGAGAAAATAAAGGGTACCATTTCTTTGCAACGGTATTGGACACTTCTCTTTCATAAATAATGCGAAACGAGGATGACAACATAATATGCGTTACGCAAAATTATTTACGCTGGAATGATTCAGAAAGGAGAGCTTTCCGATTACTTCAATCCTAATGTTTATTTAATTTCAAATAAATATAGAAACTTCATTAAAATTCATTTCAAGAAATATTTCACGCTTATTATTATAAAAAAAATTACCAGGAAATAAAAAAGGTAAATAAAAAAAAATAATTCAAAAATATTTTTTTATAATTATTAATTAATAATTAATAATTAATAATTCTTTCATAATTCAAAATATTAATTAGCTAAAAGAAATTGAATTTTTAATTAAAGCAATGGCAAAAAATTTCTAAGGCTTGCAATTACGTTTTTTCACATACCAAGGACAATATTTAAGTGTCGAAACAATTAATTAAGTTATCGTACAAATCGTTTATAAATACACGCACGTATTCAATGGATACTAAATCGAATTATAAAAATTTACACTACCGGTCATAGACATGAGATCATCTATTCCTAAATTAATTTAATCAATTTTATTTAATAAATTAATAAAATTAATCAATTCAAAGAAAAAAAAAATTAAAATACATACGAAAATTTATTGTAAATTTGAAAATAAATTTTTTCCTTTCACAACTGATTAAAGTTGAATTCTCGATTTTTTCGAAAGATAGAAATTGGAAATTTCATTTTAATATTTTATTAATAGAAATAAATATTTGTATTAAATAATTATAGAGACAAATGATATTTAAATACCGAAATTGTTTCTTATTTGATATAAATAAAAATTTAAATAATTTATTTGATTCAGAAAAAAAAATTATTTTTTCTTTTAATCTTTTTTTAAAACAATAAGAGTTTTCCAAATTTAAAATAAAAATATGCTTATTGTTTGTAAAATAAATATTTCTCTTTTTCATTCATTTCTACTTTCCAAAGCAGCATTTGATTAAAATACAGTGGATACATTTTCCCATATAGATGATCTCATGACTATTACTTAGGATCTTGTGACTGATAAGAGATATAGCAAATGAATCTAGGTTTTGAGAGTGCTTTTAAACATAAATTTGCAAAGTAGGTTCATTAATGAATTTTCGTTTTTTTTTCTTAATTCTCATTCTTCTCATGCATGGGTGGTATTAATGATAAGCAGAAATTTTCTGTTTCCTTTCTTTTCTCTCCTTTTTTTTAAGAACACAAGCCATTAGCTAGTTTTATGATAATAAGAGAAAAAAAATCAAAATAGAAAGAAAATAAAGATAAGGGACTGGTATAGCTATATAAACTGAAAATTAGGTGATGACACAGTTTCCATTAACCTATGGTGTGAAAAGGTCAATGAACTCTGTACATACACGCTTTTCTTTTATGGTGTACTCGAAAACATTTGAAGAAATTGCTCGCATCCATTTATTATTCTTGCGTAATTAACTATTGTCGGTTTAAAAAAAAAATGACCGTTACAAAAAAAAGAGATACGATCTTTGTCTTCTAAGAGTAATTTAAGTATCATTAGCCAGCAAAAAAAAATATTACACCTGTAAAAAAAAATACATTAATTATTACAATTTAATTTTTCTTATAATTTATTATTATTTGCCAAAAATGGTGACTATTTTTAATTTTTCATGAGAAAAGATATAAAGAAACGAGAACAATGTAAATATTCTATTGTCTTTTTAAATTTATCTTTATGAGAAGTTTTGTAAAATAACATTTTCTTAGATAATAATTTATTCTAAGAAAAGAATTCTCTACTTTAAAAATTCTCAAAAATAAATTCTCAAAAATAAATTAATAAAATAAATTAATAAAATTAAGTAAAATAAAATTAATTACAATTAATGAATCTAAATTTTTTTTTTAAATTACAATTCATATAAAAGAGAAAAAAAAATTGGTACAAGATCATCAAGTAATTCTAATTCAAATTTTATTATTTATTTCCTTTTAATTCAATTTATAGAGCTAAAGATCATAAATAATAATGATTTCTATTTTATTAACTCTAATGAATGTGTTTAATGTTGATTTTTATATCAACCATCAAAAAAAAAAAAAAAAAAAAAAAAAAATTGATGATTGATGATTGTTCTCGATAAATTCAAAGGTGTGATCTTCCCCCAAATGACCCTGGCTTTCATACTTTATAACGATAATCAAACTGACCCCGCTCTTCACTTAAAAACTCTCAGAGATTTTATCCGTTAGAAATTCTGCTCTTCTCACAAATCTATTAAACATTTTAAACTACTCAAAGTTCAAATGTGATTTTTATTTACTGAATTTTATATAAAATTGAAGAAAAAAAATCTAATAAAATAAAAATTAAATTTCTTTATTATTCACTATAATAACAGTTGAAAAAAATGTATAGAAAAAAAAGAATTTTTTTCATAAAAATTGAAATTCCTCAAATATTTATCTGAAAAAAAAAAAAATTTATTGGACTTTTAGAATTATTGGAGAAAGTATCTAATTGCAAGTTGGAAATTAAAAGAATTACATTTGAGAAATTCAGTCACTGAAATTTCATGAATTCGAAAATTCCTTGTATCCACTTTTTCTAATATAAATTACAGATAATAAAAACTATTGTATTTTTAAATTCCATAATAGAAGAACTTTTATTTTCTCAGCTTTTTGGGAAATTAAAAATATTTCCTCTCTAAATGAAGCAAAATTGAAAAAATAATTATTTCTAAAAATTCGAGAAGAAATTTAAAAATCAGTCGTTTGTGTGGTAAAACAGAAAGTTTACAACCACAGATTTGAAAATAAATAAATTTTTTTTCAACAAAAAGAATATTTGTGGGAAAATGGATAAAGACACAAAATATGTGTAAAACTTGTTAGAGAAAGTATCTGCGACAAATTAGAAAACCTGGAGGGACCGGCCATCGGCCTGTAAGTTACTTGGAAATCATGTTAGTTATCTTTAAAAAAAAAAAAAAAAATAAATAAAAAATTGTTTCACTATTATAGCATTCGTTTGACTCTAACTTGATGAACTTGTACCTGAATTCATACTCTTTCTAATCAATATAGAAATATATTTATTGTTGTCGTTTAGAGAAATTCAAGGGCACGTTGTGATTACTATAATCAAATTAAATTATCGATGAACAAAAAGTTACAAAATTAAAATATAAACAAAAATTCAAATTGAGAAACATTTTTGTATTATTTGAATTTTGTCTTTTTCTTTCTTTGATTTCCAAAGACTCAATTTTTTTTTATTAATATGAATCCTTACTTTTATCGCATTATATTTTTTTCAAAATTAAAAAAAAATTTTTATTACAAATTTAAAATTATAAAATATAAATCATTATTATTTTCCTTGTATTATAAAATAGTATCTTTGCTCCAATTGGAAAAAGAAAATCCTCGCATATGAAACTAAAAGATTGATGATCCATTTGTCATCGAAAATAATATTTTATAATCCCTGAAATGCAACACGATGACCTCAATCAAGATAAAATATTATAATTCCAGTTCCGTCATATTCATTTAACTACTAGAAAATTTTTTAAAATAAAGATTACATATATATAAATACAGAACCGTTAATAATTTAATTTTTTGGTTCACAATTAAATGATTATAACCTTAATATAAAATGACTTGACGAGTTTTAAATACAGTTAAATAACATTTGAATAATTATTGATATTTAATAAATATAAAGATAAAATAAACCGTTAAATTTTATACAAAGTAGTAATGTGGCTTTAATTACATAAAAAAAAACAAAAAAATGACACACTTTTCAATTTTACAGTTTTAGAAACAAATTTTAATAAATTAAATTTGGAAAAAAAATATTTTTATGATTTTATATTTTGAAAATTAGAATTTTTTTCATTATCAAAAAATTTTGACCCTAGAACTGAGATTTAACAATTGAATCTTGTAAAGAAAAGAACCTGCTTAAATAATATGTCAATGAGGATCGCTTTCACTACTTGTACAGTTATCCCGCATCGATGTCTTCTCAATCTACATATACATTGTGACCCAACACAATTCTTGCATTATAAAAGACATGTTAAAGATAATTTACAACTTATTGCAAAATAGTGTTTTAAAAGTTAAACTGACTTTTATGAGTATTTTGACCGTGAGCATTGTTTTCATAAATTTCTAAGGAAATTGCATAATTATATTTTTTACTCACAAATACAATCTTCAAACATTATATAATAATTGATCAATTTAATATTTTTTCTTTCTCCAACAGGAACAAGAACATTAAATTAAATAATTTATCAAAAATTATTTTTTTTTGTTAGTATTTTTTTATTTCCAATATCGGAAAATTCAATTTACATTTAAATTATACAAAATACGATAAGAAAAGTAACATGAAAAGCTAACGATAACATAAGTATAAATTATAAAAAATTGATATCTGACGTAATTTGCATTTTTTTTGAAAAAATATATTCTTTACTAAATTTTTTATAAATATTTTTCATATTTGTGAAATTTTCGAAAATTTTATGAAAATTACTAGAATTTTAAGGATTTATATTTATAAAACGTAAATTAGGTTTTCGTGATAAAATTACAGTTAAAAAGGAAAATAATATTTTTTTTTTTATGAAAATAATAAAAAATATTTACCAAGAAAATGGATCCATTGAATAATCCAAAAACTAAGGAGAAGATGTTTTCCGATCATCTCACGTCTCTATATCCAATAAAGTTGATTTCATTCAAAATTGAAACATTTTTCCAGAAACTAAAATCCCGGAAGTCAGCCAAGTTAAACACAAACCGAGGCATATGAATATAATGACACTTTCTCCAACACCTTCGTCTTATAAGCAAAACAACAATAACTTCCTGTTAATCTTCAGATTGTCAGCGTGTCTATCTTCTCATAATAGTCACCTTGTCGCAAATCATTAATTTCTTCTTCTGCCAAATAATAACATTTCAATCACTTTAAAAAAAAAAAACAGAAAATTATTATTAATTATCACAAACATATAAGTGACCACAAAAAACACGTTTTATTTCGCCATTAAACTTTCTCCGAAAAAAAAAAAAAATTTTCCAATTTCTTGTTGCTCCAAATTCTGATTTCTCCTAAACTAATCCTTTTATTTCCATTTGTTTCAAATCACAGTTACCTTTCATTTACTCTTTTTTTCAGTTTTCTATTCCAAAAAAATTGGAAAAAATAAATACTTTTCAAAAAATAGAAAATTTTTTGTTTTATTTTTTTTTAAAGAGAAGTGAAATATTCTTGCTGAGATTTCAAACACTTGGCCTTATCCAGAGAAGAGAGAGTCGTGAACATGCAACCAAGAACGCGAGTGCCTCGTGGCCTACTATAAACTGATCCCCACCGAAGCAATGTCTGTCTCTTTACCTGGTCTTTGAGAGTGCCTATGATGTTTACAAATCGTATTATATGGTGCTTTGTGGTGTGGGCAATAATTTTTTTTTTATGCCGGACAAATCTCGCTGGACGCAATTCTTTTTTTTTTTTTTTTTTTGTCAATTTTGTATTCAAACATCAAACAACTGCACCGGTACCTGAAGAAAGCAACATGAAAAGATATAAAAATTAATAATAGAAATTGTAAACCGTTTTATTTTCGGTTGATCCGTTATTTTTCAAATTCTACACCGTTATTTTTATATAGAAAATTATTTTTTGCCGCTCAATTTCATTCGTTAAAAAATACTTCTTTTACAATTTTCACGAATTTTTCTTGTAGAAAAATTTTTTTAATATTTATTTGAAAAAATGATTTAATTACAAAATTTTAAAAATTCGTTACGTAAATGTTACATTGGATCATCTTTGCGCGATCATCATGAGTCATTTATGAAGAGTCATTAACCAACCCTCGGAAGAAAAGTGAATGAAATCGTTGTTGTTTTTTTTTCATTATTATAATAGCACTTTCAATAAAAGTGAAACTACCCAATTGCGAAAGTTCAAGAAAAATTCTGGGACCTCGTCGACTAAAAAAGTGCTCGTTGAATTTGTATTCTAATGAAGTTCATCAGCAAAGAAATATATTAACGAATTGTAATCGTTGCTTGAATTTTAATTTTCTAGAAAATAGACAAAGCAATAAAAAAAAAAAAAATTTTTTGATTAGATAATTACAAAATACGAAGGATTTAAATGCGGAAATAAAAACATCTGCTCCAATTTTAAGAGTTAAAATTCGTCATTAATTAAGTTGATAAAATTAAAAAGAAAGAATTTAAAGGGCCAAAATTTGTAAACAAGTTAGGAAATAAAATAAATTTTACATAATAATGAATAAATTAAATATTTGATATTAAAAAATGAAAGTAATAATGAAAAGTAACTTTATGAATATTTTAAAAATATTGTAAAATATAAAAATATAAAATAACAGGATTGATTACATAAAACAGTTTTTATAATGTAGATCAGATAAAAAAAAAAATTGACTCACCAAAAAAGAAGAGGAACCGGAAATTCATTCTGTTATAGGAGGTATATGATATTGTGTAATCAGCAAATATTTTCACATTGCATTATCATTATGACCATTAAAGTTAATAGAAGTCAATTGATGTTATTATGAAGTGCTATTCATTCCCCACTTCCTTTCAACGAGAAGAATAATTGACATAATCGAATATTCATTCTCTAATTAATCCAATTGTTTTCAAATAATCTAGAAATCGAAAAAAAAAACCTGTAAACAAAAAAGGACAAATTTTCTTTGAGAGAAAAATATTATGAATATGAAATTTATAAACTAAAAACGAAAGTTGAAAATAAAAAAATAAGGAACAGAAATAAAATTCCGGAAGTGATTTCCATTTAAATGATTGATTTTGAATTCAAATCAGTTTTTTTTTCTTACTTTCATTTTTTTGTATCACATAATGTTTTTTGACACTTTCATTTTTTGAATATTTTCAATTTTTTTTTTTTCAACTATTTTTCGCATGGCAATTATTTTCTAGTTAACACTTGAACGAAAATTAGTTTGAAAATGTAGGTGTGAGATGGTGAAAGTAATTTTTTTGAAAAATATTATTAAAAAGAGACAAATAGAAAAATATTTTAATTTTTACTTACTTGTGTAAAAAAAAAATCGAAATAGTTTATGAATTTTGCGAAATCTTTCGACAATTTCTTCCTTGTATTTTCAATGACATTGGCAAACTTAACATATGAAAAAAAACTTATTAGTATTAAAAGTCTTGCGTGTAAATTTGAAAGTGGTCCAAGCAATGTATAATTTGCCGAATAACAACCGGACTTTCTTCCGAAAAATACGTTCAAGGACGCAGAAATGAACTCATTTTACTGGGGTATAATTATTAGTTTTACTTTCATTTTTTTTTTGCTATTTAAATTTGAATTCCGTTTCTGTAATTAAAAATAATATTAATAATTAATTTGATTAATTCGATTAATTAGAATGTAACTTACCTATTTTCAAAAATAATTTCCTTTTAGTTTTTTTTAAAAATAAAACATAATTTCGCAAAAATATAATTGAAAATAAAATTTTACTGTAATGTCTCTTAAAGTTTGTAAAAATAATATAATGACGTAAGAAAGGATAGATCAGAAAATTGGCATCGCTTGACGGACTTATAATTTTTTTTTTATTACTTTTTTTTTTTTTTTTTATTCAGCATTTTCGTCGCAGGATCATTAATATATTTACAGTTGTTACGAAGTAAACAATGGTCTTCCTCTTTGCTGTAAAAAGTAACATCCGGCCTTTCTCATTAAAACTATGTGTTCCGGCATGCGATGATAAAAATCACATAAAATATACTAAACAAAATATTCATCTTTCTCTTTTGCAATCAGAGATGAATTTTTTTGTCAATAAAAATCGTAGAATATAAAAATTTCATATTGACTAATTGATTTCAAAAAAAAAAAAAATTTATTGTTTCACTAATTTCAAATATTGTTCTTCATTAAAATCTTCAATATCTTCATCTTTAACAATATTAATTTTCTTTTTTGGTAAGCGTTTTTGTAAAATAATTTTACGTTCTTCTTCTGTCATAAGCTCTAAATTATGAGGAAGTACAACGATACTTCGTGGTTCAAAATATTGAATATTTAAACTGCTACCATCGGGTAAAACAAGTGTTACAGGATAAGTTTTTAAAAAACTCCCTCTCTGTTTTGCTGCAATTCCTGCTGTCCAGCAATTAAAATTCCTTCGTAGTAAGGGAATAGTTGTAACTTTTAATAATGTTTGTATTCTTGGTATCATTCTGAAAAAATGTTAATTAAACTAAAATTGTATTATGAAAAAACACAAGTTTAAAATTGTATAATTTTTTATAATTTAATAATTTTAATATTTGATATAGTTTATGACAAATAACTTTTTAAAATTTCCATATTGTTAAATATTAAAAATAAATAAGAATTCATTTTATTTTGATCCTCAAAAAGAATTTATATGTTTTAATTTTTACAAAATTTTAAGGTTAGAAATTTTTCATTGTACGCAAAATTCATTATATTTAACAAAAGTTGAATACAAATTTAAATAGAAATACCTTTTATTGTTGATTACAAATATAAAACTTACCTAAAAGTTAGTATTCACTTTCTAATTAAAGAAATATTGGGTTTTATTTCAAATATTTCTGTAATCACAATTCTCACAACAAATTAACATAACCTCATTAACATACGGAAATAAAGCTTGCCAACATTGGAAAAATATGTAAATACCGCGAAATTTTAAATTATTTTTGCTAGAAAAACAATTTATCTAGAAAAAAATTCAATTACAAAATTTGTGTAATAAATTACTTTTTTTCAAAAAAATACCTTTCACTCTTTTTTCGAAATTTTTTGCTCTCGATTTTCAGAATCGTCAGCTTTTCTTTTATTTACCGCACCTTTTTGCAGCCAAGAAGCCATAATACCCGTTGGACGTTTTTTCTCCTCCCTATTTTATTTAATTATAGAATTATAGAATTATAGAATTAATAATTCAATAATTACGATATTTAAAGATACGAAATTTACGAACTTTTTCTCTAATTTGATCTGCTTTATACAATCATCTCCTTGATAGTGTACATTATTAACAGCAGTTGAAACTGGATGCCAATTTATTGTATTTTCATCCAATGATAGTGAACGTAAATTTTTTAACGCTTTTTCCAAAGGTGTCTCTTTATAATTTAACCATGACTATAATTGAGAGAAAAATTTATTTCATTTTGTGAAATTCTAAATTAATATTTTGTATTTTTTTAAATTTTATAAATACCTTAACTTCTTCTTCCGTTCGAAGAAAACAGGGAGTTCTATGATGAAGCCAAGAAAAAACTTTATTCGCCTCTCTGGTTAACATTGAAAAACTATAGACAGTATCGCCCTGAAAAATTGTATTTTTAATTATTAATCTTGAATTTTCATTGAAAATTAAATACAAAATTGAAATGAAATTTGAAGCTAATTTGAAATTAAAAAATTTTAATTAATTTTAAATTAATTAAAAATTTTTTATTAATTTTAAATTAATTTAAAACTAAATTTTAATTTATTTATTAGTATTTAATTACAGTTTCACTTTTGTAGGTATTAAAAATTCCTGCCAATTTCAAAAGTTCAAAACCCTGCCAACCAATTTCCTCCGACCATTCATTATTCCAAGTGATTTTATCTTCAACTTTAATATTATCCTGTTTAGAATAAATATAATAGGGTTGTTTCAATGATTCATCTCTTTTCCATTCATAAAAACCTTCGACAATTGCAATACATCTCTTTCCATTGCGTAAAGGTGGCATGTACATTTTTGAATTTTCCAAATCTTCAATACGAGCATTGTGTGTTGAAAGCTTATGTTTTTTATAATCACCCTAAAATTTCCAAAATTTAGATTTTTAATTATTTCTCAATAGAAAATTTTTTCTTGTGTTCTGAAATTAAATATTTGAAATAAATTTAAATATACCTGATTCCAAGGAGGTATCATTCCCCATAACATGGGATAAAGAATTCTTTCATTTTCATTATTTAAATGAGAACCTGATATTAAAATTGGTAAAACAGTTCGCGGTCCCATATTACAAGAAGGCTTGTATTGAATATCATCAATTTTTGATTGAATCCATGGAGTCTGTCGATATTTACCCGAAGAATCTTTATATTGACAAGCACGACTCAAAATTTCTGGTTGTAATGTACTTAAGTTAAAAAATAAAATAATATTAAGAGCGAATAAATTTTAATTAGTTTATAACAAATTCTATAAGTTTTTTAAAATAAAAAAAATATAGAAACTTACCAAGCACAACGTCCACACATTTTCTATTTAAATAAGAAAATAACAATTAAAATTAAAGTTTCTTTGTTACTGCGACTGTCAACGGTTTTAACCTCAAAAATCTATTTTTCAATATTAATAATTCGAAACCGTTTCTTGTACGAATAACACATTTAAAATTAACTAAATATTAAATAATTATTAACTAATCTACTATATTAAACGTATTTGAATACTATTTTTGTTTGTTCAAGAAATAATACGCGGCGGCAACAACGTAAATATACCTGAACATAGCAGCAGATATTTCGATTACGCATTCGATAGTTCGATATTCGACATTATGAAAAATGGTCAGTCCGCCAAAAGTAGTAACGTACATGGCGTCGTGTGTATTTTCCTCCTACAAAAGCCGGGTTTTTTTTCGAAAATTAGTGAATGATTTAGTCTGAATTAGTGATTTATCGATTCCCTTGTATTAATATAACCAAAAAGTGATCAAAGTGCATTGGTGAAATTAATAGTTTTTTTCTCAATTGAAAAATGTTGCATGTGCAGTGACAATAGTGAACATTATTTGCCATTTCCGTGTTAATCATGTTTAACTTTTTATTATATTAAAACGCGATTTTCTTCAATATTATCATGTTTCGTATTAAATACTAGTAAAAAATCAGTGATAGTTAACAATCTGCTCTCGAAATTTCATGAAATAAAAGTAAGATTTTTTTTATATCCAATATGGCGGCTAAAAAATTGTTTTTGCTAAAAAATTTGATCACAAATAAAAATTACATTTTTGCTTTCTTTTTTCAGGTGTTCAATGAATTCTAAAAAAAAGTGGTCTATCCCCAAGATTTCGTGTCAATGGTGAGTAATATTTAAATCTTAATTAAATAACAATTATATACGTGTACAAACGTTTCTGTTTTATTATTCTTACGAGTAGTTTTATTACACTTGAATCGTTGCTGTGACTTTTTTAAAAGTCATTAAATATGACCAACTATAGAAAGATAATCTCGTTGAACTTTCCACAATGAACACAAAAGATATTGAAATTTTTCGAGGAAAAGTTTATATATATATGTATTTATATATAATATGAGCATAAATTGAAATAGGATTTACATACATATTTCAAAAAACGTTTAGTCGAATACTTTCACACAAGTTTTTCACTTCACATTTCATTAAACATAATAATAATAATAATATAATAATAATAATTAAAAACGATATCTACACTTATTTGAAAGATTATTTAAAAAAAAATTTTAATCCCTAGTAAACCCTAGTTGACGAAAGATTTAAATTTGTGTATAACAATTTTGCCATAATCAAAGTGTGATAAAAAAAACAGTAAAAAATATTTAATTAATACATCATAAATTGTAATTCAACAAAATTTTCTGAATTTTTTTTTGACAAAAAGCTTTTCTTAATTTAAGTACCAGTAAATTCAAAAAGTGTGTCTTAATTTAAGAATTTTTTTTTAAATTCAGATTTTATTGACATTACTTTTTAATGGGTAACATAATTTATTTTTTTACTGTTTTTAAATTATTAATTCAGCCTCAAAAAAAAAAATATATATATTAAGCGTGCATCAAACAGTTATTAAAAATAGGCAGAACAATCCTCACTTTAAATCTGGCATTATTCATTTACTACATATACAATTAATATTATCGAGTCAACCCATTCGTAACATTTTTTTCTTTTTAAAACGTATTTTTTTTATTTACATATACAAAATAACACTATCAATATTCTAAAATATTAAAATCAAAATTCAATAAAATTTCACAATTGAGAAATTTTATAATAATGATATAATAATATAAAAAATTGTCACGAATGGGTTAATAACAAATCGAATGATTTATAAAATAAAAATTAAACTTTAAAGTGAACTCTGTCGAAAGATATATTTTATACAAAAAGAAAAACGTAATTTTTCTGCAGTTTATAAACTGCTTTAAAAAAAAAAACATTTTCATTAGATAAATATCAATAAAACGAAGACTTTCGTATCTACAATATAATTGTAAAAATTTAGAGATCATTAAGTTTTCTTTTTTTTTTCCTTAATAAACCTTAAAAACAACTTGGATCATTCAACGTTTAGATCCACGGATTCGCAAGATAACATTTATAACTTATAACAGACGCGATTATCATTTGAAAATTCAAAGCGCAGTCTTTGCAACTCGATATCAAATAATATCGACAAGAAACGAGTTGTTATTTTCGTTTCTTTATTTGAAAGCGTGTTTTCCTTTTTTTCTCACGGTAAAAAAATAAAACTAAACAGCACGTCTAATTTCGTTTGTCAATTTGTTTTTTTTTTTTTAATCAAAAATCTAAATATTTTTACAAATAAACAATTGAACGTTTCGATTAAAAAAAAAATTTGGCTTTGAATCTCGTTATATTATAATAAAATTCGTAATTAAAAAAAAAAAAATGGTCACAATTGATAAAAATCGTTAAAATTAATGAAGCTAAAATTTGCAACGTTTAAATTCTATTTTGATTGGAAAAAAATAGAATCAAATTAATATTGACTAAATTAAATTTGATTCAAAGTAAATTCCATCATTAATTAAAACTGTTATTAAACAATTTTTTAGTTCTAAATAATGGCAGTTTCAACTAATAGTACATTCAATTAATTCTAATTATCAGTTTTAATGAATGATAGTGATATTTTTGCAATCAATATTTATGATTTTTTTTTTTTCAAACGTTGCAAAAATGCTTGACACAAATCTCATGTGCTATTATTATATGTGCGATTACTTGATTGAATTTCTAGTCAAACACTATCATTAAAAATTTGCGCGTTTAATATACTAAAAAGAATTATTTGAATTGAAGTTCTTAACCCCTGATCGCTTCAGTTAATATACATAATGGCAAAACTTGAAAAAGCGCATCGCAGGGTATGGTAATTAAAAAATTGAATAATAAAATCTTATAATCATCACTAAGATATTATTGTCAAATATTGTAATATCAAAATTTGCATTTTATCAAGAATAATAGTCACTCTCTTTTATTTTTTTGTGAATATAAATGAGAGCAATTTTTATTTGATTTGAATGCAACAGTTAATTAAAAAAATAGTTTGTATAAAAAATATACAATAATCACTTAAAGCTTTTATATGTATAAATAGTCAATTTGTGCAAGCTGTGGCTTAAAATTATCACTGTTCGCAAAGACTAAAATTATTCTATTTTTATTTGTGTTTTTTTTTTTTTTTTGATCAAGGGTTAAGTCACATTCGATTACTAATAAACGCTTTTTTAGACTCTTAGTCATGTAAGCAGTTTGTTTGTTTGTTTTTTGTAAGAGTTAATACTATGAGTGAAGACGTATGTTTGTATTGTACAATGTCTTACATTTATGGTTGATTCGAATTCCTTCTTCTTGTGCACCATTCAAAAAAAAAAAATTTGTGCATTTTGTTTCGAAGCTGCGAAATGTGCACAAAAAAAAATTAATAGTATTTCTAAAGCTTTTTACACTGCACTCTTTTTTTTCCATTCCTTAATGTGATTTTTCTCAAGTCGATTTTTTTTTTTAAAGAATACAACACTTAGGCCTTCGACGTCCCGAACTTCCAACTCTTATTCGTTTTCGTTTTTCTTTGCCTCTGTGTTCTTTGTCTTTTCGTATTTCCCTGACCTGGAATTAAAAAAAATATTTTTTAGAAAGGTTTTTTGAAAAATTTCATCAAGGATAAAATAAGTATCATTTTTTTCACTTACCAGAGTGTAAAATGCATCATCTACTCCCATTCTCGTTTTGGCAGAGGTTTCAACAAATGGAATTCCATACTGTCGTGCAACTTCCCTTGCTTGTGTCATATTCACTGCCCATGATTGTTGAAGATCACATTTGTTGCCTACTAAAACCATTGGCACTTCTTCTGCATCCTTTACCCTTTTTATTTGTTCGCGATAGGTTCCTATGTCCTGTAAAAAGAATTTTTTTTTTAATTAAATTTTTTAATTTAGAAAATATCAATTTTTATAAATTATTTTTGGTCAATTAATTTTCAAGAATCGAAAACACATAAAATTGACTCACTTCAAAACTTTTAGCAGAATTAACTGCAAAAACTAATAAAAATCCTTCTCCTGTCCTCATGTACTGATCTCTCATTGCACTGTATTCTTCTTGACCGGCTGTGTCTAAAATATCTAACAAACATGTTTCACCATCTATCACTACCTGTGAAAGAAAATATATTTATTATTAATTTAAAAAATTTGCTAAATAAATTTCAAATGATCTCGAAAATTTTCTCACCTGTTTTCTGTATGAATCTTCAATAGTAGGATCGTATTCATCTACAAAATGATTTTGTATTAATTGAATAGTCAGTGCTGATTTCCCAACACCACCAGCTCCTACGACAACGAGCTTATACTCTGTCATTGTTTTTCAGTTCCTATTTTTCTTTTGTTTTCTTTTTTTTTAGTAGTAATAATATATTCTTTGGTGAATCTGAAAAAAAAATTTTAAATAAAAAAATGTTTTTTAATTATTTAAAAATTTTAATCTTTTGTGGAACAAATATTTTCTTTTGTTTCCCTTTACACTCATTTTTCTATATATATATATAAAGAGAGATAATATTACAAGTAATCAAGACCCTTAATCCGCACCATAGAAAATCCTTAACAATGAACCATTATGTTTTTGATACTCTTAAACACCCACATATAGTAGATTTATAAAGAATTTACTCACAAGTAGAAAAATATTTTTAAATCTAAGTTTTAGGATTTATTTTATATTTAAAAATAATTTATAATTCACACTATTTTTGTTCTATTTTTTTGTTTAAAATTATCATTTTTCCCAATTTATTTTTAAATGCAATTTTTTGTTTTTCGATTTTAATTGCGAAAATTATTTCTAAAATGATTCGTTTGGGAAAATGTCAACTCTCAAGGTTTTTTTTAACACGTGTATTGGAATTTGAGACGGCGATTAATTAGGTCGATATTAATGAACTAAACGTTGCTTTATTCTACTTGAGACAAAGCTAATCAACGAAGATAAATGTCACTTGACATCTTAAGTCATCAAGACTCCAAAAAAATGAGTCACTCATCATCATCATCCAAGAGTTGCAAAGATGTATACTATACACGCACTAATCAATGACTCATGGGATTCCAACAAGATTCACAAGTGTGTTATTTACAAAGAACATATTTTTTTTTTTAAAAGAAATATTAAACAAATTACAACTAATAAAACGAGAAAGGAGAAAATAACTCCCCCTACTATGTGTTTATTAACACAACACAATTGCCTACACGAAAAAAAAAGAAAACTTGAGCGCACACACCATTTTGCGAAAAAAATGTCGATATTGAAGACAAAGGGATTTTTATAATTTATAAACAATTAAACAAAATACGAAAAATTTTCAATGAAACACAAAATTTATAAATGAAGCATTTTTTTTTTTTCTTGGGAAAAGAAATTTTCACTAAAAACAACTTGAAAAAAAATTTGTTGAAAACGGGTTTTCTTACCCGATTTTTTAATTTACATTTTGCGTATAAAGCCGGTTTTAAAAACACGTTTACTGTTATGAGTTTAGTCACTGGAGATAAACCATCTGGAGTTGTGTATGAGGCGTCAGTGTTGCCAACGCGTTCCTGGTCGAGACTGAAGGGAGTGGACTCGAGAGATGCCAAAGAAAATCACACACACACACATATACACATACAAACGTTTTTATCACTTTTGTTCCACAGATCAGAAAAAAATAATATTTATAGAATCAAAATTATTTAAAAAAAAAAAAATTGTGTTGAATGATTTTTCATACCACGTTTGTAACGCCGGTTTTTGTTTTTTTTTCTAAATAATTCCAAGCGAGAAAAAAAAATCACGATCCCTACACGGGAAAAGGTCGTGAATCTACACGCCACTCGCCGAGAAAAGACTAGCCATCTTTTGAGAAAATTGAAAGCGGAAGCGACCCATAACGTCAATAGGGGGAAACTTCACAGCTTGTTTTGTCGGTAATGTCATTTTAATTTTAAACACAAAAATTGCTCCGAAAAAAAATGTTTTTTTTTATTGACATTTTGGGAAAAATGACAATTTTACTAATAAGCCAAACTAAATATTGTAACTAATTTAAAATTTTAGAGGAATTAATTAGGAAAATTACAAAATTATAAAATAAAAATATTCAATTGTGTAATTATTGAATTTATTCATAACACTATAAATGACGTCTATACAAAATATTCGTATTTATTATTTAATAATAATAATAGTACATAGTCGATAAAAGAACAATATTTAAAATAATGAACTTATGAAGAATAAAATTTAATTAAATTGCATTTAAATCGATAAAGAAATATTTTAAATATAATGAGTATAAATGAAATTAAAGTAAATACTTTATTCTTAAATAATTAAAAAAAAACTGACTCTTTATGAATAATATATATTATATGCAAGTCACTTAGCGTTGAAAATAAAAATTTCAGTAAATGTTTGCATAAAATGTTATATGATCTTGTAAATTATGAAATGTGTTGTAATTATTGTCAACTATATTTTAAATGCACACTTTTATCTCTTTTTTTTAATCTAAGACGCAAAAATGATTTTTATTTATTTATTTTTTTTTTAGATAAAATCTATTTTATTACACATTGTTCTTTGTTTTTAACTATCACTCTTAATTTCAATATTATATCAGCAAAAAAATATATATCTTATTAATCAAGTACGACGCATTAAAAATTAACGTCATTAATAAAAACTATATATTTTTTTTTAAAATTGCCGTAAAGTTCATTCTTTACACAGTCAGTGTTCATTATTTTTTCTACATTTTTTGTCAATTTTATTGCTTTTTATTCTTTATTTTTAATATTAATTTATTTCGCCATTTTATTTGCTTATATATATTTTATTTATATTTGCATTTTTAATTTACTATATTCAACTTATTTTTGTAAATTTATTGAAAGCGCTTTTTTTTTACAAGCAAAAATTGATAAGAACATCAATACATCAAATTTTTATATTTGTAGATTCAAGTAATTTTTTTATATTTCGAAAAAAAAATTAGTTATTAAAGGACGGCTAAATCTGATATTCCATATAACGTACATATATTTTAATATTGTCATATTGACTATGTAATTTTTTTTTATATTCTTTAAAAAAAGGAAAAACATATTTTAAAACAATAATTTTTCCTCTAACATTTTTCAGATTTTTATATTTCAATATTGAAAATTAAAATCGAAATTCAATTTTTTGATAATATTATTATGCAGAAATTGCTTTTATGGTCATTTTTTCTTTTTGTCTTTTCTTTGTAACTTTTAACAAATTCTGTTTGTAAAAGTTTGTAAATTAACTTTTTTTTTTCGTTGTATAAAGAATACTCACTATTTTACTAAAATTTTATTCAATTAAAAAATTTTGAGCACCTTATCTTGAACCTTAATATATATTTCTGAATTTAAATTATAATTTTTAAAAAGGAACTTAAAAATATGTCATTATTGACTTTAAAAACAAGTCAAAAAGAATAATTTTACTCTAAAACTAATTAATGACTAATAATATTTAATTAATAATAATGAAACTAATGTATAAGTTTCGTTCACTTGATTATTGAGACTGGAATAATTAATTTTCTTAACATCAGTTACTATTTTTTTAAAATTATTTTAATTAATAATTTTTTAAGAAAATTATATTATTTTTTACAAAATTGACCCTTTTTTCAATTATAATTAATTATTTTCAATTATAATAGAATGTCAATTATAATAATTGTTCATTTGGACTGTACGTTTTTTTTCTCATTACCAAGTTAATGAAAAATTAATTTCGAATAATTATTACAGTTTGTGACTAATTTGTTCTTAATTTCCTGTAATTTTTAATTTTTTGACGTGATTTAAAAATTATATATTCGTATGCATAGCATATTATTATATAGAGCAATTTCTGTTTTAATCTCAATGTACAATTTAAGTTTTACTTATACGATGATATATTTAAGTAGCACAATGATGACAAGCGTTTTTTTTTTTTTTTTTCGTGAACAAATCTAATTTCTTTATAATATTAAAATCTGTCGCTGTATATAGATCATCCAGTTTAGGCACTTCCAAAAATCTCTATAAGGACAGAATTATAAATCTATCGTTTAATTATTAATTAAAATTATTATTAAATTAATTAATAATAATTATTTATTTAAATAATTAAACTTGAAAATTAAATTTATCTTTAAAATATAATAATCAATAGATTCCATTAATGAAATAAATTATTTGATTTTCGAAAATTCTATTTTTAAAAAATAATTTCAAATATTAAAGAGAAGGTTTTTTTTTTCGACAAGAATATATAGTACTTACATCTCTCTTTTTGTTGCTTTAAAGCTTTTCATCGGCAGTTTATAGTCTTCGTAACCAAAAATAAAATACGAAAAAAAAATAAAATAGAAATCAGAATACGATTCTTATAACAAAAATGATGCATTTGATGCATCGTCTTAAAAAATGAATCCATTTTGAATTCGATGAATTTTGAACCTCCCCCTAGGAAGCTGGACTCACATTTGCTGCCGGAGGAACTGGTGCCGTTTGTTTTGCTCGTCTTCGTTTATTTAAAAGTGGATTATTTGTATTATCCAATTGTTTTAAATTAGCTGTATCGTAATCAACTCGCATTGTCGCTAAGGAACGTGTCATTTCTTCTTGAACTTCCGGCCAAAGTTCCTCACCCTCTCTTAAAACTCGTCCTGTATGTAAAGGCGTTGCTGGAACTTCCGTGTGTTTCTGAAAAAAAAAATTTATTTTGTAATTAAAAATCGAATTTTTAGTTTCTTGATAAAATTATCCACTTCGTAAATGAAAATATTAGAAAATAATTGAAATTCCTTGAGTAGATTTTTTTTTTCCTAAGTATTTAAATATTTAAAATACTTACAGAGATCCATTTGTTGCGCATTACTTCGGCAATTTGTAGCCTTTGAGCTGGATCAGTGCACAGCATTCCTTTGATAAGATCTCGAGCTTCTGTGCTGACGTGGGACCATTCAGGAGCTGGAAAATCATACTGACCTAATGTTATTCGTTTCTTCATTCCTGGCGATATTGCCAATCCATGATTACTATAGAACGGTGGAAATCCACATAATCTGAAAATTGAAAAATCATTTTTATTTAGGTAACAAAAAACTAAAGTATTCGTTTTCTGTTTTTTTTTTATTTTTAATAATTTTTACAAGGTGTTATTAAAATTGATTTATAATAAATAATAATAATTTGTTAATTAACAAAAATTAAATTTTAATAATTCAAATAAATTATTATAATAATTATATTAAAAAATAAAATAAGGCCATGTAAAAATTATGAAAAATAAAAACAGAAAACGAATGTAAATTTATTTATATTTAGAAGAGAAAAAAATAGATTTATGAATTTTTACTTACAATATATACATAATTACTCCCAAAGACCATATATCGCAGCTTTTGTCATATTTATCTGGACCCAAAACTTCAGGCGCTTGAAAAGATAAAAAAAAAATTTTAATACAAATACAAATTTTTTTTTGTTAAATAAAAATATGAAAATTTTTTTTTTACAATCTTACCGACATAATAGGGTGTGTAACAAGGCGTTTGAAGTGTGTCTTTCAAATGTGTTTCCTTCGCAAATCCAAAATCGGTCAATTTTAAAATTCCTAAACTATCTAAAAAAAGAAAATTTTAATTTAAATAATTTTTTTTCATCCAAATAATAGCACTTTGAGAGAAATATTGTGTATTTTTTGTGTTTCATTTTAGTCGTTGAAATTTATTTTAAGAAAATATATAAATGTATGTTGATTTCTTCAATCATGCGTTATAAATTTTTGCTATAAATAAAATTTCGCATTTACCTGGTTTTGAATATAACAGGTTTTCTGGTTTGAGATCGCGATGAGCAATATTCATGTCGTGAAGGTGTTTAACAGCCACACAAATTTCGTACATTATCTGTGCTGCTTCTGTATTAAAAAAAAAATAGTCAGTTTGAAAAAAAAAATCATTTTTATCATTCCAAGTTCAAGGAACTTTTATAAATATATAATCTCTAAATATTATTTATATACCTCGTTCTGTGAAAGCTCCATCTTGTCCGTCTTGTCTGTCTTGTATCCTTTGGAAAAGTTCTCCACCTTCCATACTGAAATTAAAATAATGCAAATTTTCTAAATATATATATATATTTTAAATATAAAAATTTATAAATAAATCTAAATCTAAAAATATAATAAAAAAAAATCGTCATAATAATAAAAAAAATAAAAAAATTCAAATTTAAATGTTTCGAAAATAAAAAATATTATATTTTATTTATTTATATATTTAAAAAAATAAAATAAAAATATTTAAACACTTACCATTCCATAACTACCAGTAAACATTTATTTCCACTATATGAATTTTCATAAACGTCTTTAACTTGAACAATATGTCTACAATTTGATGCCCTCCAATGTAACTCAACTTCTCTTCTCGCCTTCACACAGTCGTGTAAAACCTGGAAAATTAAATTAAATTATTATAATTTTAATTTTTTATATAATATTTTATTATATTATTCTTTTTATTGTTTCACTTTTTCTTTTTATATAATTTGGAGCAACATTGACACAACATTTTTTTTTTTCTTAATATATTAATTTTTATAGAATATATTTTTTATATTATATTTTAAATATAAAAAAATATATTTAGAGAGGTATAATAATTTTATAGTTAATTAAAAATTTATAAAATTAAATTATATTTAAAAATTTTTAATCTCTACAAAAAATTATAAAACATTATCTGAAAAAATAAAAATTCTCTTATTTTAAAAATAAAATAACAAAAAATCCATAACTTAATAAAAAAGCGCTTTTCCCGTTTATAAATAAGTTACATAAAATAAAATACTTTTATATTACGAGAGTTATTATATTAATATCAGAATATATAAGAAAAAACAGAAAATATTTTTTAAAATTAAATGTAATATTATAAAAATAATTTTTTTTTTTAAACAAAAAATCTTAGCAAAAGGTCAATTTTCTATACGCATATTTTTTTCCCCATATTGAGAGTTAATTGTTACAATATCAATATTTTAATAAATTGACCTTCTCGTGTTGAGAGCCCACACATTTTTTTTTCTTAATTTGATAAATATTAAATAATAGAATTCTTGAATTTAATTTAATAATTATTAAATCATTAGTCATAGAATGTTTTTGTTACATAAAAGTGTAGAACTTTTCGAGGATGGATGGATACAGAAATTGATCTATTTTGAAATGTCATGTCATACTTAAGCTATGTATATACCGGTTGTAAAGAAATTAACATTTCATAGACAGTTAAATAAGTAAATGGACTTTGGAACCTGTTTAAGATATTATTATTTTGAGAGAGGACAATAACAGTAAATAACACTAAAAAAAAAATTATAATATAAAATCATTTCCCTAAAAAAAATAATAATAATAATAATAATAATAATAATAATAATACGAAAAACAACAATAACAGTAATAATATTAATAATAATAAAAATACAATTAGAAAAAAATATCCAAATAAAAAAAAAATTAAAACGCAAAATAATAATTTTCGATGTCTAATTAATTTTGTACTAAACTTCCGCGTGCAGAAAATTCGTCCTCCTTCAGAATAACCGTGAAATAAATCTTCCTTTACTATTCGATAGAAAAGGAATATTTGATTTGTAAAATCCTTGAATTTCTATTTTCATTTTATAAAGCATTTTCAAGTTAACATAATTTTATAATTTTATACACGCATTGAGGAGACAATAATTTATTGCTAATTAAATTCTATTGTTTTTTGAAAATAAATTAAAACATAATAAATTTAAATAATAGCAAATTAAACAAATAATTGGAAAAAATAAATTAAATTATACATATATAGTTATAACAATTGCGATAATAATTTATATAATTTAAAAAAAAAATTTGCATCATTAAAATTTGTACTTTATAAGCTGATAATTGTCAGTAAAATTAATAGGTGATACCAGAAATTGTGTATTCTGACGTATCTTTGGCAGCCTCGCAATTTAATGACAATTATCACTGATCAAGGTGGGAATGATTCCAACAAGCACGGGATTTCTGAGAATTTTCTTCTCATAAAGTATTTTGCTTGGAAACTTCTTCTATTTAATCATTTTATGTTAAAAGAAAATTTGCTATTGAATATTTTTTTTTTTAATTAAAAAAAAAGTCCCCAATTTTTTATTCCTTGAATTAATATTGTTTAAAATTTAATTCAAAAAAATATTTTTATTTATTAAAAAAAAAAAAATTTCAAAATTCTATTTTTTGAAAAGCAATTAAAAAAAAAAACAAACAAATAGTTAAAAAAAAAGTTTATAAAATAACAATTAATACAAGGAAAAACGTTTAAATTATTCACTACAGTTCATACCCGGAAGCTAATAATTTTAAAGACGTCATTTAACGAATCCAAAAACATGCAAAAGAATAACAAACGATTCTATAAAACTTCTTTTTCCTGTAAATAAAATTTAAAAAAAAATCTAAAGAAAATTAATTAACACTCCGTTAACAAATTTATTTTTTAAATATATTAAATTTTAACTTTTACAAACATTTAAAAAAAGACAAAATTTATATTCCAAACTGGTTTGAAAAAAAAAAAATGCAAGCCTTTGAGTTTTATTATGACCTCACATCAAGTCTATTTCCGGTATTTTTTTCGAATTTCCATTTTTACGCGATGTTTTACGAAAGATTTATTTACTCATCATTTAGTATAATGTACACACAGAGTGCAATGAATACAGAAAAAAAACTCATTATTTTTTAATTAATAATAAAATCTCAAGAATTTATTTATTAAAACGAATTTTAATAAATTCGAAATTTTTATAGCAAATTTTTTCCAATAAGTTTTCATAATTCGTATTTCCAGAAAAAAAATTTTATTAACATTTTTTTAAATTAAAAAAAAAACGTGATGCATTATAAAAATATAGATTAGATACATTGAATTTAAAGATGATTAAGAGGTACACACGTTTTGATAAAACTTGAAGATAAAAGAAAAGAAGTGTATTTTATTTGAAAGATTTTTCATTATATTCGATAAATCATTAAAATAATAAAAATTAATATAAAATTATATTTATAATAAAATAATAATTTTAATAATAATAATAATAATAATAATAATAAAATAAAAAATTAATTTATTTACAATTCGAAAATTAAATTTCGAAATAATTTTAATTCTATTTTTTTAATTCATTCGTTTATATTTCTTTTTTTTAATATGTTGCAACACTATTATTAATGAAAAGCGAAGAGAGGTCGATGTTCTTGAATTTATTTATATCTCTTTTGATTCCATTATAACGAGTTTTAAGACAATGACAAAAACATGTGTGTGTGTATATACTATGATGTAAGAGTTGGCTAAAAACGCACGATAGTGATAAAATGAATCAAAAGGAAAATGAAAAAGTATTCATTAATTTCCAGCATTTTAACTCCAAGAATAGAAAACACTAAAAAAACAATTATGAAAACAAATCATTATAGAAATATAATAAAAATGACATTTTAATGTAGACGTAAATTTTCAGCTAAATAAATATTAAAAAATTGTTATTGTAATTTATTGACGTGATAAATTGAGGAAAATTTTTTTTTTTTTTTACAGTAATAGAGAAAAAAATGCAGTATAAAAATTTTATTATAAATATTGTGAAATAAATTACTAATTGTAGTGTGGCCTATTTATTGTATAGACAACATAATACAGTTAATTATGTGGATTGAGTCACGAAAAGGTTTGAATGTGTCAAAACTTTCACATCAATATTACAAACTATTCGTATATATATACTTATAATATTATAAATGTGGTTCGGAATCACCGTATGAGAAATCACGGAATATAAATAGAAGATGACTCGTTTCGTTTGGTCCCCCGCTTTTAAAATCGTCATTCGCGGTGATCGCACTCTCTTATATACTCAGGTATCGATATTATTTATCTAAAAAAGCGGAAGTTGAAAGAAAAATATACGAAAACATGAAAATTTACTTAAAACAAAATTAATATCCATATAATAATAAAAGTAAAAAGAAAATTTAATATTTTTACGAAAAAATTTGAAAATTCAGGTCAAGAAAAAAAAAATTTTTAATTTAAAAAAAAAATTAACACGTTTTTATGTGTTAGAATTTTTTTTTTTAAATTGAAGTTTGATAAGCTACCAATCTCTGATAAGAATTAATGTACACAATAAGAAATATTTTTATTCACCATTTTGTCATTTAATAAATTACATAATCTTTAGTCATGAAATTCTTTAAAATCTTCTCAATAATAATTTATTTTTTAAATTAATTTTTTCATTCTTTATAGTGAAAAGAATTGAAGAAAAAATATTTCTTATTAATTTTTTGAAAACTCAATGTTTCGATCAGCAAAGTTTGATTTCTTGGTAAAAAAAAAAGAGAAACAAAAGAGGGGATGGAATTCTTACGATCTTGTTCTACTTTTGTTTAATTTTAAACTTGAACGAATGAGTGAAAAATCTTTCTATTTATATTAACACTTTTTTTTCAAAAAAAAGGATTTAAAAAAAATTAATTTTAATAAAAACATACATTAATTTTTTTTTATCTTAGTATTTTAAATTCCAAGAAATGTGGAATTCTATAATATTTAAAAATTAGTTTATATTTTAAAATAATAATACATTTCCCTTATGCATTTATTTATAGTCTATAGAAGAAAATATTTTTAAAAATTACCAATATTTTTATTATTTATAAAAAAAATAATTTAATAACAGAAATTGAAGTATTTATTTAAATCTCAAATTTAAAAATAAAAATGGCTTTCGAATCTTCTTTGGTTTGATATTTTACAAACTGAAAGCCTTATGAAAACTGTTGGATACTTTCCAAAATTTAATTCTCACATATTCGTCCTTTTTTAAAATTCATTGGATTTCATATTTCACGTGTCATTCTTTCTAGACCACATTTATTATTATTTTTATTAATATTATTATTATTAATATTGTTATTATTATTATTATTATATTTGAAGATCAAAATTACAAGAAAAAAAAAATTAGATTTATAAATCAATTTTCTTGAGCTAATTTTCTTTTTCTTCATAAATGTGTGCCCTTGATTGTTTTTTTTTAATAATTTTTGTTATACACAAGAGAGGAAGTGATAATTTTTGTTTCCTTAACACACATATATATATAATTGTGTGTCAGCTCTAAAATAAATTGTTTACCTTGAGTGCATATTTTTCTCTCGTTTTTCTGTCGTAACATTGCACCACTTTTCCATTGATACCCAAGCCTAGAACATGATTACTGATTTCGTAGTCATCAATGATTGATGTAGTTTTTGGAAGGCGTGAGTCAGAGCGAGTAATTGGAGGGTCCATGATTTTTAATTCAATTTCCCTGAAATATATCGTAAAATCCCATTAATACACATCAAAACGAGATAATGTATAATATGCAAATTTTTCATTTCAAACTGGAAATTCCATTTTTTTTTCTACTTTAAAAAAAAAAAGTATTTAATAAAATTATTATTATTTAATCATTTATTGGAAATTCCGATTTTAATTTAATAACATTATATTAAATATTACATGATTTTATTTGTATAAATTTTATTTATTGAAATTCTAAATTTTGCTTTAATGTGAAATTAATTTAATTTTTAAATATTTTACCAAAAAAAAAAAACAAAATAGAGTTCCAATATACCTTTTGTCAATTTTCTTTCTTGTCAGGCGATTTTTTGTGCTTTGGCAACAAAAAAAGGGCAGAAACTGGAAAGCCGGTATTTTTCCATACGACAATCACTTTTGAAATGTATGTGTATATATATATATATTAAAATGTACAAGTCATCACCTGATCCACTTCAACTACATAGACCCACACAATCCACCTATGTCACTTTTTTTTAACTTTTAAATTTCTTAATAATTTATTTAAACAAAAACAAATATCACAGATATTGCGTTTAAAACAAAAACACAAAAATTATTATTTTTAATTACACTTGTCAGATGCTTTTTTTTTTATTTTGGAGTAAACTCACTTTGTGTCAGCCGGTGTAAAAAAAATGTTAGAAATCCAGCTTGGGAATAAATTCTTTATTCTCGTTGCACTCAAATTTATCCTTTTTTTGGAAATCACTTTAATCACTAATTTTTTTTTATTTATTCGGAGGAGAAAGGCTCGTTTATGTAATTCCACAATATTGTTAATCAATTTCAATTGGCAATAAGACGCAATCGAACAAACGGTACGAACACGACTTCCTACAATAATTTCTCAGTTCTTTTCTCAATGCTCCCAACAAGGCGAGTGTCATCAACTCTTTGCGCATGCGTTTTCTAAATTTTCCAATTGGTCGACTGAGAAAGCTCGATTTTTTTAAATACAAACAAAAAAAAAATTTATTTTTTCATTCTTCGGAATTTTTATCCGAAAAAATTTTTACTTGAAAAATTTTAAATCAAAAAATGAATTACAATTGAATTAAAAACACATTTATTTAGAATTAAAAAAATTCTGTATTTATTTTCAATGCTGTCATATAATTACAAAATATCAGTATAAATATCTTTATATAGGCACAAATTTATATACATTGCAGTAGCCCCTTCAATTTATTAAAATCCTATTTTTTTATTGAACAATTAAACTTGGTTTAATTTCATTCAATATATCAACTTTCATTTATATAAACTTTTTACAATTAGAAATTTTGTTTAACTATTATTTCAACAATTCTTGCACAACGTAAAAGTTTGAAAAAAAGGAAACAAATATTCTAAAAAAAATACTCTTGGCACTTGTTTTTTTATATATATTGCAGGGTGCACCATTTTAGAACTTTTAATTTTATTAAAAGTTTCTTGTACCTCTAGTTTCAAAAAAAATAATTATTCTTGTTTCTCAGTAAAAGATTCCCTTCATAAAAAAAAAAATGCTAAAAACAAAAAAGAAATTATTTTTCAATAATATTCATTTTATGAAGAGATCTTTTTTTTTAATTCTTAAAAATAACTAACGTAAATTTTGTGTTAATACTCTCATCACATCTCTCTTTCGTTTTTTTTTTTTCATATCGCCTTCACCCTTTCGGATTATTAACAATAATAATTTCTAATAATAATAATTAAATTTTGATACGAAAATATTGGATGGATTACAATATAAGTACCCGGAACATGTTTTTGGATAGAAATAAAAACTGTCGCTCTCGTTTCTAAAGAAAAGAAAATGATGATGACGATGAAAGAAAAAAAAATAGAATACTTATACAAAATGAATTATTAATGACTTTGGTTTTTTTCTAATCGGAAAATGTGAGCTAAATACAGAATTTAATCTATCCAGAACATTATTAGCGAAACGTTATTACAAATATAATATTTATATATATATTTAATTACATTTTTAACAATAATGTAATAAATTTACATTTTTAAAAAAAAATTAAGCACATTTACAATAAAATCTTCTGTAAGTGTTCACACTTGACGCATATTTAATATATATATATATAATAGAAAAAAAGTAATACCTTTAACTTTCCCAAAAAAAAACAGACGTGTTAACTCGTTCAAACTTTTTTTTTTAAATCGTTAATATAAAAATATTTCTCAAATCACTAATCGAAAAAAAATACTTCGAAAGTGACGTTTCAACATGTGCGAAGAAAATAAATGCTTTTAAAGCACATTGTGAATTTTTTGCCATAAAATTTGTTGTAAGTCTTTTTCTATATTTAAAATTCTTTAAAAAATTAAATTTTTAAAAATCCATAAAAACTCTATTATTTGTCACACAACATTCAAATAATTTTTTTTTTTTCATTGCTAGATTTTTTGTCGCTGAAATTCACATTTTTAAAAATATTCCGCAAAATTGCTTCTTGTTTTTTTTTTTTTTCATTTAATTAAAATATTTAAAAATAAACGTTTGGAAGCAAATATATAACAAACATATAACAACAAAGAAAAGTGATGGATACCAAGTATTTTATACAAAGTTTCCGTTTTCACTGAATTTCGTGCAGTGATAACTTTTTTTTTTTAAATAAATCTCAATATTAGTCTTATGACTAATAATAAATCGTCAAAAAGAAATTTATAGTAAAAATTGATAATTACTATAATCACATTTTTTCAATTGCAAATATTATAAATACTGTTTATATTTATTTTTCCATTTGAAATAATCGGGAATATTAGACATTTTTCTAATATTTATATTTATTTCAAATTTTTTATGTTTATTTCATTTCGTGCTTATTTAAATTCAAATTTCCCATTCAAATTTTGCGGATTCTTCTCATAAAACTTTATTTATGTCACGAAATTCAGTATTAAAAAAAAAAAATTTCGATTAAAATTCTTATCATAGCAATATGATCACAAAATATTTGTCAAAAAAAATAATAATGAAATCTTAATTATTGATTAATTTGAAGAATCACAGAAAGCTTGAGTTTCATTTTTTCCCTCGATAAGGAAATTTTTAATTAAAAAGAAAAATAGGCATCCAACACTAGTCTGTATATCTTAGGTGAAATTTGAATTGCACTAACAACGCTTGTCATCCCATTTGACTTTCAGGTTCAGCTTTGCAGTCTTGCATTGTAAGAATATAAGGCACTACACTAGCTACACTGACTTTACCAATGAGACCGGCAAAAAAAAGATCCTCCAATACACGTGGATTAATTGATCTTAATGGTGCAAGTCTCAATAAAAGACGTGGTAATCTTTCCGAGCCAACTCGTTGTTGTAATTCATTCCACGCTGCTTCCTGAAGTACTTCAACTTTTTTTCTCCAAATTCCTGCCAAAACGTTGTCTGCAAAAAAAAAATTGCCTTTAAAAAAACTAATAAATAAAAATAAAAAAGGTAATAATTAAATATTTTTAATATAATAATGATTTTTTTTTTTTGAAATAATTTCTCACCTGCACTAAAGAGTGTTAGAGCCTTAAGATAAGCATACTCGACAGAATCGACTTGTAATTTATGAAGGGAACCAACACAATCCTGAAGACGGCAAATATGTTCTGTGATTGATTTCACTTTACTTGCGGTTATTTTTTCTTGAGCAATACTAGCTTGTAAATGATTGATTATTGACGTGAGGATACTAGGTAGCGACAATGTGTAAGCACATTGTGCCAATCCTAAAGTGAAAAGCTGACCCCATGAACTACGAACCAGCATAGTTTGTACATCAGAGCTAAAAAAAAAAGGAAACAATTATTAAATAAAAATTTCCGGTAATAATTAGTAAAAATTAGGAAATTATTTAAATAAAATACATACGGTAGAGCTTGAAATGCTGGAATCCCTCTGGCCCAATGAACCGATAAGAAAAGAAGCCTTGCAGCACTTTCGCATATATAATGTATCGATAAGTAAGCCGGGGCTGGACTAGGTGCTCTTAACTCAAACAACGTATGCCTTTCTGACAATAACTGACCAGTCCACTCTTCTTCCGGCTCGCCTGAACCATTTACATTCTGCAAAAAAAAATAATTCATTCATTTTCATTTCCGTTTTTATAAATGATTTTTATAATTTATATTTTTTTTATGATCAGAATTAGGATTTATTTCTAAATTTCAACTTTAAAAAATAATAATGAACAATAAATAAATTGTCTATTGTATAAAAATATTAAAGAAACTTAAGCAAGTGTTTTAAAAATTAATTTTTCATTTGCAGATGATTTTGGAGCTGGAGATTAATCAAAAGGCTGAATAAGAAGAAGAAGAAGAAGAAGAAGAATAAGAAACAAGTTGTAAGTACCAAAATAGAGGATCATTTCATCTTAAAATGTAAGTCTTTCGTTTATTAATTTTAATTTATTGAGCAATCGATCCACATCGAACAGCGACAATTAAAATTAAGAAAGAAAATAAATAATCCAAGAGAAGAGAACATAGAAAATATCTATAATTAATTTTTGAATAAAGACTATTATATCGCACACTAAAAAATTATTTGCTTCAAATAATCGTTTATTTTACTATTATCAAATAAATATTTATTTCTATTAAATAATTATTATCTGAATCAATTAAAAATTAAATTATTTTAAATACAGAAACTATAGATTCGTATACATTATATTTGATGCAAATAAAATTTATTTTGCCCCAAATAAATATTAATAGGGTTAATTAAATTTTATTTCTTTCAAATAATTATTGAGTCCATTAATTATTTTTTGTTGTAATTTAATTTATTTGATTAAAATTAAAATTATTTAGTCAAAATAAATATTTATTAATGGACAATTATTATTATACCCACTATTATTAATTAAATATTTATTTGTATGAAAAAATTATTATTTGAGTCAATTAAAAAGTATTTTTTTTAAATACAGAATTCGAATACAGTTTATTTGATACAAATAAAAATTATTTTTGTCCAAATATACTTATTGAAATTAATTAAATTTTATTTCTTTCAACTAATTATTATTTGAGTCAATTAAATTTATTTCAGACAAATATAAAAAAATTGGTTTAAATATTTGATAAAATTAAAAATTTGGTCTAAATAAATATCAATTTGACAATAGCCAAATAACCGATTATTATTTGAAAAAAATATTTTTTCAGTTCACTTATACCTGAATTTTGAATAATTGAAAAATTATTTTTATTTGAAAATTGAACTAAATTTTCACTTGACTGAATATTTTTCATTAGGATAATATGTCTAAGCGAAAGATATATATATGAATTATGTTGTATGTAGTTTTGTTTTTGGTTTTTAATTAATAATAATAATAAAAAAAAAGGAATCATCGATACTAACATCTCCAATGAGTTTAGCCATGCTGTCCAATGCATGAGAAATGAGCAGTCGCTCTCGAGCTAATGTCAGAGCATCACTGAGATCGCTATCGCTACTCTGGTCCTCCATGCTGGGACTTTCAGGTTGTTCCCACGTAGGTGCCGCCTCAGGAGCAGGTTGTTGTGGTTCTGGTTTTACTCTAGGTCCCCGATTTCCTCCTTTCGCTCCAGTTGAATCGCCCAATACTGGTTTACGTTCATGCTGAACCGCTGCAATATTCCAAGCTTGATAATGTTTATTATACCAAACAATTTGCTCTCAACTTTCGTTACGAATTTAGTTCTCTATATTAATTTTTCCCTTATTGAAATTTCCAATTAATTCAAGCCTCGAATCAAATAAAAAAAAAAATTCAGTACCTTTTATTTTTTCTTTTTCGATACGTAATTCGAGATTAAATTAATAGAATTTGAAAAATAAAAACTAATTTTGTAAAGAAAGTATAAAAAATATTTTGTTTTTTTTTTTCATGGTGTGTAGAAAAACTCACAATCACTACGCATTCCCATTGCGAGACATTTTTGAAGCCTACAATATTGACAACGATTACGATGATGTTTGGTAACTTCACAGGATTTATTGCCCCGACATTGATAACCAAGTTGTTTGCGAATACTTCGTTTAAAAAATCCCTTGCATCCCTCACAGCTTATCGCTCCATAATGTCGTCCACTTGCACGATCTCCACAAACTACACAAAGCTCCAATGATAATCCCAATCCAAGCGAACCACGTACATCTCTCGCTAATTTTATCTGCAATGTCAATATTAAGATAAATATTTGAGAATTTTTATACTATAGTCAAAATCCAAAAAATATTAGACTAAACAATTTTTTCTGTTTAAATTATAAATTGAAATTTTTAGCTGTCTTCTAAATTTTTTTTTTAAAACCCAGTTGACAAATTTAAAAACAAAAAATAGATACTTTTTTGGAATGTGGTATTTAAAAAAAAATTTGTTATTTTCATTTTAATGAAAATTTATTTACTAATTTTATTTATTTATTTGATTTATTATTAATTTATTATTATTTATATATTATTTATTAATTCATTCATTTTATATAAATCGTTATTAACATTTTAATAAATAAATATAAATAATAAATTTAAAAAACTGTTTTGTAAAAAATTTGTTTAAACAAAATTTACTTTTAAATGCTACATTCCAAGGAAAAAAAAGAAAATATATTTTTTGTTTCTATTAAAAAATAAATTTGTTAATTTTAGGTGGTTTGAAAAATTCTCATCCCACTTTCATAATAATAATAATGTAGAAAACGAGTAGATATATATAAATTAGTAACCAAATTATGTATAATTATTAATTAATAGCCCAATAATCGAAATAATTTCAATTTTTAAGAAAATTACCAAGAAGCGTTAAATTTACTAATTTAGCCAACTAATTTTTGTACTAATATTGTAAGTTTTCGAATAATTTATGCTTTTAAAGCAAGTCTCGTTATCGAACAATAGACCCCCTACTGACAAGGTTTCGACAATATTTTCACTCTAAAGCGTGAAATGGAACATTACCTATTCACAGGTAAACTGATTGCTATATTAGTAATAAAAGCTTTACGCTTTCACAGGAAAATTTGCCTCTAGGACAATTCTTTTTAAAAATGACACTGATTTTTCATTTCGATACTATTCTTTTTTTTCTAAATACCAAATATTTCGTCTTTTCTTTAGAAAAAAAAAAAATAAAATAAATGTATTCATTTATCTGCAATTGCAAAAAAATTTCACAAGTATATTTGAAATATAAATATTTCAAAAAATTTTCCTAAATACTTCACAGTTGGGACAGTCGTTAAAAGTTACTTTAAAAATGTACTTTCTCTTGACACAGTAGTGAATTGTTTTTTTTTCTCTTCTTACAAATTACAATTTTGAAAAATTTTTTTTGAAAATCTCTTTCAAAAAAATTTTTAATTACAAAATAATTATTTTTTTTACCTCCACATCTGAGTTACTCAGGTGTTCAATACCAGAATGTAAATGTACCATTCCAGGATGATGACTCATATTACGAAATTCTCTTCCCATTTTGTGATCTGATTTGTCATCATGTAAACTGTCCATATGATTGCTTTGATCTCTCTCCAAATCGCGCTGAAAATATTATTATTTTTTTAAAAACAAAAAACAATCTATAAATTAGTTAATTTAATTAAATTATTACTATTTCTGTCGAGAAAAATGATCCAATTTCTTTTTTTAATTTTTGACTATTTTTCTCATAGTAAATTATTTTTATTAATTAACAAAATATAAAAAAAAATTTATTTAATATTTAATTAAGAGAATAACAAAATATTCTATTTATTTAATATTAAATAAATAAATATAAATTCTCATTTACCATGGCTGGATGATGTGCTAAGTTACAAAAATCTCTTTCCATTTTGTGCTCAAGTTTTTCATCGCATAAATTTTCAACTTGATCATCATGATCAGTTTCCATATCCCTCTGGAAAAAAAATAATAATTATTATTTTTGAATTATTTTTTATCAATAAAAATTTTAATCAATTTTTTTTCTCAATAATTACATCTGTATCGGCATCTCTCGAATGATCCGCACTCATGTGATGTGATAATCCCCGAAAATCCATTCCAATTTTATGTTCCTCGTTTTCGTGATCACGTTGCTCTCTATGATCTCTGTCCATTTCTCTCTGCAAAAAAAGAAAAAAAAAACAAAATTTCTATGAATTCTATTAAGTGAAATTAATCATCATAATAATACTTAATTACTTCATCAAAGTGAACAGTGTTCACAGGCTATTAAATTTCCTTGCAAAAGGATTTTAATTTCAATCAATTTTTTCCCATCTTTTATGTAAATATAAAATGTAAATGCTTGCAGGCTATTATATACATTTAATACTTTTTTATATTTAATTCAATTCGTATTATTAAGGTTATATATTATTATAATTATTAAAATTATTATATTATTATAATGATAATAATGATAATAATGATAATAAATAATAATAATAAATAAATAAAAATAATATTAAAAAATAATAGTGATAATAAAAATTATAATAATAATTATTATATTTGCTTTTTAATAATTTGAACAATAATTATAATTATTATTAAATTAATTATTAATAAATGTGATAATTTAACAAAAATATTATTGTAAAAATAAAACAATAATTTGAGTATGAAATTCATATATTATAATATTTAGTAAATTAATATCATTGTTGATATTAAAAATCGCGTTCATATTAATTTCATTTGAATATTCAAGGTCCTTGTACTTTGACATATGAAACTATCTAAATTCTACAGTCTCTCATGCATATGTCCCGACACAGCATCTAATTATAACAACGCGAAAAATTGCTGACGCAGAAACAAAATATATAATACATCCTTAAAGTTTAAGATCGCTTCTTTATATATAATATTCTTCGCGGTTTTTTTTTTAATATATTTAAAACCTCGCAGTTATATATAAAATTTTTTTGAAAATAATTTTTCACAATAAAATATTGTTGAAGATAAAAAAATAATTTAATAAAAAAAAATAGGAATTATATTTACAGTATTAATTAATTAATCAAATTTGCATTATTGTTATTATTATTATTATTATTATATAATTATTTAATATTAATTATTAATATTTAATTATCATTTATCTTAATTAACAGTTCAATTTAATTTTTTTTCTACATTATAAAATTCAGAATTTCTTTTTTTTTTATTCTATTTTATCGACCTTGATTATATATAGTTAAAAATTAAAATGATATAAGAAAATTATTTTATCAGACAGGTGTCTTAACATCCTGGTCTGGAAAATATTTGACCTTGAAATTTGCACCATAGCCTCTTAGTTAATATGACCCAAGTCATTTGATCAGGTCAATTTACTTCACTCATAATTATTAACGGTATGCAACTGCATCTCCTGGAAGTGAATATATATATTCTCGAGAATAACATTACAATCTTCGTCGTTTATATAGCCTTGATATTAAAATTATTGATTCGCACGAGTCAAAAGAAATGAAAAAAAAAATTAACATTTTATAGATATAATAGAATTAAATTTTTAATTGAAAAAAAAAATTATTATAATTAATTAAAATTTCATAATTAATTACATAATTAAATAATTATTATAATTTTATCAAATAAATAATTGTTATTAGAAACAAATAAAATTTAATTAATAAAAATTTTTTGGTTCGAGGAAATATTTATTTGATAATAGTCAAGGAATCAAATTAGTAAAATTTAATTATTTTTTTTTCATACACCTAGAGAAATATTTTATTTGTATTTATTTCAGATAAATAAAATTTAATTAAATCAAATAAAATAGATAAAAAAGAAAATAATAATTAAACAATAAATAAATAGTAAATAAATAATAATAAATGTATAATAAATAAATAATAATACCTAAATAAAATTTATTTGAAACAAATAAATATTTATTTGGCTTTTTAGACAAATATATCATTTCTCTGTGAGTATATAAATTAATTATGTACGTATAACGTTAATTGTATTAATAAATAATGTTAATTTTTATTAATAAATAATATGAAATTTATTAATGAATGTTTATTATATACAATTATTATAAAAATAATTAATAATATACAATTATTAATAAAATTCAAAAAATTATTTACTGATCAATTAATAATTAACGGGAATTTATCTGTTAATTACTTACAATTTATTATATACATATAAAAAAATTTATTTAATTCAAATAATCGTTTTATTATCAAATAAATATGTATTTGTATTATAGAATGATTATTTGAATAAATAATTATTAATTATTTATTTAATTTTATTTATTCAATAAATTGTATTTGTTCAAATACAGTTTATTAAATTCAATTATTTGTGTTTCAAAAATTATTAGTTGAACTAAATATTTGATAATAGTCAAGTAACCAATTTGAATAAAGTAATTTTTTTTTCTTAAAATAAATAAAAAAAAAATTAATAGAAAGAGAGAGAAATATAAAATGGAATCCTTCTAAGATCTCAAAGAGATTAGGCCAATCTTTGCACAGGTTTCAATGCACCTGAAGTATGCAGACTTAGGCGAAGGCGAAGGTATGTTGCAAGAACTAAAACTAGAGCATTTGCTCTCTTGTCGCATTCTCCTTCTTATATATTCCCTTCCTTTCGAGAGCGCGTTTTGAAAGAGGTGAAAGAGATGGCCCCAAGACCTCCTGATTCTTTATGGGTTGATGACTCTTCAACACCCAAAGAAAAGCTTCTTTATATAATTCCATAAAGAAAAATAAATCTTTCTCAATATTTATTTTTTTATTATCTTTTTTGTTTCGTAAAATATATATGTATAATATATTTTGCACGTGTCAACAGATGTCAATTTTTTTTTTTGAAAATTTATTTCCGTTTAGAATTTTATTCTTTTATTCTCGTTTCTTCAAATATAATTTTATTATATTATTATACACTGGAAAAAAAATTTATTTGACTCTACTAATTCCTTTACTATTATCAAATAAATATTTCCTTGAAACAAATAATTTTTATTAATTAAATTTTATGTTTCTAATACTGAAATTATTTACTAAGAAACAAATTTTGTTGAAACAAGCAAATTTTTTTCGAATTAACTAAAAATAAAAAATTGTATATTTGGTTCAAACAAAATTTTTTTCTGAGTATTGGTTTAAGTACAGTTTAATTGATTCAAATAAAAATTATTTGATACAAATAAATAATTCTTTTTGATAACAAATATTTTTTTTTAAATAAATAATTATTTTTGATACAAACGAATATTTGTTTAGAAAAAATATTTGTTCGATACAAATATTATTCATTTAAAATATTTAATTTAGAAATAAATATTTTCTTGAATACAGATAAATATTTATTTGTCACAAACAAATATTTATTTATAATCAAGTAACCAATTATTTGAATCAAATAAATTTTTTTTTTTTCATTAAAAAAAATAGAATTCTAATTTTTGATTTTTCTAATGGAAAATAATTTTTAAAATTGAAAAAAATATTTGAAATAATTTTTTGGATTTGGTGTTTGTAAATTTTTTTTTTCTCTCATCATAAAAATAAAAGTATATAAATTGCACGTGGCATGTGTGAATGGAACCCTGACCAATAATCACGATCTTGAATTTTAGATGCTTCTCTCATTCACGCAACATCATATAATGCTTTTGTTGCTAAGGCAATTTAGAAAGGAAATTATTTTGCAGAAAATCAGCATTGTGTATATATATATATAAAAACAGTTCCGTTTTCAAGGATAAAATTTTACTTGAATGTTAAAAATTTAATAATTTAAAAAAAAAATTGCAACAGTTGAAAAATATACCATTTTTTTGTTTTGAAAATTGTTTCCTTACAATATTTTGAGATTTATATAATAGAGATTAGAAATTCTTTTGTTTTTTTTTCGTCCTAATGATGATGATTTTAGAAAATTATTTCTGAGACTAAAAATATGACTCGGGGTTTTAAAATTTGAAAATTGAAATTTTAAAGGTAAAAGGTCATTTTGAAAATGTACTTTGAGAAAAAATTTTTAAAAGTACATTATGAAAATTGCTAAAATAATTTTAAGTTCGAATATAATCTTAAAGGGAAATCTTTATATTTATTGCTGGTGGAGGTTAAAGGCCATAAATAAAATGAAAATATTTCGAAATTTATAGATACATATAGACAATATATAGATAAAGTTTTATGAAATAAAGATAAAACGTTATATGAAAAACACTATATAAATAACTTGAGGTAGATTATAGATAATTGTAATCTTGATAGAAAATCACAATTCATCTATTTTGAAAAATTAATTTCTTTAACTCTCTAAAGAATTAGTAAAAAAATTGTAACTAATTTGAATTAGTGACTCATTTTTTGCTTTTGAATTTGTAAAAATTTAACTAATTAAAAGAAATTAAACTAAAAATTTTTAGTAAAAATTTTAGTAAAATCGAATTAGTATTTCACTAATTCAAAAACAAAAAGTAAAACACTAATTCAAATTGAAAATAATTAAATTAATATTAATTGGAGATAATTTTTTTTTAAAAATTCAGATTTAGAATTAAAAAAAAATATATATAGAAAATTTTTAGATTTCTAATGTTAAATGTTTTTTTTTAATTCTATTTTTATTAAATATTTAAATCGTTAAACAAGATCAAATTCAATTAATCATTTGTCAAAAGAAGATTTACTTGAATATAAAAAAAAGAAAAAAAAAACTAAAATGTTTTTTTATAAAATCATTTCCTTCTTATTGTTTAAATTTAGAGAGACACGCGCCTCGTTGTTTTTTTTTAAACACAATATCAAACACTCTAAAAATAAAATGTATTCCAAAATTTTAAACAAAAGAGCCAAGCGTTTATTATTAAACGTGATTAATTCGGAAAAGACTTCGTTTATAATTTATAAATTCAGAGAAAAGTTTTGTTTCAACTAAATATTTCATTTTTTTTTTGTATTAACATAATTTTTTATTATTTTAAACAAAATTTGTTTAAGTAAAAAAATAATTCACTTTTTTAATAAAAAAATTAATATCTAAATAATTTTTTAATAATTTAATTATAATAATAATAATAAAGTTATTAAAAATTTATTTATTAATTTTTTTATTAAACATGAATTATTTTTTTATTCAAACAAATTTTTTTTGAATAAAAAAAGAATACATTTTTAATAATTTAATTAATAATAATAATAATATTAATAATAATAATAAAATTTTGTTTGATTCAATAAATATTAATTTGATCTAAATAAACGTTTGGTTTATTTTAATAAATTAATTATATATTTAATAAAAAATTACGTTGATAAAATTTTAGAATAAACTGTAAGAAAAATTCTTTTCTATAATTGTAGTTTTTTATTTTTTTATTATTTTTTTTTTTTTTTGAAAAATTATGTTAAGGTCTTCTTTTACTAACTGCTGTAAGTGGCAATTAAAATCATTTTCTTTCTGAATTATTCATTTCCACATTTTTCTTTTTTAACTGCCGAATACAAAAATTCATGCAAATTAGCAAAAAAAAAAAAAAATAAATAAATAAATAAAAAAAATGCACTTGGAAAAAATTTGGAACAACTATAAATTTTGGTTGAATCAACAAAAAATTTGACTCCAATTCTTTTTTCGAAAAATTCATTTAAAATAAATCAAACGTTTATTTAGATCAAACAAATATTGTTTGAAATAAGCAAATTTAGTTTGTATCAAACAAATATTGTTTGAAATAAGCAAATTTAGTTTGAATCAAACAAATATTTGAAATAAAAAAAAAATTGTATTCATACAAAAAACTGGATATATTTGGTCCAAATAAAATTTTCCCCTGACATAATTTATATTATATAAATCAGAATTTTTGAAATAAATTTTCCGCGAACTCTTATTTTGGAGAACAGATGTTTTGCTAAAATTTTGTTTGATAAGAATATTTTTTTTTTTTTTTTTTCGGAAACGAGAACAATAATATTACACACACCAATTGAGAAATAGGGTTAAAACACAGAAACTAAGTCGAGTTTTGTTGCGAGAGAAGAAAGCGTTGATGAGATTCGTGGCCGTCACTATGGGGATCCGAACCGTTCACCAGCGGCCGTACCTAACCACGAAAGGTCACTTCGAGTTGAAAGTGTATCCAAGTGTATCGAAGTGGCCATTACGTGCTACATTTTCGATCACACACACAACTCTTTCACAAGAGGCTTAAAACACAAAAAAAAACGAAAAAAAAAACAATTTGAAAAAATAGAATCACAATATTCTCTCAAAGAGAAGGAAATCTAAACTTTTTTTTTCCGCGAAGAATTTTTTCTTTCATTCCCCTCAATACGCTACCTGTTGTTACTGGTTCGCTCATATCAGCGTTGCGTGTCGACGTTCGGGTCACGCACGTTCTTTGGAATAAGAAAACGTTGGTTTGCAAATATTTTACACACACACACAGTCACAGAGTTTATTTTCAAATAATAATAATAATAATCGGAGAAAAAATAGTATTGAGATTAAAAAAAAAAAAAATTTTAATTCGTGGCGCGAAAAAATAACTTTTGCGAATATGGAAACAACAAAACGAGGATATGTCGACACCGTGTCGTTACAGTTCGAAATGCCGGAGCTTAAAGCCTGTGCAACCTTGCGCAGGTGAACGCAGGCAGACACACCACACAGACAAGTAGCCAGGCCGTTCTCTATAACGCTGTGGCAGGTTGGCAGGTCAGGCTATCTCTTGTTGCTCCATGATACGCGAGACCAGGTGCGTTTCATCCGGTCTCTCTTTCTCTCTCTCTCTCTTTTTTTCTCAGGTATATACTTGATGATTATGTCACGAATCACGATATACACAATTTTATCTTCTTTATGCAATTTTTTGACAAATTAAATGCATTCCTGATGATGATCATCATTTTTCTTCTTCTTTTTCTCATCATCTATACGGTAAGATGGGAGTGGCTCCTTGATCATTAAAAAATAGACCGCTTGCCTTGAATCTTCACTCTGTTAAGTAACGGAGATGATAAGGACATGCAAAATTTTTATCTTCCTTATTTTTTTTCGAAATCCTCATCGTCGTCCTTTTTTTCTATACTAAAAAAAAGAAAACCGATAATCGGTTACTTGATTATTAGCAGATAAATATTTATTTGTATCAAACAATTTTTTTTTTGGTGTCAAAAATAATTTTTAATTGAATTAAATAATTTTTATTTCCATCAAATAATTTTTATTTTTATCAAATAATTTTTAATTGTGTCAAATAATTTTTATTTATATCAAATAATCTGTATTTGAAACAAATAAAAAAAAAATTGACTCAATATTTATTTCATAAAAATAAATATTTATTTGACAATAATCAAGTAACTGATTATTTGAATCAAATAAAATTTTTCAGTGTATTTTCTTCAAAATAGGCGGAATTTTCATTTTTTTACGAAAAAAAAAAAAATATTTGTTCTCCACGTCTGTTTTTCTAAATTAGGCGAAATTAATTTTTCAAATATAATACATTTTTTATTTGTTTCAAAACAAATATTTAATTATTAAGCTCGAAGATAAATAATTATATCAAATAAATTATTTGAGTAAACAAAATTTATGAATGTAACAATTATATTTTCATTTAGCCTATATATAATGAGACTAAATTATAATTTGTTTAATGAATTATAACTTAATTTAAATAATTAATTAAAGAAAATTCAGTTAAATGCAAATTAGTTAAGTTAAATAAAAATTCGTTCAAAAAAATAATAAAATTCTGATATGAAATATAATAATTCGGTTAAATAAAAAATTAGACGAAAAGAAAATTCGGTTTAATGAAAATTTTTAATAAAATAATAAAAAGTAAATGAAAAATTAAAATATAAATTCGTTCAAATGAATAAAATTCTAGTATAAAATATAATAATTCGATTAAATAAAAATTTGGACAAAAAAATTTCATTAAATCCTAAAATTATGTTAAATATGCAAATTTGATTAAATAAAAATTCCTTCCAAAAAATAATATAATTTATAATAATAATAATAATAATAATATAATAACAATAATTAATAATAAAAATTCAGTTAAATAAAAATTGAGTCATAAAAAAATTTGGCTGAATGAAAATTTGATGAAATACAAAAATTAAATGAAAATTCGTTCAAAAGAATTAAATTCTAGAAAATATAATAATTCGATTAAATAAAAATTCGTTCCAAAAAATAATATAATTTATAATAATAATAATAATATTAATAATAATAATAATATAATAACAATAATTAATAATAAAAATTGAGTCAATAAAAAAATTTGGCTAAATGAAAATTTGATGAAATGCAAAAATTAAATGAAAATTCGTTCAAAAGAATTAAATTCTAGAAAATATAATAATTCGATTAAATAAAAATTTGGCCAAAAAAATTTTATTAAATCCTAAAATTATGTTAAATATGCAAATATGATTAAATAAAAATTCGTTCCAAAAAATAATATAATTTATAATAATAATAATAATAATAATAATAATATAATAACAATAATTAATAATAAAAATTCAGTTAAATAAAAATTGAGCCATAAAAAAATTTGGCTAAATGAAAATTTGATGAAATGCAAAAATTAAATGAAAATTCGTCCAAAAGAATTAAATTCTAGAAAATATAATTAATTCGGTTAAATAAAAAATTGGGCCAAAAAAAAATTCGACTCAATACAAATTTTAATAGTGCTAAAATTCTGTTAAATGAAAAAATTAAATAAAAATTCGTTCAAAAGAATATAAAATTCAAGTATAAAAAATGGTCCGATTTTTATTTTAACTGAATTATTATTCGGTTAAATAAAAATTGAACCATAAGAAAAATTCTTCAAATATAATTCGATTAAATCGAATAAATAAAATGAATTAAATAAAAATTTGAATCAATAGCAAAATTTGGTTAAATGCAAAATTATAGTTAAATTCAAAATTGGATAAAAACAAAATTTGGTTAAATCAAAATTTGTTTAAATGAAAATTCAATTTAATTTTGTTAAATTAAAATTTGTTAGTATATAAATTTTTTTTATTTATTTTTTTTTTAAATAAAATTCTTGAAACAATATTCGAGACGTGGTTATATAGCAGGCATTTTAACTGATAAAAAAACAATACCCTGAATATTATCAGTATGATTCGATAAATAGAGGTAATATTAAGCACGTTTGCATGAATAAGAGGCTGATAATGACTAAAAGGTTACAAGCAAAGTAATTCCTCGCGTTTAAATATTTTCAACTTTGTATTCCATAAATCATATCATTATTATTAATTATGTATAATTTACTTGAATTTTCATTTTTCAATCATTTGCATAATGAATCATTCAAAGATCTTTGTATCAAAGGTAATTTTTTTTTAAGAATTAAAAACACTTTTTTTGAATTCAAAAATTCTTTTTAAAAATCCTTTAAAAAGAATTCTTTAATTAAAAAAGAAAAAACAATTAATTTAAAATCGTTTAAATTAGAAAGAAAATTTTTGTTGTTATTTAAAAACAGAAAAAACCCTTAAATGCATAATTACAATTTTTTTTTCAATTTTTACGGACGCAATTTTTAGAAAGTTTAGGATTAAAAATTTTTTTTCTTCGTTCTCTATATAACTGAACAAAAACGAATCTGTTGAGAAATATATTATTTGAAACAAGTCAAAGAGGCCACAAAAGCTGGCTCACCGGATTGTAACCTTTTAAAACGGTCATTTCTAAATCTCTTGGGGAAATACTGACACGCACACTGATGAAAAATAGTGTTGATTTACAGGAATTTGTGTCTGTAGTTGATTTCTACAGGTAAAGGTCGTTTGAGGATTCGAAGGTTATCCTTGTCCACTTGTGCCTCTCGTTCAGTGCATTTACTCACACAGGTGACACATAATCTCGACTAAAACGCAAATAACTTTATAAAGTTTTTTTTTTTGTTTGTTTTTTTAAACTTGACAATTTTTATTTTCCATTGAAAAATGAAATAATAAAATGATCACTGTTTCTGAAATACGAAAAAATTTAAACACAAAACACTAAATTAATTAAAATAACAAAAATTTTCAACATATTGAAAAATTTAAAAATAAAATATTCGTAAAAAAATTTACTGTAAAAATGTAAATTACTTTTGTTTATGAAACGTGTTAGAAACGTCAAATTTGACACTTGTATATATTTTCTTTCAAATTGTCAAACAAAAACAAATTTAAAAAATTAAATTGATTTTAAATTCAACTTGCAAAAAAAAAAAAAAACGACAGTACATTGTATTTTATTTTCATAAAGATCCAAATTTATACGATCGATTTTACCATTGTAAACATCAAAAAGAGGTTATTGCGCAAAAAATAACAACAACAAAATAAATCTAAAAATTAAAAAAAAAAAAATAATTCCAGTTTTATAACGAACAAAGTTGAAATCGGGGCGTGCACACACGAGTGGGCGAACCTTGGCCCCAAGTCTTGAGTTACGAAAGCCTTCTTGTTGAACGCGTAAAACTCGCGATAGAAGAAAATGAACTTTCAAGATGTTGAGAATGATGTTAATCTATTTATTGACCTTACCTTGATATTTAGAAGCGATGACTGATCTGGCCATGCCTCATTTGGACAGTTCATAGTTGCTACCAACCAGCCTCCTCCTCTTCTTCCTCTTCAATCATCTGCGGGTTAGAGTTCATAACCTCTTCTCGCAACCTTTATTTTACCTTTCCTTTACCCTTTTTTCTTTTTTATCTCGCAATTTTTTGTCTCACTCTAGCTTCATGTCTTTGCCACTGACTGAAACATTCAATCAGACAGAGAAAGAGAGAGCGAAAAATTTTTTGAATAGGAATACGAATTCAGCGCCAAATTGTCAGGGAATGTGAACTAATCGCTGCGAAAATGGCGGTTAATTTCAAAATTAAATCATTTAAATTTTAATTAATATAAAATTTTAATTCAAAATTTACAATTTATTTTACACGCATGATCTAGTTTTTTAGAAATTAATATTCAAAACAAATAAAAAAAAGCTTTCTATCGATGGCGGTTAATTTAAAAATCAAATCTCATTTAGAAAATTAATTATTAATTATTATTATTATTATTAATTATTTATTTGTAATGTCAATTTAAATTTAAAATATTACTACACTATTTATTTGATCTCTAGTTATTAAAATTAGAAATTAATATTCAAAACAAATTAAAAAAGCTTTCTATCGATAGCGGTTAATTTAAAAATCAAAACTCATTTAGAAAATTAATTATTAATTATTATTATTGTTATTTATTATTATTATTAATTATTTATTTATTTGTAATGTCAATTTAAATTTAAAATATTACTACACTATTTATTTGATCTTTAGTTATTAAAATTAGAAATTAATATTCAAAACAAATAAAAAAAAAAAACTTCTCGATTTTATATAATTTTTTTTCATTCAGAATATTTATGAAAACTTTTACTTTTTGAAATACATTAATTATATATTTCAAATTAAAAATATACTCAATTTGTCCATATAAAAAAAACAATTTTTTTTTTGTGTGAAAATGAAATAAAAAATTCCTTTATTTAAACTGTCGTAAGCAGCGTTTATTCGTTACTTAATCAAGTCGGAGCATTTTCTTAAAAAATCATCAGATTCGCGTTTTCGTTATTCGCAGCGAAAATGCGTTATACAGAGAGAATATGCGCAATAATAATACTTGTAGCATAGTAATATCGTACATTCGCTTATGATTGGTTTTCCATTTTTTTTTTGTATTATTTATTTATTATTAAATTCGCTTCGCGCAACCTCATTTTAAAAGAACAAAAAAAAAAAAAACACATCGGGTAATCGATTCACACCTTCTTTCTCGACTAGTTCGAGAATAATCAGAAGAAGGAGGTATAATGCGGTTGGACACAACGGACATGGCTTCATTCAATAATTAATTAATTAATTATAATAATAATAATTATAATAATATTAATAATAATATTAATAATAATAATTATTACAATAAATGTGTGTAATTAGAATAATTATCGTTAATTAATGTAAATATCTCTACATTATGTATATATTTTTATATACGATTAAGAGATCAAAATTTGCAGAGTCACTTAAACGAAATATTAAATCTAAACTTATTTTCAGTACAAATTATTACATTATATATAGTTCATGGTGTAAGAAAGCATGAACATTCATGCAAAAACAAAAAATTGTGTCGCTTCGATGAGAGAAAAAAAAATGAATCTCAGTCTGCAGAATAAAGCTAAAAATATCACATTTAATTTTTTTTTTTTTTAAATTACACGAAAAAAAAGTATTGACAATTATAATAAATATTTGTATAAATAATTCCTTCCCCCCCCCTGAAAAAACAAAAACGAAACGTACAATATATTAACGATCACTTCCAATTAGGACAAGATTTAAAATACTTGATTCTGCAGAATTTTTCTCGAAGCAAAATTATTAAATACAATTAAATAACAGGAGACATTTTTCACTCTATTTTCAGTCTCTCGCTTCTTTTTTTTCGTTTTCTTCAGATATTTTCTCTCTTTTTTTATTTATTTATTTTTTATTTAAGTCAAATCCATTGTGACCCAGTCTATTTTTCAAGAGCTTGGAGGAAATAATGAATTCTTTTCTTGACATTTTTAGTTTCTTGTATTTAAAAGAAAAAAAATGTATTTCCGAATTTTGTAAAATTGTTTAATAGTTAAATGAATAATTTTTCATCTGTTTTAGAAAAAAAAAATACAATATCAAAGAAAAAGAATCACTATTTTTCTCCAGCATTGAGTTGCAGGGACATAAATTTAAATCTAAATTAAATCGCCGAACATTTTTTTTGTCATTTTCTTTTTCGAAAAAAATCCACACACACGCACACAAATTTTTATAAAAAATTATTTGAAATACAAATTTTAAATATCGACATTACGAAGACAATGAACAAAAAAACAAATAGTCAAATTTACAAATTAGGAAATTTACAAATAGAATAATTAATTTACAAAAAAAAAGAACAATCGACGAAAAATATTCAAAAAGTCTTGGTAAATGTTCGGCAATTACTTTTTTTGTGAAGAAAATTAATTATGAGGTTTACATAACAAATGGACTAAAAAGAAAACGATAATTATTATCGAATTCTGATCATGTAACTTACAAGTACTTTTTTTCTCACTTCTCTTTTTTCAAATTGTGAAATTTAAAAAAAAAGAAAAGTGTTTCAAACTGCGACTGCTTTTTTTTTTTATTATTATTTTGTCTCAGCCCTCTACTTTAGTTTTGAAAGATGATAGGTTTTGTTTCGTTTTCGTAGAGAGCGATTTCAAGCGCACACCGTTATTATTATACATACACACACATATGACGACTCGTTTGCAGACTTACTTTCCATACTGTGCATTTTATCGGACAGAGAAAGATCACTCGAATGGGAAGAGAAAAAAAAAGAAGAAAAAAAAAAAGAAAAAAAAAGAACAAGGAAAACCTGACCCAGAAAAAATTCATTTGTTTCTGTCCGGTGCAAAAATACAAAGCAACGACCTTAACCCTACACTTATTTTTTTTTTATATTTTGACAATGAGACTAATAAAATACATTTAATTTTTACGAATCTTTGTCAACGTCAAATAATTATTATTATGCGTTCTATGTTTAAAATTTTAGTGCACGTTACACAAATTTTTTTACAATTTTTGTTTTGCTAATTAGAAATATGTTTTTACAAATCTTTTTTTCAATTTTTCAATAAGAAAAATGAAATTATTTTTACAATTGATAAATTTTTTACAATTTTGTTTTTGAGAATAATGTTGATAAATTTTCTATCGACTTTTTTTTTTATATAAACTTAGATGATACAATTATTTTCGAAAATTCAAGTCCAAGGAAAAATTAAAAATTTTTACATCAAATCATTTTTTTCCAATAAGTATGTTTTTTTTACCAAACATATTTTCTAATTTTTTTCTAAAATTTCTAAAACATACTTGTAAATATATTTTCAATTAGAAATATACAATTTTTGAGAAATTGTTATTAATTTATATTTATAAATAATAATTATTAATTTATATTTTGAATTAATATTGAATTTTCCTTGATTTTCGAGTTTTTTTTTCTTTTAATAAATTGTTTCTCTTTTATTTGTTTCCTTGTTCTTTTTTGCTTTTCTATTTCCTTTTTTTAAATCTAAATAACATTGACAATTATTTACAATTTGTTACTCTCGCTAGTAACTTGAATAAAGGATTTTTGTTTTCTATATAAAGTACATACTATTGAACACTTTAATCGCATAATCGTCTCGATGAAAAATGAAATGCAAAAAATAAAAATGAGAAAACAGTTTGTCAATTTACAAAAAAAAAAAAAATGCTACATTTCATAAAAAAATCATTTTTAATTAGAAAAAAAAAAATTAATTAAAAGTTTTCTCTTTTCCCTTTTATCGGAATGTAACATTGAAAAAATGTTCTTGAAAAATTGATAAAAAAAAAAAACACTAAAAAAATTGTTAAAAAAAATTGAACTGTTTTCTCATTTAAATTAATGAATCACAGAAGAGGAACTTTAAATCGAAAAAAATTTAGTGACAATATTTTTTTTTAATGTAAAGAAATCCTTTCGGGACGGAGTGATTTTCTTTTTTTTTCGGTGAAAGAAATGAATTTTTTTTTTTGTTGAATGGTGATGATTCGCTGATAATGAAAGCAGTCGTATTTTTTTTTTGTAAGATATGGATTGAAAAATCGATTTATACTCTGAAGAACTATAAAAGAGACTAAATCTTAAATCAGTTGGACGGTTCTGTGGTTTGCTTCCGCCGCACCGGTGCGGTGTTCGTCCCGAAAGGGTTGTTCCACTTTTGGAAACCTCTTTACCTAGAACAAATTAATAATATAAGAAACCAAAAATAATAGATTAATTTCAATATAACTTTCTTAATTCTAAATAGTGAAAAACTCATCGCTTTCGTATCACAAGAATGAAAAAAAAAATCAAAAATTTTCAGGCGAGAATTTTTCTAAAATATTCAAATATAAAAAAAATTAATAAAAAAAAAATAAAATTATGAATCAAATTGTATTGAAATAATAAAAATCTATCAAAATAATAAAAAAATTTTTTTAGAAAATTAAAACTAAAAAAATGATACAAAAGCGAGTGAGTTTTTAAAATAATAAAACTCGTAAAATTAGAGTAAAATTATTTTCATAAACATTAAAATATTTTTTCAAAGTTTCAAAGATTTTACAATATTGAGTAAATGGAAAATTTCTAAAATTAGAAATTAGAAATTAGAAATTTTCTAAAAGAAAAAACAAAATTTGAAAAAAAAAACTATTTTTTTTAATACATTTTTGAAACTTTGAAAAAATGAATCATCAAGACGCATGCTTTTTTACATTTTTTTCTTTTTGGACAAAAAAATATTGTTTTTCTTTGATAAAATACACAGCTGGAAATGATGAGATGAAAAAGTGGGGGAAAAAATTAATCGATATACGACCCCGCGAGCGAAAATAAATGTAATGAAACTTGTCAAGAATATCAAGAGCAAATTGATCTACGACTTAAAGAGCTTTTCACATCATATACAAGCTTATATTATTATTATTTGCAAAAATTTTTTTTTCATTACAAATTACTGATTTTTTATATTATTTATATATATATATATATATTTTTTTTTTACTATTTAGCTCGCTGAGGATATCCACTAATTAATTATAAACAAATCACATATGTATAGCTAAGTATCATTGATGCGCATAGCTTGTTTTAATTTACGTTTCAAAAAAATAAAACGTTCAACAACGTCAAAAAAAAAAAAGCTGGAAAAATCTCAACGAGTTTCAATTTTCAAAAGATTTTTTTTTCACAAATAAAAAAAAATTAATTTTTCTATTTTTACAAATAAAAAAATTATTTTTTCTCGTTTTACAAATAAAAAAAATTCAATTCTTTTTATTTTACTTTAATTAAATTAAAATAAAAAATCAACAAGTTAAAAATAAAAAGCGATATAATTCGCAGTTTCGCACTTATTAAAAATATTATCACAAAGTATTTTTTTTAATTGAAATCTTCCCCTTTTCAATTTGGATTGAAAAAAAACTAAATTTAAAACAAAATTGTTAATTTTAAATTAAATTTTACTTATTGATAATTTTTTTTATTCTTTGATATGTAACATTGAATATAATAATATAAAGAAAAATTTACTTGCTCTTAAATTAAAACTCGTTAAAATTTTTCAACAAGATTTTGGGCATCAAATCACTAACGTGGACATTTTTTTTTTTTTTTTTTTTTTCATTGTCTATGACAATGTACGACACAAGAATATTTTAAAAGCTTTTAAAAAGAGAGATCACATTTTTTAAAAGCGAAGGATTTGGATATTTTTTTTTTTTTTTTGAAAATTAAAAATTAAAAATTGATTGTACAAAAATTTGTAATTTTATACTCATTAACCAAATGAGTATTATTGAATGATTATGATGAATGATTTATTATTATACAAATGGTAAGGGACAAAAAAATTAATTATCATTAATTAAAAAGAAAATTTTGTTTCTTCACTTTGAAAAATTAAATGCAGATCTCTTTTTTGGGTTTCTTTTATATATAATTTTTTTTTCGCTATTAGCGTATCAATTTCGCTTCTAATTACGATTACAATTGTCCCTTAAGATATATTTATTTTTTTCTAGAATTATTTTGCATTTTTTTTCACGCTTTTATTCTTTGATCTCACTTAACAAAATTTGTTTTTTTTTTACTTAAACGGCGGTAGAAATTCGTATAAAAATTTCCGCGAGATTCGCGATTAATACAATACACGTGGGCCTAATTTTTCTTATATAAGATTATATAATCGAAAGAGTGAGATGATTGAATTGTTTTCATTTCTCACTCGAATCGAATTTATCTCGCTAAAAAAAAAAAACACGAAAAAACGAGTATTTAAATTATTTTACTTTCCATTCGCTAAAATTTTCACTAATTTTGATTTTAATTAAAATCAATTTTTATTACTAATTTTTTATTTCTTGTAAAAAAAAAATTTTTCCACAAATTTTTATTTGTTTTAATATAAAACAATTAAGAATTTTTTATTTCTTCCTAAAGAACAATGTTAAAATTCTAAAGAAATTATTTTTTGAAAAGTATAAACACTCGTTTTTTGTAAATTCTTTTTTTTTTGAAAAAAATGCGAGATAGGCGAATTGATAATTATTAACGCTAAGTATTATTTGTACATCTCGGGTAAAAATCATCATGAACCAGAATATTGAAAATTGTTACTCAAATATTTTGAAAAATCGACTTTTTTTTAAATAACGAATCGTCTTCGATAGAATGTAAATTTTCTTTTTTTGAGATTTAATCAAAATTGAAATTAAAAAAAAAAAAAATTGAGACGATCGAAACACAATACCGAGTTTTTATACAATAATCAGCGAATTTTATCTTCAGTTTTCTGGTTACATTGTAATAATTCTAAAAAATGTCTCTTACTCAAATTTCGTTAGTATCAGGATGCGTTGCACGAGCAAGAAATTTGTAACGTGAGATCATAAAATAAGCTCTAAAAAAAAAACTATTTTAATTACAAAAAAGAAAATTATTTTTCAAACATTGACAATTTTTTCTTTCATAAAAGAAAATAAAAAACATTGTCAACTTAGAAAAAAAGATAATAAAAATTATATTACAAATAAAAAATTAACAAAAAATTTTATTATAAAATTTTTTTTTACTAATTTTTTATTATGTTAGTAATTTTTTATTAAAATCGAAAAAAAAAATTATTAAAACTCCTAAAAAAAAATTATCTAAAAGATTAGTAAAAAATAATAATAATAATAAAAAAGAGTTTACTCTTTGTAAAAATTATCACGTTACAATATTAAAAATTAATGATACCTTACAATCACAATAGAATTATATTTATCGATATATTGTAAACACGTAAATTAAAAAAAAAAAAAAAAAATTTTCTCTTTAAAATTACGAGTTAACCACACGTAAAAACGAAAAGAGTTATAAGGTACTGGCAGTTTTTCTCTGGTTGATAACATGCACAAATAATTATAGGACTAAATTTAAAATTATTCTATAAAAAAAAAAAGAGACTGAAAGTCACGTACAACGGTTCCCGAGACCGCAGACTTAATCCTCTGTTTCGACAATATTTTATCTGACGACAGACTAATATTTTTTTTGTTATTTTCCCTATATTATATAGGTCCTAGGCTCTAGCTTTTAGCATATATTGTTTTAATATATAATATACATATATTTATAATTATTTTTTTTTAAAAACCACGATACGCCTAACGCTTTCCATATCACAAGACATGCCTTTCCATATCACGACTTAGTTTTATGTACACTTTTATTTTGTGTATTGTTTCTGATTTCGCTGCCGTTGTTAATTTTCTTTTATTTTTTTTTTCGTTTTAAAATTAATTAATCTTATTTTCCTAAATTTTCTAATTTAATTTTCACTGGGCTTTATGTCTCGTATTTAAAAATTATATTTTTCTTTTAATTAGAAAAAAAAATTGTTGTTGTTTGTTTTTTTTTTATAAAAACTCACTACTCTCTAATTAACAAAAGAGGTAATAATTAACTAATTATTACTAATGGATTTGTGTGAATTCTCCAGTTGTTTTATGAAAAGGAATTTATTTTTAATTGACCAATTTTATTTAATTTTTAATGCATTTGCAAAAAAAAGGCAAATTTGTATTTTTAATTATTTTAAAGTGAATTTAATTTTTTATACACTATTAATTTTTAATCAATTTTTATTATTCAATTAAATAAATCATTTATTTCTCTTATTAATAATTTTGAATATTTTTACTAACAAATTTAGTAACAATTTAACTACTAGTACTTTCATATTTTTTTTTTATGAACAAATTGTCAACAAATAATTATTTTTTCTCTAAATTGAATAAATTCACACCAATTCATTAGTTATGAATTAATTAAAATTTAAGATTAAAACAATTTTTTTTATGGAAATTTTTTGTTTCGCATTTAGGGAAAAAAAAATGAATTTAGAAAAAAAAAATTGAAAAGTAAATCCTAAGAAAAATTTTTAATTCAGAGTGACGATTTCATGATGTTAAATTCAATTTTCCCACGACCAAGTCGCCACCCTGTTAATTTAAATTAAAATTTTAAGGGCAATTTAATAAAAATTTTATATTAGATTGAAATTTCACTTTTCTGTAGATTAAAAATTGAAGTAAAAGCTTGAAATATACTTTTTGAAATAAATAATAATAGAAATTTGAACAATATTAATTTTTAATTATTAATTATGAGTTATTAACCAAATAATTTTCAATTAATAATTATGAATTACCATAATGTTAATTTGTAAAAAAAAATTAATAAATAACAATTTTTCTTTAAAAAAGCAAAATTAACTTGTAAATTTTTGGTACAATAAAACAAATATTTTACATAAACAAAGAAACAATATTATTAGTAAATTTAAAGCTTTTACTATTTAAATTTCAATTAAGTTTTATGAAAAAAAAAATAATAAAAAAAAAAAATAATAATAATAATAAGAATTTAAATAATAAATTTCAACTGTTCTGCATGATGCTTTTCAACTTCTAAAAATTCGAGTGAATTTTTAAATCAAATTATAAATTAAAGTTTAAATCGAAAATTTCATTTTTTTCAATTTCATTTCATTCAACTTTTAGTTTTTAAATCGAATATAATTTTTGCTAGTATGAAATAAAATTTTAATTGATTGCGTACGAGTCAAAATTTGTCAACTGTGCCAATTTTTTTTAAAAAATTGAAATTTTTTCATGAAATTCACGTTTTTCTATTCAAAAACTGAATAAAAAATACAAGTTAAGTTTAAATTTTGAAGATTTATACAAATTATTGTTATAAACATTTTTGTGTGCGATTTGACAAATTTTTGTTCTTTTTATTAATCTACAAAATTAATTTTTTTGGCATTTGGAATTATTATATTTAAATTAACACCGCTTTCAATTAATATTTCTCAACTTTTAAAAAGTTTAATTTTAATTAGAATAGATTAAATAACATAACATTTGAAAAAATGAATTTTAAATAAAATTTCTTTCAACGCTTCGAAATCACACTGATTTCCTTTTTAGTGAGTCTGACAATAAATAAAACAAATAAAATTTCTAAAAACTATAAAAATGATAAAAATTGTAAAAATTAATTATAATTTATTAATTATTAATTGCTTAATTAAATTTTTTAAATTTTAATAATTTTAATTCAAATTTTAATCAATTTTATTTTATTTTCTCTGACGATAAATAAAACAAATAAAATTATACAAACTATAAACATTAATTAAAAACAAACGAAAATACAAAGAAATTAATGAGACGAAAATTACAAAAATAAATTAACAATGAAACAATTATAAAAATATTAAAATAAAGACAAAAAAGAATATAACAAAAATATACAAAATAGAAGAAATATAAAAATTTATATATAAAAAAAACGAAATTATAAAAGCAGCAAAATAAATAAAATTAATACAAAAATAATACAAAAGGACAAAAATAGTAAAACGAATTAGTATATAAAAACAAAAAAAAAAAAATTTACTAAATAATACGATGAAACAAAATTATCATTTTGATTTTTTGTTTGTCGTTTGTAATTAATTTTTATAATTTTTAGTATTTTATTTATTGTCAGTCTCTCGAAAGAGGATATCAGATTTCGAAGAATTGAAGGGAATGTTATTAAAAATCCCTTTGTCCGAATATTGTCCATTCGTTATTTAACCTATTCTATAAAATTCAATCCCTTTTTTATAATTTCCAATTTTTAAACCCAACTTGTATTTTGCTTCTTCTTCTCCTGCCAAGAAAGCTTTGTATTTATTTACTGTTTTGAATAAAAAAAAAGTTTTCATTTTTCAAAAAATGTTGGCACAGTTCTCTATACACTGAAAAAAAAGGTTTGGTATTAACAACCAAACATTTGGTTGGTATTTAAGCAACCAAAATTTTTTTTGTTGAAACAAAAAAATTTTGGTTATCCCAATCAAACTTTAGTTAGAACAACAAAAATCCTTTTTTTCTAATTTTGTATGTGTCAAACAAATTTTGATTGAGACAATTAAAATTTTGTTGATTCAACAAAAAAATTTTTGTTGCTTAAATACCAATCGAACGTTTGGTTGTCAATACCAAACCCTTTTTTCAAATTACACTGTGCAAGTTTTTAAAATTCGAACCGCTCGAACATGGGCTCGAATCGAAAATTCGAACTTTTGCACAGCTCTAGTGTAATTATTATTTTCTTGAAATAAAAAAAAAAAGGGAAACAATTAATGTAAAAAAAAAAGGTATCATTCACATGAATTTCACGAGGTTAAAGAGCATCAAAAGCAGGTTATTATTATGCTTTTTTGAAACACGCCCAGTGCGTTACGATTTCTCTCAGCACCCAACAGTTTGATCATAAAACTCGAGGTTGATGAGGTTACCCTCTCTCTCTCTCTCTTTCTCTAGAACCTGAGTCCTTGTCTCTTTGATGAGCAGGGCGTCATTTGGCCTTTCAACTCTTGGCAAAACCGCACGACAAAAGAGTTGTCCTCGTCGTCGACTCAGCTTTAAACCGCACGAGATATTTATATAATATAATATAAAGAGAGAGGATAATCTCAGATATCAGCGTAGCGTAGAACCTGATCTAAAATATCCTTATCGACGACAAACCTGCTGGAACTTCCTGATGAACCATGACCATCATGATTTGTTCCATTATGATGATTTGTTGTTGTTGTAGTTGACGTTGTTGACGTCGTTGTTGTCGTTGAACTTTGATGATGATGATGATGATGATGATGATTTGTTGTCGTTGATGAATTGTTGTCGGCAGGCGTTGGTCTCGATCGAATTCGAGCCTCAACAGCGCGATGCCGAGCGACAAGTTGTCTCACCTTATCAGAAATAACAGCCGAGCCAAGACTGTTGCTGGTGTTTGTCTTGCTGGAACATTTACTACCCGATGCTGGTGTACGATGACCCGGTACAGGAACCACTGCCACTGTTGATTGTTGTTGTTGTTGTTGTGTTTGTTGAACATTCTCCTCAACAACTTTTTCACCAGGTGGACGTGGCAATCGTCTACGTAGCCAATTATGCCTTAATGCTTTACTTGGCGTTAAACGTAATTCAGGATCCCATTCAAGGCAACGGCTTATAAAATCAATAAATGATGAATCATTACAGCCACGTAGTGCACGTTTTAATTCTTTTGAACCCGGTGGTCCTCGTCTTTTGCCACGTCGTGATAGACCACCGCAAAGTACTGTTGAACCATCGGGAAATGTTTGCGCTGTACAATACCTTGGATAACCTTTCGAGCTTATAAATTGTCGTGTTCTTTTTGCATTTTCAAGAACACGTGGCGGTGGCATTCCCAAAAGTTCAATAATACACGCCAATTGATCGGCTTCATCTTCGCCTGGCAATAATGGATAGCCAGTTAAAAGTTCCGCTAAAATACAACCCAAACTCCACATGTCTATTGGCATTCCATATTTTGCTCCCAATATCACTTCTGGAGCCCGATAAAATCGACTTTGTATGTACGTGTAAATTCTCTCATTTTCATAACAACTTGAGCCGAAGTCTATCACCTGAAAAGAAAACAAAATTTAGAATTCAAACAAGAAATTAATTTAAAAAATTATTTTTATAATATAATTTTCAAATTAAACAAATTTTTTTTATTTATAATTTTCAAATTAAAAAAATTATTTTTATAATATATAATTTTCAAATTAAAAAAATTATTTTTATAATATAATTTTCAAATTAAAAAAATTAGTTTTATAATATAATTTTCAAATTAAAAAAAATTTTTTTTATTTATAATTTTTAAATTAAAAAAATTATTTTTATAATTTTAAAATTCAATTTTTTTTTTTTTTGCTTTAAACAATGAATAATGGAAATTTCAAAAAAAATTATTAAGTGCTTCTATTTTTGTGAATAATTAATCACTTCTTTTTGGAACGTTGCCAGTATTTTTCAAAAATAGAATTCGAAAAAAAATAGGAAAGCTTTTTGTCGCCCAATATTTTATTCTTTTTTTTTCTTTCGATTTTAGATATAAGACGTGGGAAAATAATGAAGTTTCTCTATTTTCGGAAAATTGAATTAGTAATTAGTTTCACACTCACACCGTTAGCGGGGTAATTTAGAAGAGGCCGAGATAAATCAACTATCGATTTAGTGAGAATCAGGAAACGAACCAAAGAGAAGACCCACTTTAAATAATTAAATTGAAAATTAAAATTTTCACGGCAATTTTTTTTTTATTTTATTAAAAATTAATAAAATTATTAATTATTAAAATTATTAACTATTAAAAGTAATAAAATTATTAATTATTAAAATTAATAAAATTATTAATTATTAAAATCAATAAAATTATAAATAATTAATTTTAAAAAATTATTTTTAATTTGGAAACAAAAATAGCGATTTTCTTTTCTTTCTCCAGGGGGGGAAATTTAATTTTTTCTTTCTTTTCTGTTCTTCTACAAAGTTGAAAAATATTTATGCTGACCAAAATTTACGAAACCCTCATAACTTGTGTGTTGGTAAATTATTATCTTTCGAGGAAATTTTCTCTCAAGACATTATTATCAATATAACGAGCTTTTGTGAGAATATTTTTGAGTGTTTTTTTTTTTTTTTTCTTTTCTTTTAGTTTTTCATGGATATAAATTAAATGAGCAATTCTCGTTATAAGCATGATGCGAAATAAAAATTTAAAAGCTAAGAAAATGACCTTCAAATAAAAGCAGTTTATTTTTTAACTCGTAAAAAAGCACAAAGATACGACCGTCGCAAAAGTTCACTGACTTTTTATATATATGAGATGAGGAAGAGAAAAATTCTCTTTTTTTATGTTTTATCAAAATTTATCTAGCTTTTTAAGTATGTCAAAATAATTTTCTCTCTCGTTATTTTTATAGTTTTAAAAAAGTCAAATAGAAAAATAATTAATAAAATAATAAAAAATAGATAAAATAATAATAAATAATATAAATATTAATAAATAATAATAAATAAAATAAAATATTAATATAATAATAATAAATAATAATAATAAATAAATAAAATAAATAAATAATAAATTTGAAAATAATAAAAAAAATGATTTTTTAAATTCGAAAATTTATTTCAGTTTTTAAAATTGATTTTTCCATTTTTGGTATATCCTCTCTCTTTCAATAAAAAAAATTTGATATAGTATAGATTAAGTGAATTAAAAAGGGAAAATGCATAAAAGAACTATTTCCGTTTATGCTTTTCTCATGAAACAAAAAAAAAAAAAAAACTTTCATGTCGTGTGTGTTATTCTTTTTTCGCACGCATAGAAATATGCATTATGCACCCTCGACAAATTTTTCCCCTATTCAGTGAGTTTAGCTACTTCCTGTGACATGCTATATCTGTTGTCTATACAATTAAATTTATTTACAAAATGGAATAACAAGTTTTGGAATGGGGTGTGCGCGGTGTACGATTTCAAATTCACACAAAAAGCATTGCCCTTCAATTAAAGAAAAATCGATTATTCAATTTTTTTTTTCTTTTGTTTCTATGATAAAATTTTTTTCTTTATAATCGAGAACAATTTTTTTTTTTCAAAATAAAATTTTCTATTTATTTTCTATTAAAATATACTTGAATAAATAAAATTTATTATTTTTACTACTTTTACCATTTTTACTATTTTTTTTTTTTGCAGAATAATTTTTTTTCAAAATAAAATTTTTTTATTTCTTTTTTATTAAAATTTACTATTTTTACTACGCTTACTATTTTTACTATTTTTTTTATTTCTGTAATAAAATTCTTTAATAGAGAACAATTTTTTTTATAATAAAATTTTCCATTTTTTTTTTTGATAAAATTTAAAATATACTTTTTTACTATTTTTTTTTGTTTCTGTAACAAAATTCTTTTATTGAAAATAATTTTTTTTTCAAAATAAAATTTTCCATTTCTTGTTCATTAGAATTTACTATTTTCACTGTTTCCTTTTACTATTTTTTTTTTGTTTCTGTAACAAAATTCTTTAATCCAGAGAAATTGTTTTCAAAATCAAATTTTCCGTTTCTTTTCTATTAAAATTTACTATTTTTTTTTGGTTTCTATAACTAAATTCTTTCATTGAGAGCAAATTTTTTTCAAAATAAAATTTTCCACTTTTTTTAAAATGAAAATTACAGATTTTTACATACTAATTTAAAAATTATGTACTTTGATTCGAGACCCGTTCAATAAATTAATTATTTCAATAATTAATTATTAATTAATTAATCTCAATTATTTAGATAAGGAAATCATTCGAAATAAATATCCATAATTTTGTATATCTAATAGATAATTGAAAAAAAATTTTATCTATAGAAAAATGATAAATGTGATCTATCATAAATCAAAAAAAATTCTCTCCTTTTTTTCGTGTTAGTCGATAAGGGTTTCTTCTAATTGGAATACTTGTTTCACGTCTAAAAGTAACAGGTGGGGTATGTGCTTTCCATTTAACCATGTAAGAGGGTAGGAAAGAGTCCAGAAACTAAGATTCCCTTTTCGAGTTAACGACTTTCTGCTCCTATACACTTTGTTTATTGAATTTGACAAAAGAAGATAAAGTGAAGGACTAGACAAAGGAAATTCAATAAGAATTCAAACCCATTAATAAAAATTCAATACCTTCTACTATATGTACATGTGAAAACCATCAATAATCCCTAAATATATATTATATATATCAAATTCGAGCCGTAAATTACATATTTTGCAAAAATTAAATTTGAATTAAATAAAAAAATTAATCAAAATAATAATTCATTGAAATTTGAAATAAAAATTCATTCGAATAAAAATTAATCGAAATAAAAATTTATTCGAATAAAAATTAATTGAAATAAAAATTAATTGGAATAAAAATTAATTGGATTAATAAATTAATTAAAAAATAAAAATTAATTTCAATAAAAATCATTTGGAATAAAAATTAATTAAAATAAAAAATTATTCGAAAATTCGAATAAAAATTAATTGAAATAAAAATTCAAAGGAGTAAAAATTAATTGAAATAAAGATTCAATGGAATAAAAATTAATTGAAATAAAAATTTATTCGAATAAAAATTAATTGAAATAAAAATTCATTCGAATAAAAAATAATTGAAATAAAAATTCAATAGAATAAAAATTAATTGGATTAATAAATTAATTAAAAAATAAAAATTAATTTCAATAAAAATCAATTGGAATAAAAATTAATTAAAATAAAAATTTATTCGAAAATTCGAATAAAAATTAATTGAAATAAAAATTCAAAGGAGTAAAAATTAATTGAAATAAAAATTCATTCGAATAAAAAATAATTTAAATAAAAATTTAATAGAATAAAAATTAATTGGAATAAAAATTCATTCGAATAAAAATTAATTTGAATAAAAATTGTAACAAAAAATACTGTGAAATTAGAAAAAAATCTCAAGAATAATAAAATTGTCAAAAATAATTGATAAGAAATTCTCGTGTCCTCTTATTGTCCTTAGCAACAAGAAAAAGGAAAAAAAATGTCGATATTTGGTTAAAAATGTAAAAGAAATCTCTTACTCAAATATCTGTATATTGGTAAATATAATATTTCAATCTGCAAAATTGAATCGATATAGAACTTTGTAATATATATTTGAATTTCGTGACTTATGACTATATGAATTCGTATATATGAAATGAGTTAAAATATTCTAAAATCAAAAATGAAAGATTCAGGTCAAAGTATAAAATTTCGCACATTCGTCTTTAATTTATTTTAAAGTTTAAAATAATTTTTTCCAATAAAATAGCGAAAATTTGAAATATTTTTTTTCGACTGATAAATTCCAAAAAAATTTCTCTCATTTTTTCCATTACTAAGTAAAAATAATAATAAAAAAAAAAACTGCACACAAGATAAAAATCAGCCTTGAGAAAGTTTGTTTCTCCAATTACAAGTAGTTTGTTTCCTGTATTTGCACTAAATAACGCCACTTTGAAGGTGCGCACATATACCCTTCATGCATAGACTTTATTACTACCGGAATAGTCATTGACCGTTAAATTTCAGTCTCGAATTTATAATAATTAAAAAAAAAAAGTAAAATTAATTTCAATTTTTTAATTTTATTTTAATTAATTTTATAAATAAAATACTATAAAATAAATTTCAAAAAATTATCTAAATTTAAATTTCGAATTTCTATTTAAATTAATAAAGTGTATTTTTTTCCCTGTGAGAAACATTTTCAATATTGACTTTATTATTTACAAAAATTATAATATTGATGTTAACACTTGTGAAAAAAAAATATTTTTTTCAAACAATTTTATGTAATAATAAACAATCGTAAAAGTGGAACAAGAAATGCAAAAAAAAAGAAAAGAAATGTCATTGACTTTTTTTTTCTTTTTTTGCAATCTCTAATTATCTCGTAACACGAGTCTCTATAACAAAAGTTTTAATTAACTCTTCGAGACTGATAGCATAAATTCATAAATAATCGGAAAAAAATGAATATATTTTTTTTTATCAGAAAATATTAAATGGTTTTCTTTTTATCATGTGGAATTCAATTTTCATCGGGCTACCGGAAATAGTTTCAAAATTAAATTTTTTCTTCTACTCCAAAATCTATTTTCTGATAATGAACCATTTTTATAATAAACAATAATAAAAATAAAAAATATAATAAGAATATAAAATTTCAATTTTATTTTATTAATATTATTTTTATTATTTATTTATTAATAAAAAATTTGTTGAATAAAATTATTCAATAAAAAAGAAACAAACAAAGAATCTAACAAAAAAATCCCAAATGAGAATAAAGTCAACGACTTTATGAATCATAAAAAAAAGTAAAAACCTCAACATAAGGATTTATGAAAGAAAAAATTTTATCAGAAGTTCATGGCCAGAAAATAAACCGTTACATTTTATAAACATATCTTTTATGTGACGAAAAATGGCAATTTTATTAACCACAAGAATTTCAATGTATTAACCTTTTTCTTCTTTTGTTTTTAAGATCAAACATTTTGAATTTTTTTTTTTTTTTTTTTTTTTTTTTTTTTTTTTTTTTTTTTTTTTTAGTATAATCAAAAATTAATTTCCCCTTTAAATTACAAAAAAGTAAAAATTTTTTACACCTCTTGTCTGCAAATCAAAGAAATGGATAATAATTTAAATTTTGTTTTCTTTTGTTGCGAAAAAAAAAAATAACCAAGGAACATATAGATCGAAATGAGAAACAGATGTTCATCGGTTTATCCATTTCAAGGATGCTGTATATAAAAAAATTTTCTATATACGATAACGGTAATATTCAATGTGCATAATTTCTTGTAATAACGTTCATAAAACTGCCATGGCTTAGCTTTCACAATTATCTCAAAGCTTCCTATAAATTTATGAGTCATTTCAACTTATATGTTCTTGTGTTTAATGTGATTATTAAATTGTAGACTGATATTTACTTCTAATTAAGACACTTTTCGCGTTTCGTGAAATTGTTGCTTTTTCAAATTATTCTAAAAATTTAATTTAATTTTTTAAATAATATAAAAATAAAATATTTTTTCTCTTTCCGTGTATTTTCCAAAAAAATATTTTATTTTTTATTTATTAAGAAAACTATTTTTTTCTCTATACATATATTTTTCAAAAATATTTTGCCTAATAAATAAAAATAAAACAAAATAAAATATTTTTGGAAAATATCGAAAGAGAAAAAATAGTTTTTGCTTCCAAAGAGGCAAAAAAAAAAAAAATTTTGCTTTCCAAATTGTTTTTTTTCTAATTTATTTTGGAAATATAACAAATATTTTTCTATAAATAAAAATAATCTTGATTAATTAAACAAAGTAAAAAATATTTTTTGGAAAAAAAAACGAAAGAGAAAAAATATTTTGCTTAATAAAATATTTTGGAAAATATGGAAAGAGAAAAAATAGTATTTGCTTCCAAAGAGGCAAAAACAAAAAAAATTTTGCTTTCCAAATTGTTTTTTTTTCTAATTTATTTTGGAAATATAAAAAATATTTTTCTATAAATAAAAATAATCTTGATTAATTAAACAAAATAAAAAATATTTTTTGGAAAAAAAGAAACGAAAGAGAAAAAATATTTTGGAAAATATGGAAAGAGAAAAAATAGTTTTTGCTTCCTGTGGAGGAAACTTTGTAAATTTTTTTTTTTTTTTTAATAAAAATTTAATTTGAAAACCAAACAAAATATTTTTTTTTAATAAATAAAAATAAAAAAAATATATCGAAAGAAAAAGAAAAATAACAAAGGAAACTCCCCCCCTCCCCTCTAAATATAAATAAAAAATATATGCGCGTAAAAATTTATTTTTAACGAGACAAATTCTTTAAAAAGAATCAGGAAACTGCGAGAGGAGAAGAAAGGGATAAACTTCGATTTTTTTTTAATGATAGAAAAAGCCTTATAGTGATTTTTCTCATCAAGGCTGCATCATCAAGTTGTGTGTTATAAATTTCCAATAACTGTATAGCGAGTGGATACATTAAAAGCTGCGCTATATTGACTCAAAATCTATTAATAGTGTGTATACCGTGAACCTATTCTCACTTCTATTTTTACGGATCCGTTCCTGATGCTTCTTTATCATGCTCAACGATTTTCATTTCTCTCCCTTTAAATGCTTTTCTTTTTTTTTTTTTCTTTTTTTTTCCAAAGGCTCACTGATGCTTTTTTACATATTACTATAAAGTTTCCTAAAGCTTTTCACATCAAGGCGTAAATCGGAAAAATATATATACTCTACATATGCCAAAGAGAAGGGTGAAAGATCTGGAGCGTCATTTTATGACTTCAGTCTCGAGTGAATAAACCCTTTTTACAAATCATACTGCTCTAACAAACATTTAATAACAAAAAATAAATAAAATTTTTATTGTCACTGATTTTTTTTTTTTAATCAAATTTAAATGAGAAATTGAAAATTATCAAAAAATTAAATAAAAAAAAAGAATAATTAATTATAGTTAAATAATTTATTTTATAACAAAAAAAAAATTAATAAATAAAAATAAAATAAATAAAAAAAATTAATAATAGAAATAATAAATAAATAAATAATAATTATTATTAGAAAATTAATAACAAATAACTAAATTTAAATTTAAATTAATGACGGATAAAAAAATAATTTTTTGATAAAAATTTACCAAAGAAAAAAAAATTTTTTCTTATCAAAAAAAAAATTGGAACTGTTTTTAAATATTTATTTTTAGTTATATAAATTTAATGTAAAAAAAAATCCGAGGTGAAAAAATCAAAACTTTTGAAAATCGCAAAAATTTTCTTCAATTCTATTCGACTTAGCTTTTCACAGATAGCTGAATCAACATCATTAAATATCTTTCCGCGAGGATCTTTTCTCTTGTTAGTGAGTGACGAGAAATGAAAGGAAAAAGATAGAGATTAAAGAACCCCAAACCTATTCGATTTTTTTTTCATTCTTTTTTTTTTTTTTTTTTTTAAAAGGAAATAAAGGTGGTACAGTGATGCTTGAAATTAAAAATAAAAAACGATAGAAAAAAAAGGAAGAGTTATATAAGGGCCAAAAATTGAAATTTATAAAATAAAAAAAAAATGGAAATTATTTTTTTCTACATCAAAAAAAAAGGACAATAAAACCAGTAACCGAAAAAAGGATTTTAAAAAATTTACAGTACATTATTTATTTGACGTTGTAAAATTTTATGGAAGGCAAAATAAATTTTTTTTTTATATATATATATATTTTAAGCTTTTAAAATTTATATTCAAGTCAAAAAGTAAAGATTTATTTTTCATTGTAATAATATTTTTGAAACAAAATTTTTTTCAGGTCAAAAAACATAAAATAGTTTTATTTCTTTTTTTAATTTATATTCACTGTTTTATTAAAAGTTCTATTCGGTTGCTAAATTTATTAAAAAAAAAAATTTCCCAATTAAATTAATAATAATCGTTGTTTTGATTTTAATTCAAAAAATTGAAAATCTGAATTTTTTCAATAAAAAAAAAATTTGCTATTAAATAAAATTATTTATAATAACAAATAATTTTAATAATAATTATAATAACTGTTACAAATGAAAAAAAAATAATAACAACAATAATAATAATAATAATAATAATAATAATAATAATAATAATATTAATAATAAAAATAAAATTTTTACTAAATGAATTTAATTGTAAATGTGGAAATTAAAAAAAAAAATTTATTGCTAAACGTTGAATACTTCCGCATCATAAAAGAAATAATAAATTATAATATATTAATGATTTGCTCTTTTTTGAAAAATTGATTGTTTGTCTATTTTCACACTTTACACTAATATGATTTCATACACTTTAATTTAATGGAAATCATTAATAGCAGGAAATCGCGTATGACGTGATTAATTAGATTTATACAAACAATGCGCGTCAAATCAATTCCAAACAAAAAGTTTACAATAGAGAAAAAAATAAATAGTTTGTCTTTTGTTCTTCTCATTGTTTCAATATATATATATTTTTTCAATTGATTCCGAATTTTAATGAATCAGTTTCCGACCTTACTTAATTTAGTAATACAACTAAACGATTAATTTTTTTTTTTTGCTCGTTAATTACATTTAATTAACGTCAATAAGTGAATTTTAATGATTTTTTATTCCTATAAATTATTATTATATTATCATTACTATTATTATAATAATTATTTTTTTTATTTATTTATTTAAATAATAATTATTTTTTTATTTATTTATTTAAATAATTATTATTTATTTATTTCAATAATAATTATTTTTTTAAACTATAAAATATTTCATAATTACATAAATAAAACATAATGACGTTATTATTTGTTATTTTATTTATTGTTTCAGATATTTTTATTTTATTGTTCTTTGTGTTATTTATAAATAAAAGAAAAAAAGAGAGAAATATTTATGAAACATAAATAATAATATAAATACCTAATACAAATATATTATGCTATAAAAAATATTTATAGATATTTAAATTATTGTTTTTATAAATTTTTATTCTTTTTTCATTTTATAAATAACATAACAAATAGAAAATTATTGCAAAACCTGCAAGTATTTTTAATTGCATTAATTATTATAACTACAAAATAAATGGGAAATTTTAAAATCCTTGCAAATGTTTACTTTTCGTATTGTCTAGCAGGGTTGCGATCTTTGTTTATTTTTTTTTTTTGAGAAAGACAAATTGTTTGTCAACACACAGTATAAAATTTAAAGAGATTATAATAAAATTACTAAATTTAAATTAATATTGTTTCGAATAAAAATAATTTTGAATTTTCAAATTTTTACCTTAATTCCACTTCGTCCTTGTTGTTTAAGTAAAACATTCTCCGGCTTCATGTCACAGTGAATAATTTTATTTTTGTACAAGGCTTCGAGGCACTGAAGCAACGAATGCGCAAATTTTCTCACCAATTGAAGACTAAATCCTTGAAATTTATTCTTCTTAATCAATTCATAAAGATTGATACTTAACAATTCAAATGTAATACACATATGATTTCTAAATGTAAACGAGTCAAACATATGTATAATATTCATTGTATTGTCCTTATCTTGTTCACGTAAATTTCTTAATATTCGAATTTCCTCATGTGCTTGACGATGAAACCTTTTTTCATTTCTCACCATTTTCAATGCAATATGCTCTTGACTTTTATGATCGTATGCCTTAACAACCTGTCCAAATGATCCTTTACCAATAACTTTTAACACTTCATATCTATATGCCACATGATCGTGTATTATATGAATATATGAACCTTGATCATTATCATAATCATTATTATTTGGCATACCAATAATTCCCGGTCTTTTTTTTGCATTCGCTCCAATAAAGTAAATTTGTCGATAATTAAAAATTTCATGATGCTCATATGCCGTCAATTTATTCATATAAAGTTTCATCACTAATTCAGGTGTCACTGCCATTGTTTTTGGCTTTCCACTACTCGAATTCCCATCCGACTGACCATTCTTCACCATTGGACTGCTTGATTGACTATTTGTTTGCGAGTAACTTGAATTATGACTCGAATTGTGTGAATTGTGACTATTATGGCTAGTGTGACTTGCGTGTGAACATAAACTCAAATTTAAATTCTCTGAATTATTTGTCAAATTTTGCAAGCTATTATTTGTACTTGATTCTAAAACAGGTAAATAAACTTCCTCATGACTCCATTGAATCACAGGTGATTCGCCCTGTTTTAAAACCATATTACCGGCTTTTAATGGTGGTAAATGATTATTTTCATTATTGATGTAAGTCTGCGTTGATGCTCCAGATGGATTTTGTTTCGAAAGGGGCATCTCAATTGTTTTTAAACTTAAACTTGTCATTTGAGCCCATTGAGATCTTTTTTTTATTTTCCTCTCACCATGCTAAATTCTTAATCGTTCTTCTAAATTTGAAAATACTTTTAAACTTTCTAATTTTGAAAAACGTTTTAAATTTTTTGTCCAATTTAAATCCAATTTCCAAGCTTCCTTTTCATTTGTAACAAAAATTTTTTCCTCTTCTTTTTTATAATTGTACTTTAAATCTGTCTCTTTGCTCTTTAAAGAATTTTCATTGATCTTTAAATGTATCTTGCTATTTAAAGAATCTTTTTTGACCGTTAAAGAATTTTCCTTGCTCTTTGAAGTTAAATTCTTCTTCTCTTCCTTTTTTTTATTTGCAATAATTCGATTTGAAATTATACTAAAATTTTTTGTAAAATTATTATTTATCTTTGAAATAGAATCACCTACATCTCGTCCTTCTTCAACAAAATTGCAGGACATAGTTTGAGTATCCTCTTTGAAAAAATTAAATTAATCACCTATATATTTGAAAAATTCTTCAGTCTCGTTTTTCGTCACTCTCCGTCACGTTATCTCATTTATATCACTTTTTTTTAACTTATTTAAAAAATTTCCCCGGAATAAAAATTTTCTTAATTATTTTTTGAAAATTAGTTCATGAAACTGGTAAATGCAGAGGACTAGAAATATTTAAGATCTGTTTTAATCACGACGATAAAGAAACTATGACTCTTTTAAAGGTGGCGACGATTAGTCACTTTTTTTTTTTTTTGTGTTCTAATTATTTATTATAATTGAGCTAGCTTTCGAGCGTCTAATTTTGTAATCTAGCGTGTAGAAAAGCAAACGCATCGTGTGAGCCGTCTAGCTGAAAGGTTGTTGGCACCAGACCGGCCAAGTTTGATGACTCTGATCCATTCAGTCGTAGTCGTCGTTCCTCTTCGCCAAAAATGCGATTCCGAGAATTTGTATCCGCCCTTTGAAAAACCTCTTGATTTTCACCTCTGATCGATCCTTGTCGTTGGAGGTGCATTTCCCCTTGCAGGCCATGCAGCTACACTTTTTTTTTCTTTTTCCCCTCTATTTTCCTACGACGCCAAATAATAAACTCAGCCACAATAATTAATCCACACAACTTTCCAGGGATTTCATTTTTAAAAAAAATTTCACTCACTCCACTTATCTTCTTTATCACTTTTTTTTTCTTTTTTTATTCAACTAGACATTATTTTCACGAAATTTTTATTTTACACGAGGTTGAACTTCCCGTAAAAGCGTTATATACTGAAAAATATTCACATACAGGGCACTATGTGTGCACATGTGTAAATTTTCTTTTTCACAACGATTTTCTGTTCATTTTTTCATTGTTTTCACATTTGAGATCGATTTCTGTCAGAATGGGTTATTCACATGTAAACACAAAACAAATTTTGTATATGTAACTTGGCCGCAAGAGACTCACAAGTAAGGAAAACTGTCACTGGACGTCAATCGCACCAACTTTAGGTTTCACTATAAAGAACTTACTAAAGAATTGGTAGAAAGTAGGAGGGGGTGGGGATGCATCTCGTGGTGTATATGCTCATGAGACTGAAAGAGAATCTATATATCACTCTTTACTAACATTAAACTTTGTTTCTTTGTTACACACAAACCCGCCACCATGTTTTATTGATGTTTATTTTTTTCTACTTTGTTTCCCCCGATTAAAGCACTTGGTATATAAGAGAAACAAAAGCAGGAAAAGGATTGTTGGAGAGGGGAGACGAGACACAAGGTCCTTTGCTTTTTCGCGATTCGATTCTTGACGGCCGATGCTCCTAGAGGGCAGTGATTTTTCTCAGAAAAGAGATGCAATTGTTTCTTTTCATTTTTTTTATTATTTTTATTGTTAGAAAATAATTCTAACTGAATTCGTATATTATTGATATGGAGGATATGGGCAGGTATTTATGGCGGTCTTTTTCAATTTGAGGTTAAATTCTCTCTTGTTTAAATGCAAAAATTTTATATAATTCTTTAATAAATCTGTAATTTCATAAGCATTCTAAACGCGGTTTCACTTAAGAAATTAATGTTGATTTAATTGTCACCGTGTAATGTACGTTTTTCAATAAAAGAATAGCTGCGAACAATTACGCGCTTTACACTTGCGCAAAACAATATTTTTTTTATAACGCGCATGCGCATCTCGAGGGTATTTAACTCTCAGGAACGTAGCTATAATTTTCAGTGCCCTTGAAATTTAAAAAAAAATTCTTTTTGTTTTTTAACTACAATTTTTATATTATTTTTTGTAAAATAAATGTAAATGTACTTAAATTCATGTTATAATTAAACGTATTGTTTATTTTTGATGAAACTGTTATTTTTTTTGCAAAACTTTTTTTTTTTTGCAACAGTGTTGCCACTATAAGAAAGTGGACAATGTCAAGTGCTGCCCTCTAGTTACTCGCTTATCTAACCTAACCTTAACTTTCACAAAAGCGTCACTGTAGGTCAGACAGGCTTTATTTTGACAAAACAAATAATCTTGCGTTTCACAGCTGACATCGAAAAAAATTAAGTCGTAATACAAGTTGAATTATAAATTTAAAATAAAGAAACAAAATGACTTCGACAATGAAATCATTTAAAGAAAGGCGAACCTATGGTGAGTTATAGAATTCATTAATCTATAAAAAACGTTTCTTAGAAAAATGGAAAATTGTATATACAAAGAAAGTTTACACGCAATAATTTCTTTTGATAAATATCAAACACTATTGATAAATTTATAATTCATGTTCTTTATTGTCATTAATTATTCATAAATTGTGATTGTATTATAATTTTTTTGTTTTATTAATTTATTATGTTTGACTTTGAAAAATTGGACTCGTCTTGATAGTTAAGTAATTATTGAGGCTTCTCTATATAACTAGAAAGTGTCAGTAGAATAAAATTTAGAAAATAGTTTTAGTTTTTAATTTCTAAGGAATTTGATTTATTTTTAAAGGAGATTTTTATTTAAATAAAAAATATTGATATTTGTTAGATATTGTTATTGATTTTAAATATAGAGAAAAATATATTCAAAATTTCAAATAATGTAATTCCGAAAGTGACATTTTATCGAGAAGAATGGTGATTTATGAAGCTGTGTTTTATTGCACAATAAAGAACTTATCTATTAATTACTGTTATAATGATTAACTTTTTATTAAAAAAAAAAAATGTTTTCCAAACATCAAAAATTTTATTAAATTTCACTTTCTTTTATAGAAAAAAACTTTTTATAAAAATAGGAATTATCAATTTTATTTGATAAATTAAAATCTAAAAAAAGGTTAACCTTTGATCTTTTATTTTTTTTTTGTTACTAATCACTATTTATCGAAGCAAAAAACTTATTATTAATTTTTTTAAAAAATTTATTCAACTTGTTTTTTTAATTATATGCAATTTTGTGTTAATTAGCACAACGTGTAGCTGATGTAGAGCTCATAAAGAAACAACATCCAAACAAAGTTCCTATAATTGTTGAGAGATATTATGCAGAAAAATTATTGCCACTTTTGGATAAATCGAAATTTCTAGTTCCTGATCATCTACCAGTTGCAGAACTGATTAAAATTATAAGGTAATTTTTTTTGAAAATTATATTTTTATATAATTATTGATAAATAAAATTTTATTTTCTTTTTATTTTTCAAAAAATAATAATTTAGTTTTTTATTTCTTGTGTACTTTTACAAAGGATTTTTTTTTTTAATGGTAATTTGAAATAAAAATGATATTTTTTTAATTTCCGCAAATAATTTCTTATTTACAATGACTGAGAAATAAATTGCGCATTAAATGATAATGACAATTTTTATAGACGTCGATTGCAACTAAATCCAACACAAGCATTCTTTTTATTGGTGAATCAAAGGTGTATGGCTAGTGGTAGTATGACTATGGCTCAACTTTATCAACGCGAAAAAGATGAAGATGGCTTTCTTTATATCGTGTTTGCGAGTCAAGAAGTTTTTGGCCACTTAGAGTAAGAATTTTTCCCTTTTTATTAAAGGTAAGATTTTCTATTTTATAGAATTTTATTGTTACCATTTAAAAATATTTTTTATAATTATTATAAATTATAATAATTTAATTTAATTATTAATTATTATTATTATTAATTAAGATTGTAATTTTTTTATTTTTGAATTTATAATATTTGATATTAATTTTTTCAGATAATTGTACAGCTTTTTAAATTTAATTAAATATTTTGTTTTCTGTCTAATAACGTCAGAATTTCTGGGTGTTAAAACTATTACAAGTTTTGCTTGTAAATAAATGGTAAATCCACAATATTAGAAGTTGGAGGAATTTGTTATATCAAGAAAAAAAAAGCCTTCTTCAGAGACATCGTGCAATTTCCAATTAAATTGATTGCAGGAAATAATAATTGTTCTTCATGAAATAACTACTGAAAAAATAAGTTTTTTTTTTTAGGAAAATTTGATTTTAAGATAATGTAAGTAGTTAATTTTCATTATTATTGAATTGTAGGAAAGTGTGTACGATTGACACTTACCTAAAAAGAATATATTATTATTATTATTATTATATATAGAGAGAGAAAGAAAGGAAGAGAGAGAAAATGAAACTGTGAATTATCAAGCTCGTGTATCTATAAAAAAAAATTAGATATACCAAAACCTAACTATGACTATGAATGTTTAACTTTAAAGACGATATTACATTCTAAGATTTTAGGATAGAAAAAAATAGTGAAATATTTGCGTGACTTATAAGTCGTATTGTATATAAAGATGTCCTCTTTAAAAAAAAAAAAATTTTAATCAGCACAAACTGAGAAAAATGCAAAAAATACAGATTAATCACAAAAGTCATGTCATTTCCAAAATATAAATTTTAAAAGTGAGATTTCAAGACACGTAATGTACCTGATAAACAGTCATTGTTTTTTTTTCGTTCCAAAGTATATATATATATATATAGCATATATATGTGTGAAAACTACTAGTAGTTTTAATCTCTGATCTGAAAATGCGATATTTGCTCCTTTTTCAAGGATATTTAGATAATTTCAAAAAAAAAAATTTAAATAAACTGAAAAAAAAGAGTTGAGAAATAATTTACGATTTTTTATCCCAATGTATATTTAATTCATACTGTGTAAAAAGTTTTCTTCTCTTTTTCAAATGTATGTAGTTTAATATATATGCAGAGGACACAAATCTATATGATAATATTATAAGTGAGCATTATCTTACGAATTATAAATTCGTAGAATTTAATTTTTTATTTAAAAATTTTTTTTTCATAAATTTCGAATTTAATTTTAGTTCTCAACGATTATATATATATACAATTTTCTCTATAAATATTTGTGAGCAAAATAATTTTGTGATGTTACATTATATTTTTAACTTTATTTTTAGTTTTCGTTTATATAATATTTGACAAAAAAAAAAAAAAAAAATGATACTTTTAATTTATTATATTGACAATGTAAAACATATTGTGCGAAAAATGAGTCATTTTCTATATATATATGAATCGAATTCTGAACAGAAAGTGTATATTTTTTTATTGCGAAAAAAAGTACACATTATTGTCACCGATATAATTGCGTATAATTCAGAAATAAAATAGAAAATGAATATATAAATATAGAATTTTTTTTTCATATTCTATTATAAAATAGATCTATTTATTAGTACATTTAATTTTTAATGACAATATATAATAAATAAAAAGTGCTGTAAAAAAAGGTGGTCGTTTATATATTACCCTATATTTTATACTTATTTTGGCCTAAATTAATAAAAATAGTAATAATAAATTGTAATTTTTAGTTTTTTTTTATAATTATTAAAAATAACAAAATAACATTCTAATTAAAAATAATTTGTATTAAACTAAAAAAAATAATTTAATATTTGTTAGGAATTATCAAATTTTTATATTAATTAATAAAATTAGTTAGTAAAATAATTTTATTAACTAATTAATAGAAATTTTTTTAAAATATTGTTACAATAACAATAAATGTAAAAATTGAATTTTTTTATTCTTTAAATATAATACAATTTTGAGAGAACAGTAATATATTAATAATATAAATAAAGCCATTAGGCCAAACACTGGTTAACATCATTTACCTACTAAATTAAATGATATAAATAATAATTATTATGTAAAAAAATATATATAGATAATAGAAATATTAACCTCTCAATTTTTTTTACTGTTATAATATTTTAGTATATTTGTGATTTTAAATAAGCGCGGTTCATAAATCGATATATCGTAAAAATCGATTAAGTTTCTTCGATACTCCGCTAGAGTGCGCGCTACAGCGTCGCTAGCGCGCTCGCTCATTGGACGCTCGCATCAGCCAATGGGACGCAGTCTGATTCTTGCGTTGGGTGAGTGGGGCGCGAGCGGAGCTCAGTCTGGCGTTGGCGCTCGGAAGGGTAAGTACTGGTTCAAGAGTGGAGCTGCCAACCTACACGCAATTAAGTGTTTGGTTTTGAAGGCCCATTTTTTGTTCCCTTGTTCAGTAGAAGTGCATTCAATGATGAATAATAATTTTTATTTTCTTATATTGAGCTATTCGTTTGCGAATTCCATTAGATATGAATAAAAATAATTTGTTGCTTGTAAGTATAACATCGTGCCAACTTATTTTAACCAAAATGTAAATTATTTAACAAGGGAACCGATTATTTATCCTTCCGATGCTAGCTGAGCTTATTCGTCCATCAAAAATAAATCTGTTTTAAGTCTTAATAAAAAGAGTGGAGTAAATTAAAATTAGTGCGCGGAGTGTTTTGATTATTGTGAAGCAATTTAATATTCGATGACGTGAAAAATTGTTAGTTTTCTAGTGTTGTGCGGTTTATTAAAATTTCCCGAGTGTTGATTGAGATTTTGAAATATGGTGTGTTAAAGACAGTGCAGTGATTCCATAGGAGAGGATAAATGAAGAAAAGTCTTTTGGAGGAACGTTATCGCTTCGCCCAGGAGGAAGGGTCAATTTCGTCAACGTGGGATTCGCCGATCGGCGAGTGTTTTTTTTTATTTAATTCCTTCCCTGTTTGAGTTTTCTAAAATCAATTAACAGTTTAATTATATAAAATAATTTAAAAATTAATTTTTTAGACAGAATTTTTATTTTATGAATGTTGGCATAATTTTCTTTTTTTTCGAAATATATCACATTTATTCAAATGAATATAAAAATTTACAAAACAGGGAAGGAGAACAGCAACATAGTGACGCCATTGGTACAATGTATTATTTTGTAGTAAAGTTTATTATACTACATAATTTTATATTTTGCCAATGTTTTTCTTTTTTGTCTATATGTTTATGTATTATTTTGTTTAATATTTGATCTTTCGTAATGTTTCTTTTGATTCAAAGTAATTTTTCTCTTTTTCAAAACTGAATTAAAATTTAATTTTTATTTTTCTCTTTTTTAAAACTAAATTAAAATTTGATTTTTAACATTATATGAATTTTAATTTCATTAATAATGCCTATAGTTTTTTCATTAAAAAGTAAAGTTAGTGCATGAAAAATTTTGAAATCAAATTTTTTGATAATTTCAATTAGGTAGGTACTAATTTGTTATTTACTTTTCAGCAATTTTAGTGATTTTCGATCTTAGATCTCGGTTAACCTGTTAACGTTCCGGGACGTTAACCCCTAGATTTTTTGTTTTAAATATAGCTATAGGTAGGGAAATCCGTAACAGATTTTTTTCGCTTTAAATATAGTTGTAGGTAGGGAAATCGGGAAATCGTTTACACTAGGTTTTTTCGTTTTAAATATAGCAATAGGTAGGGAAATCGGTATAATGTCACAATAACTGGAGTTATTGAAAATATAATTTCATTGATACTTTTATCTTGTCACTATGTTGCTTAATATATTTTTTTAAATTTTCGAATCGTATTAAATATTGTATTTTTTTAATTTAATTTACAGTTGATTATTTTATAACATTAGATGTTATTTTAATTGTTGTACAAGTACTTTAATACTTGCAATATGTTTTTATATATTAATTTTTACGTTATTTAATTAATTATTAATTAACAAAATTAAACATTAATTATTAATTAATTAATTATTAATTTAATTTCATTATATTTTAAATATATTATTTTTTTGAATGATATATTTATTTCAAATTGACATTTTATTTTTTTTTAAATGTATAAATAAAACACAATTTACATTTGGAAATTATTGCAGTGTAAAAAATTCAATTTTTAACCTTTTGAATCATTAACAGTTATATTTGAATAAAAATTACCACTTTGACAGTTGATAATAACATAACCTAAAATTTGAAAATAGTTTCTTACTGTCAAAAATTTTAAATCTTTATTCCAATGCAACTATTGATTCAAAGTGTTAAAAATAAAATTGCAAACACTTTTACTGAAAAATTGTTTAATTTAAAAATTGTTTATTTATTTAAAAACAAAAAAATAGAAGGCTAGATTAATTTTTTTTACCGTCTGTCCAAATTCTAAAATTAATGTTTCAATTTATTTTGACAATGCTGAATTAAACATTAATTTTTGTTCAAAAAACAAATTAAAAAATTAAAACCAATTTTTATTTATGTTAAAATTGATTATTGATTTTTGGCATAATAAAAATGCTTATAAAGATTATACATACTTTTTTTATTTTCAATATTGCAAACAAAATTGTAATTTAAAAAAAAACGCATATATCTGATAAACTTGAACTTGTAAACATTTTAAAAGTCAAACACGCTCCACTGGTTCTTCACTCCAAGAAGCGCAATATTTCTTATTCTGCTTTCCATTTCTCTATGATTTCTCTCTTTAATTGCATTTATAAATATATACATCTGACTACTTCATACCTTCAATTTAATAACTTCTTGCGCGGGAGATAAATAATTTTGTATATTCCATTACATTGATGCGCTAATGTATCATTTCGTATTCTTTCATTCTTTTTATTGAATTTTAATGATTTTTTTACTTTTTTTAATTGTGTATTAAACCAAATCCACTTCTGGGCCGAAAGGCTGAAGCTTAATTAATAAATAATAATATTGAATTTTAATGAAAAAAAAAGAAAAATGAAAAGTATTTAAATTCAAATAAAAATTAATTAATAAAAATATTAATTAAATATTAATATTCCCTTATGAAAATTTCTTATAAGAAATAATAATGTTAAAGCTGAAATGTTTTCAGTATAATGTTTTTTGTATAATATTTTCGCGATTATGAGCCAAAAATTCTGAACGTTCAAATGAACAAAGTATTTTTTTTTCAATTTATAAATTATTAAAAATTATAATGTCAATGTTAAATAAAACAGTGAATTAAACAAATATTAAATTAATAACTTCTTTTAAAATTTTTTAATACAATATTTTGTAATAAAATTCGTACTTAAAGAAGGTTCAAAAAAATTTTTTGTTCATTTGAACGTTCAAAACTTTTGGCTCATTCGCGATTATAGGTAATTTTTTATAAGAAATTCATTATAAAATTTTTTTTCTCAAATAATTATAAAAATATAATTATTAGAGACTCTGTAATGAAATCATTACAATTTTATAATTATGAAAATGTAATTATAGAAAATAAAATTTTTCACGTGCAAAAATTAAAATATTATAAAATTAAAATTACAAAAATTTAATTATAGAAATTTTGTATTTTACTGATAACTATATATAGTTTTGTAATTTTATATAATTAAATTTTTGTAATTTTAATTTTATAATATTTTAATTTTTGCACGTGAAAAATTTTATTTTCTATAATTACATTTTCATAATTATAAGATTGTAATGATTTCATTACAGAGTCTCTAATAATTATATTTTTATAATTATTTGAGAAAAAAAATTTTATAATGAATTTCTTATAAAAAATTACCTATAATCGCGAAAATATTATACAAAAAACATTATACTGAAAACATTTCAGCTTTAACATTATTTTCTTATAAGGAATTTTTATAAGGGTTATTAATAGTGATTAAATATTATTTTAATAAAAATTAATTATTTTCAAAATATTAATTTTTTACTTAATTCAAAACTATATAAATTTATAAACAATTAAAAATTACATACTTTTAATTATAAAATAAAAAAATAAAAATTATCATTGAAATTCGCTGTTACAGCAAAATACCTTTATTTAATTAAATTAATCAGCGGATAAAATTAAAAAATAATGAATATTAAAAAAATAATTTCACGAAGAGTGCGCGCATACATTTTAAGTTCGTGTTATTTAATTATAATAGCAATGTTAATTTTTGTCTATAATAATTTGTTTGGAAATTTTCATTTTCTATAATAAAATGGATGAATCTGAAAATTTATAGAAAATGAGAGTTCCTCTCCCTTCTTTTTTTTTTTAACCGGAAAGAAATTTTCTGCTATATTGTTATTTAGAGCGCGAGTCGGGTTTTGCGCTTTTAATTGCAAATTGATTTTAGTCTCAGAAAAGAAGTGAAGTTGGGCGGAGTTTCTTTGTTACTGGACATGCCTGGCTAGTTGCTCTTTAAAGTATATAAAGCTAGAAATTGATGTTTCTTGATTCAGTGTACTTCTTTTAATTGCCAGGAATCTTCTGTTACACTTCAAATTCAATAAAGTACGAAATTCGATCGAAATGAGCGGCAAGATCTTGGTAAGGTGCTTATGGAAATCAACCAGTGCTGAAATTTATCCAGAAAAGTGTAAAGTCTTCAAAAAATGAAAATTCTTATTTTTTGACTTTATTTTTATTTTTTGTTTTTTTAAATACAAAAGTGAGTGTCAGATGAAAAATGTTGGTAATTAAAAAAAACAAATTATAGAATATTTTATTTGTTGTGAATTTTTTTTTAAATTTTTATATAAAAAGTTTTTTAGTAAGTGAATAAAAAGTGATTTTAAAAGTTTGAAAAAATTTTAAAAACTTTCTTATTTTTCCAGTTGCAGTTTAGTTTGGCATTGTTGGTGTTGGCAATTCTCTTGCAAGAAGAAGTTCAAGCGTATGTGTTTTAAAATTAATTAATTAATTAATTTTAATTAATTATTTTTTCCAAAAAGGCTTAAATCATTTATTTTTTTAAATTTTGTAGAAAAAAAATGTTCAAAGTTTATTGAAAAAAGTTCAAAGTTAATTATTAATAAGTGAAATAAATTATTAATTTAATAAAAAAAGGATTAGAATAATTTTTTTTTGAAAAATATTTAATTTGACCAAAAGTCAAAGAAATGAAAAAAAATTCAAAATTAATTATTAATAAATTGAATTATTAATTTAATTTATTAAACTAAATGATTTTTGAGTAATTCTGTAAACTGAGAAATTATTAATTTTACATGTAAAATAATTATGAAACTTTGAACTTTATAAGGTTAATATATAAAAAAATAATGATTAGGAAAATTATTTTTAATTTTAATAATATAAAAGATAATTTTTAATTTTATTTTAAATTATTAATTGTTAAATTTTTATTAATAATTACATTTTTCAGGAAGAAAGTGATAATTCACGTACCATATCGTGTAAAAAATGTGAAACATACGCACACAATTTTCAAAATTATTCCACATCAAGAGAAAAAAACTAACAGTCACAGTTATCTAGGAGGAGGAGGAGGAAATTATTGAAATAAAAAAAAAAAACAAGAAAATTGGAAAATTAGTCAAATTAAATTTCTCACAATTTATTGAAACGAATCCAAAGATAGTGAGCACCTCGTACAAATCAAAGTTGTTATTTTTTTTGTAATATTGTGTATCACTGCTGTGTTAATATAAATATGTGTATAGAAAATTGTTTAAAAAATATGTACAATAAATTAAAAAATCTTAGAAAAATGTATTTCAATAAATCATTATTGTAAAGCACTTTAATAAATAATATTATTATCTGTGTTATTTTATTAATTTTTTGTAATTTATTATTATTACAATGTGAAAAAATATTTTCTTTGTTTTTTTTTTTTTATTTTAATTAAAATATTTTCTTTGTTTTTTTTTTTATTTTAATTAAAATATTTTCTTTGTTTTAACCAAATTTATTTTCTGGAGTAAAATTTTTTATTCGATTAACTTTTAGTAGTGTGAACAAAAATTTTTTTTGTTAAGCGTACTAAAATTTGTTTGAGACAAAAATAAATTTTATTAAGGTAGAAAAAAGAGTTTTGTTGCATAAACTAAATTTTTTTATTATCTAAATTTTTTCACTATATATAATAATAAATTATAAAACCAATGGTAATAGTAAAATAATAATAATGAAAACAAATTTTTTTATAATTATATAATAATTTTTTATTTTGACGATAAAATTTTTGGTTAATCTTATTTTTGCAAAGGAATTTTTTTCTTGTGAATTGAAAAAAATAATTTTGCCCCTAACAAAAACATAAATTTAAGTTTGTAGTGAATTTTTGTTGTACGAAACATAATTTTTGTTTGAATAAACCAAAACTTGGCTAACACAGAAAAAAAACTTTTGTTGGACCGATAAAAAAAAGTATTGTTTACAAAATATCAATCAAAAATTTTTTGTTACTAAAGTAAAATATTTTTTTTTATTGTATAATAATAATAAACATAAGAATTTTAATCAGTTATTATTTTTATTGTCTCACTGTACTTGTATAATAAATAATATTAATAATTTGATAATTATTTGTTTTTAAATATTTTCCATAATACCAAAATTATTTAACTTTAATGGAAAAATTGGACAAAATCGCGGGACAAAAGTTAGTCCAACTCCATATTTTGGTACTTTTAAATAGAATTTAATAACTAAAAAGTACATCAGTGGAAATTTAAACAATTTTATTTTTACTTTTTTAAACCATTCAAATAATAATTTAAATAAATAAATAATCGTATTTCAGTTTTTAATCTATATCCCAAAGGCAAATAGTGATTCAAAACGACGAAAATAAAATTGTTATACTGAAACACTTTTTAATTATAAATTAACTAGCAAAATTAAACGCGCGCAAGCGCGCCAAATTGACTATTTAATTGTTTCTTATAAAGAAATTAAAGATTAATATTATCAATAATAATTTAATTTACGGAGTGGCTATTTCGCCCGTCGCGGGCGAACTAATTCATTTCTGTTATTTCGCCCGTCGCGGGCGAAATAGATACGACTGTGTGAACTGGCTATTTCGCCCGTCGAAATGAATGTGTTTTAGAAGACGGGCAAAATAAGAAAAATAGATTATTTCGCCCGTTCAAGATAAAATCGAGTATCTGGAAGACGGGCGAGTATATTATTTCGTCCGTTTATAGACAGCTGTTTTTTAGATAATGAGAAAAAATAATTTTACTGTTTTTAAATATAACAAATAAGATGGATAGAAAAAAGACGTCTGAGTATAGGTCTAATATTATTTATTTATATCTTTTGGAGTATTTGGTTTAATAAAATAGAAGAAATTTAAATAAAAAAAAAGTTCTTAAAAATTCTTAAAATTAATACTTAATTATTTTCTATTTTTTTTCAAAAAATTTTATTAATTAAAGTTTTGAGAATATTTGTAACATACAATTTGTTTGTAATTATTAACTTGAAGATTTTTCAAATATTTATTTTACACGTTTTTGAGACGTGACTTTAAAGAATAATAATTATTTAATCATAAGAAATTGTATTGGAAAAAAAATTAATATATTTATAGAGGTATTAATTACTCTTGTTAAATAATTAAAAAAAATTAATATTTTATAGTAATGGTAAATAAATATAATTAAAATTATAAAAAAATTAATCTAATATTAAAATTATAAATTATAATTATTAAATTTAACTAATGAAAATTACGATGTTGAAGTCGAAAACAATTAAAATTGATCGTCATCGATTTAAAAATATTAATATTTTTTCAAATAATTAATAATATTTTTTAATATTTTTTATAAATTTTTCTATTAAAAATTGTTGACGAAAAAATTGCAAAAAATTTTTTCTTAAAAATTGAAAAAATCATTTTAAAAAATTTTTTTCATGAAAAATGAAAAAAAATTTTTTTAAAATTTTGTTTATTAAACTTTGGTAATAAAAATTGTGGATTTTAATTTTGTAATTTAAATAAGAATTCAAAAATCGACTATTTCTGAAATTTTTGTATATTTGCATCTCTAAATTCAACGAGTAAATAAAATTGAAGACAATCAAAATAAAGAATGTCATATGAACTACTTTCGATACCAAATAGATTTTCAAACAACGCACCGTCGTTTTCAATATTTAAAGAATATACTATACAGAGTATAATCTCACATTGATATATAAAACCATGATTCTGCTGAGAAAGAAATCAGAAAAACCCTTTTTTTTATCGAAACACAAAAAATTAATGAGACCATCAAATTTGTTTATCAAATATATGATATTTAACATAAATTGCAAAATAAAAGTTAAAATAATTTTAGTTTGTAAATTGAAATATACAACAGCTGTTTATACCTAGCGGGCTAAATATTGTATTTTGATTATTTCGCCCGTTTTTGTTTAAACATTTCACGGACGAAATAATATACTCGCCCGTCTTCCAGATACTCGATTTTATCTTGAACGGGCGAAATAATATATTTTTCTTATTTTGCCCGTCTTCTAAAACACATTCATTTCGACGGGCGAAATAGCTAGTTCACACAGTCGTATCTATTTCGCCCGCGACGGGCGAAATAACAGAAATGAATTAGTTCGCCCGAGCGGGCGAAATAGAAACAGCCTTTAATTTATTAGAATATTATTACATATTAAATGATAATAATAAAAATTATATTTTTACAGGCCTCGGATTATACGACTTTTTCCGATTTTTTTTTCAAAAATACGACTTTTATCGACTTATTTTAATAAAATGCGACATTTTTTTTTGCATTTGAAAAAAATGTAAATAAAATACATTTTTTTAGTATAAAATGATTCTTCACTAAATTAATTATTTTTAATAATTTTAATGAAATACATCACAAATTCAATTATATCAAAATTATTTTTCAATTAAAATTTTTATAAAATTTAACAATTGTTTATAATTAAAAAAAAATATCACAATAAAATTGAATTATTTTTTAAAAATTTCAATTCAAAGTAAACTAAAATTCAATTATTACCCGAAATTTTAATTCATAATCAATTAAAAATCAAATAATTATCAAAAATTTTCAATTTAAAATTTAATTATTTACCAACTTTTCAATTTAAAATGAAATAAAATTCAATTATTTTCTAAAATTTCTATTCAAAATTAATTATCCAAATTTTCAATCAAAAATGAACTTAAATTAAATTATTATCCAAAATTTCAATTCAAATTCAATTATTTCCCAAAATTTTCAATTCAAAATGAATTGAAATTCAATTATTTTCCAAATTTAAAATCAAATAAAATTTCATTATTCTCAAAAATTTGAATTCAAAATTAATTGAATTTTCAATAATTTGAATTTAAAAGCATCTAAAATTTAATTATTTCTAAAATTTTCCATCGAAAATTTTTTTTTTGAAATTTAATAATTTCAATTATAACTCTAAGGAAATTCAATTATTTTTAACTATTTTAATAATATTCTTTGAAAATTCAACTATCTGAAACAATTTTTCAATTAAAAATGATTTTCAAATTATTGTATTTTGTCCGCATTTTCTAATAAATTTTTAGTGAAATCATCTAAAATTTTAATTACAAAACACTTAAAGTTTCAATTAATTTCAAAAATCTCAATTTTAAATCTTTGATAATTCAATTAAATTTAAAAAATGTTTTCCAAAAATTGTTTGATAAATTATTTTTAGTTCTGTAAAATTTTAATAATTGTTTGAAAATTAACAATATCTTTTGAAATTTAATTATTTCTAAAAATTTCAACTTTAACCCTTCGAAAAGAATTATTATTAAAAAAAAAATTTTTTATTTAAAAATCTGTAAAATATTTTTGTTAAAATAAAAAACAAATCCACTTTTTTTGGAGTATAAATCGACTAAAACGACTTTTTGTGTCTTTAAGTTGATTCGAGGCCTGTGTTTTTATAATTAATATTTAATAGGTATTCGTTGGCCCCTGGTACCTTAAAAATAAATTTTTTTCAAATTACTATCTTGTACGAAATTTCCTGGCTCATCTTTTTTCTCATCATAAATTTTTTGTATTTGTATACAATTTTTGAATCAATATACAACTTTAAAAAAAATTTCGTTAGTAAACGAATTTTGGAATTTGGAATTTTAAAGAAACTTATTCCGAAATTTGGAAACACAATTATACAACTTTGGCAAAAATGAGAAAAAGAATAATTGTCAAAATTTGACACGTCATAAGATTACTATTCAAAAAAACACGTGAAATCAGAAAAGGCCAACTTCAAGTTAGGACAGAAGGACAGAACAAGCATTTTATTATTATATAATAATTTTTAATATAAAAATACGAAAAAAATTTTAGTTTTTCTTTTGTTCCACAAGAACAATGATTTAGTGTTTTTTTTTTTACTATCAAGATGTTTAATCTCTCGACATTTGAGGAAACAAATTTTCGTGAGATGACAAAAAACGATATTATAACAGTGAGAACAAATTTTGATAGTGATATTGTGTGTCACGTGGTGAGAAAATTATTTTCCAAGAAAAATAAAATTATAATTTCCACGCTCGTCGGAGAATAAAAAAAAAAAAAAACATGCATAATAATTGAGAAAGCAAACACTTTCACTGGACAATTTTTCTATAAATAAAAAGAAGATTAGTTAATGTTTTAAGAACTTTAACAATAATAAATAATGCATAACAATAATTGAAGCTAAGTATTAAGGAATTCATATCTAAAAACAAATATTACATTATAATAAATAATTCATTTTATAAAATCATTGCTTCCTTTTTAATTTTATAGACGTTATAAAAATATTTTATTTAAATAGATTGGGTTCTTTTTATTTATATCAATAAATATTTTTATTTGCCATTAAAATATTTGTCTATTTCGTATTTATTAGCTTATTCAAGATATAATGTTTTGAAATTATTTTTTATAATTTCCTCAATTTAATAAGAAAAAAAATTGAATTATTTAATTATTCTGTAATATAATTTTCTTTTTTATAGAATCTTTTTCGAAAATATTTTTCAAAATCGTATAAAAATTCAAAAAAAATAAATATTAAAAATATACATGAAAGGAAAATGAAAAAAATGTCTTTTTAAAAAATCTATTTTTTACGTCATATTTGAAAGTGAAAATCATTGTAAACAATAGTTTATTTAGTGACAATGAACTTGAGATATTTTCATCTCTCTCTTTTTTTCCTTTTCTTTATCTAATTCGCAATTTTTCAAGTTTCCATTAATCGCACAAGTGATGAAGCAAATCGTGTCTTTTATATTGAAACAAAATAGCGAAAGTGCTCATCATCCGTAAACAATCTGAGATTCTTTCACGGCTAGTTGACATGAAATTGACATCTATGAATCGATCTGTCAAGGGTAAAAAAAAGAGAGCTTATAAACCAAGAGACCATTCGATCAGTTCAATCGTTCTTGAGACGTTGTTCTTTGAACTCTTCAATATTTTTCAATCGGATTTTCTCAAATTTTTCTAAATATATTTAAAATGGTGCGAATTTGTGAATATGTGATTTTTATTTTGTTTTTTATTTTTTTTTAGTTATTAACAGTGTAGTGAATAAATAAATTTTTCTTGTATTTTTTTATTTAAAAAATAAAATTAAGCGATATTTTCATTAGAACAAATTCAGGTCGAATTATTTATAATGGCAACGATTTTTTATTGAGGAAAAATAACTTTGAAAATTAGAAAAAAAATGAAAATATCTGGAAAAAGTTAAAAAAAAATTTATTGAATTAAAAATTTATCTAAAGAAAAGAAATTACAAATTTATTTATTTGTATTTTTTTTTTATTGTTTATTGAACAATTAGTCAAATTTCAAATTAAATTATAGTAAAAATATTGTAATTATTTAATTTTATGAAAAAGTGATATTTTTTTAAATTAGTTACAGAGGATTTCACCCTTAATAATTCTTGTTTCGATGCAAGTGATGCTGAAAGTTGTCGAAGGAAAAACACAGTAAATATATTTAATTATTATTATTGATTATTGAAATATTTTTATAATTTTTTTAAATTAATTATATAATTAATTTAATTAATTGCATTAATATTTTAGTATTTTAATATTAATATTTATTTTTTATGTAATTATGTAATTTTATGTTTCTCTGATTTTATGTGATTTCTATTTTCTGAAGTAGGATTTTTTTTTCAATTTTCAGTGTCCATTTCAAAATTCATGTTCCGGAATTTATAAAGCATCACATTCACACAAAAACAATATTTCTTCACATTCATCCACTGCCAAAGGATCATCCAAAGGAACCTCCAAAAAAGGAGCCTCCAAAAAAGCAGCCACCAAAAAAAAATCACTACGAAGAAAGTAATTTTGAAGATTGGAATTCTTACACAAGTTACAATAATGAAAATAATCATCAAGAAATTGGAGAGAATGGCGAAATTTTCAAATCCGGTCACAATAAACAAAAATGCATCAAGGGCAATAATTATCAAAATGATAATTACGATTCATATTTTCCCACTTCGTATGAAAATATAAATCCAGAGGATTATTATAATGAAGTCTCGTTGCAGAATGATAATCATAATTCTAACTATAATCCAAATTTAAATTCCAATCCAAATTTAAATTCTAATCCAAATTCAAATTCCAATCAAAATTTTAATTCGAATCCAAATGATCATTATAATCAAAATTATAATTCTCAGCCAAATTATAATTCGAATCCAAATTTGAATAATTATAATTTTAATCCAAACGATAATCCTAATTATTCTAATAATGTTTATTCACAATATGACGCTGGACAAGATGTAACTGGTTATATGTATCCACCACAATATGCGATTCATGAGGATGTTAATGATATTCCTAATAATGAAATTGAACAATTTGATGTCTATGAGAATGGATATAAAAGGGGTCTCGAATCGGAAACAGGACATTTGATTACGAAAAATTTAAAAGATTTTTATGACGATAAATTTGAGGAAGCTGGCGAATTTGCGGAAAATGATGAACAAAGTGAAAATGATAAACATATTTCTGATTTGTATCAAGGAAATTATGATAGGGAAATCACACATAGAGATCGTTCAACTAATAAAAATGGACAGAGGCGAATTTTTTCTTCAAAAATAATTGTCAGATAATTAACATTTTTTTAGATTTTTATGTGCAATTTTGTTTTTTTTTTGTGTTAATTATTAATTTTTATGTATTATTATTTTGTATGTAATTAATAATTGTAAATAATTATTTTCAAATATTGTCGATTTTTTTTCCGAAAAATTCTAATATAAAGATTTATTAGAAAGTAATTTAGTTTTTTATGAATTCTTTTTTTTTACATTGTATACAAAAAATATTGTAGGATAAATAAAAAAAAAAATGTAAATCAATAATAATTTTTTTTATTTTCGATAATATATATATACATGTTTTTAAAAAATATAACAAATTCTTATAAACTAAATAACAATTTCTATGAAATTATATATCACAATATTAGTTTCTATTTCTATATTTTAAAAAGTATAATTAAAAATGAGAAATAATTTTTTACTATTTATATAATTAATTGTAATTAATTATAATTTTCAAACTGGCATTATCTGGTAAAATATATTTTTTTTTTAATTGAAAAATTTTAATATCCCGATACTTGTTGTTCTTCGTGGCCTCCTCCTCCTCCACCACCCCCGCCATAAGATGTAAATTCTTCGTGTCCTCCTAAATTATAACCTTCCTGATTGATTTCATTGCCAACTTGTTCAAAATTGTGACCCCCATGATGACCGCCATAGTGAATTTCTTGATTTTCCTGTCCACCATAACCACCGTGAAGATTAAATTCTCCATGACCACCGTGATTTTCGTGACCACCAAAACCATCGTGACCACCAATATTGATAGGTTGACCTACTGTATATCCTAGAACTTCATATTTATCACCACCACCGTGATGAATGTGCTTCGTAATTGTATGGGTGTGCTTGATTTTTTTTACATGATAAGGCACGTGAATTATTATGTGATGACTGAAAATAACACAAAAAGCAATTTTTTTTAATTAAAAAAATTATTATTTATCCGAATATTAATTAATTTATTTATTAATTTTAAGAGGATTCGAATTTTTAAATACCAGAATTTTTAATTTACGGAATCTTCATTTGTACGAATTTATATTTGCACGAATTTTCATTTGTCCGAATTTTTAATTGCATGAATTTTTAAGGCGCCGAATTTTCATTTGTCCGAAATTAAAAATGTTCAAACAAACAATTGACAGAATGATTTCGGCGCAATTTTTAAAATTGACGATTTTCTTTATAATTTCTAATTGGTCAATTTTAAAAATTGCGCCAAAATCTTTCTGTCGATTTTTTGTTCGGCCATTATTTGTAATTTGGGACAATTGAAAATCCGGCGTATTACAAAATTCTATCAATTAAAAATTCGTACAAATAAAAATTTTCACAAATTAAAATTCGGTGAATTGGAATTTTTGTCATTTAAAAATTTGATTGAATATTTGAATATTAATTAATTTATTTATTAATTTTAAGAGGATTCGAATTTTTAAATACCAGAATTTTTAATTTACGGAATCTTCATTTGTATGAATTTTTATTTGCACGAATTTTCAAGTCGCCGAATTTTCTTTTGTCCGTTAAGTGCAAAAATTTTAAATTCACCAAATCTTCATTTGTCCGAATTTTTAATTGCATGAATTTTTAAGGCGCCGAATTTTCATTTGTCCGAAATTAAAAATGTCCAAACAAACAATTGACAGAATGATTTCGGCGCAATTTTTAAAATTGACGATTTTCTTTATAATTTCTAATTGGTCAATTTTAAAAATTGCGCCAAAATCTTTCTGTCGTTTTTTTTTTCGGCCATTTGTAATTTGGGTCAATTGAAAATTCGGCGTATCACAAAATTCTATGAATTAAAAATTCGTACAAATAAAAATTTTAACAAATTAAAATTCGGTGAATTGGAATTTTTGTCATTTAAAAATTTTATTGAATATTTGAATATTAATTTATTTATTTATTTATTAATTTTAAGAGGATTCGAATTTTTAAATACCAGAATTTTTAATTTACGGAATCTTCATTTGTACGAATTTTTATTTGCACGAATTTTCAAGCCGCCGAATTCTCATTTGTCCCAATTTTTAAGTCGTCGAATTTCAATTTGTTTGAATTTTTAAATGCAAAAATTTTAAATTCACCGAATCTTCATTTGTCCGAATTTTTAATTGCATGAATTTTTAAGGCGCCGAATTTTCATTTGTCCGAAATTAAAAATGTCCAAACAAACAATTGACAGAATGATTTCGGCGCAATTTTTAAAATTAACGATTTTCTTTATAATTTCTAATTGGTCAATTTTAAAAATTGCGCCAAAATCTTTCTGTCGATTTTTTGTTCGGCCATTTGTAATTTGGGACAATTGAAAATTCGGCGTATTACAAAATTCTATCAATTAAAAATTCGTACAAATAAAAATTTTCACAAATTAAAATTCGGTGAATTGGAATTTTTGTTATTTAAAAATTTGATTGAGAATTCGTTTAAAAAAAAAAAAATTATTTCTAATAAAATAATTTGAAATAAAAATTTTATTAAAATAATTTTTATATGGGATAATTGTGCGCCTCCTTCAATTTTAAAATTATAAACTTTTTTTTTCTCAAAATTAAATGTTTGTATTTTAGAGGACGAAAGTTTAATTACTTTATAATATAATGTGACTATATTTATTTATATACTGGAGAAAGTTAACTATATCTCCTTAGACAATTACAAATTAAATCACTTTCGATTTGACAAGAAATTGTGACTTTTTTTATATATTGAAAACTGTTTAATAAGCAGGTCTAATTTAGCAATTGCTTTTATTGGAAAGATCATAGAAAGCATGTAATTTTTAATACGATGTGTCATAACGAAAGTGGCTTTGAACATAACAAATTGCTCTTATTTTGATAAACCCTTTTTTGCATATTCTTTTATATATATTAATTAACAAAACTATCGTTTTTTGGATTTGTAATAGATTTCTTTTGGTAAATATTTTATAAATTTTTTTTAAATATATAATTATAAAAATTTAGTTCAAGCAAATTGATTCATATTTTTATCTTCAAATGGTGGTCGATTGCCCTGTAAATTTTCTTATTAAACTCTTTTCTTTTTAAAAATTTTCACTTTACGTGTGAATAATTATTTTGTTAATGTTTTTTTAATGAACGAAGAAAACTTACTGTTCACCATCACCGCCTCCTTCCGTTAAATTCAAAGTTGCTACGATTACAAGCAGAACAAGTAACTGAAAAAATTGTTCGAAATTAATCAGTACTTTAAAATTTTTTTATCCTTAACTTTTTTATATGTAACTAAAAATCTCTTGATTCTTAATTAATTATTCTGTTTATTAATACTATTAATTATTATTCTTAATTAATAGTAATAGTTATTCCGATGCTGTAGTTTAACCCTTCCGAATCCTTTCGAATATCATTCAAAATCAATACGTTTGGATTGGAAACGATTTGCAATAAAATAACAGAAAAAGATTAAAATTCAGCTTCGGAATGAAACTGATTAATTAGGATGAATTATATGAAAAGAATTTTTTGATAATATTTACAAACAAAATTTAGATTCGGATAGAAACTGATTGACTCGAAGACAAATTTCAAAATTTCTCGAAATAATTTTTATTCAAAACTAACTGAATCCGTAACTTTTTTAAACTAAAAAAAAATCTAAATTATTTTAACAGTTGAATAATCATTCCCTTTGTTTTAAACCGATTTTGGAATCATTAATACTTTGAGGAGAAAAAACTTTTTGAAACTAACGGATTGGAATTGAATTAGAATTACAATTTTACTATAATTAATTAAAATACAATAGACTGTTAAATGTAACAGGATTGTTGGACGAAACTTACAGAAATACTCGACATCGTCCTGCTTAGCACGTTTAAATATATTTTAAAAGAAATCGAAAACCACACACTCCACGTGACTCGAATTCTGAATTTAATCTGTCTAATATTCTCCCGTATTCCATTTATATATCCTACTATGTTATAAGCCACCATAAGAATTGAAAGGTAACTTTTGTATTTAATGGATACAATACATCTAACATTGTGAAAGGAATATAAAATAAAATTAAAAAAAAAAAGAACTGACAACTACCCATCTAAGAGACGGTTATCTTATATTTTTCTTGGTAGTTTGCCTCTATACTTCATTATCTGTCTACAATATATATATATAATGTTATTGTATTTATATAGTTGGGCGTGGTTTTAATTTTTTCGCGATTATTACTTCCTTGTCTCCTTTTATCATTTTTTATTTTTTTATTTTCAACTGAAGTCAATATACTATTGCATTGGTCAGTGAACGTTCAAGATCAAGATCATGGTCGACAAGGTTTCACCTCTCTGTGTGTGTGTATGTATTGTTTGTGCAAGTCAGTCATTGTAATTTCATTTTGCCCGCCAAACTTTAACATACACATAACTTTCGTTTTAAAAACAATAGATAATAATAATAATTGAATTCAAGTTGTTATTAGAAATGATTAATATCAAATATATATATAGAAGCGAAACAAATCTTTTATTTTTATGGAAACACTTCCGTATATTTATTTTTATTCTCGCAATTGTCAATTCTGTTATTTGATGTTACAATCAAGAATCGGTTGTCATATAATTTATGATAATAAAAAAAATTATTGTTAATATTTTTTCTTTATAGTTTCATAAATAAATTCTCGTTTTTAGGGTTTCGTGGATCAGGGCTGGAACTTTTGAATATAGTTTCGCTTTTTGGCGTCCGTCTGTCCGTCGTACACTCTTATGGTTTCCATAGCAACTGTTTCCATGGTATTTGTTTCCATTACAACCGTAACCATAGCAATCGTTTCTATGATTGTTGTTACCCTAGCAACCGTTTCCATGGTATTTGATTCCATAGCAACCGTTTCTGATAATTGTTTCCATAGCAACCGTTTCTATGGTAGATATTTCCATAACAATCGTTTCTATGGTAGTTGTTTACATAGCAACTGTTTCTATAGCAACAGTTACCAAAGCAACCGCTTCCATAGCAACCGCTTCCATAGCAACTGTTTCCATATTAACAGTTACCAAAGCAACTGCTTCTATGGTAGTTGTTTCCATTACAACCGTAACCATAGCAACCGTTTCTATGATTGTTGTTTCCATAGCAACCGTTTCCATGGTAGTAGTTTCCATAGCAACTGTTTCCATAACAATCGTTACCCTAGCAACCGTTTCCATGGTATTTGATTCCATAGCAACCGTTTCTGATTATTGTTTCCATAGCAACCGTTTCTATGGTAGTAGTTTCCATAGCAACTGTTTCCATAACAATCGTTACCCTAGCAACCGTTTCCATGGTATTTGATTCCATAGCAACCGTTTCTGATTATTGTTTCCATAGCAACCGTTTCTGATTATTGTTTCCATAGCAACCGTTTCTATGGTAGTTATTTCCATAGCAATCGTTTCTATGGTAGTTGTTTCCATAGCAACTGTTTCTATAGCAACAGTTACCAAAGCAACCGCTTTCATAGCAACTGTTTCCATATTAACAGTTACCAAAGCAACTGCTTCTATGGTAGTTGTTTCCATTACAACCGTAACCATAGCAACCATTTCTATGATTGTTGTTTCCATAGCAACCGTTTCCATGGTAGTAGTTTCCATAGCAACTGTTTCCATAACAATCGTTACCCTAGCAACCGTTTCCATGGTATTTGATTCCATAGCAACCGTTTCTGATTATTGTTTCCATAGCAACCGTTTCTGATTATTGTTTCCATAGCAACCGTTTCTATGGTAGTTATTTCCATAGCAATCGTTTCTATGGTAGTTGTTTCCATAGCAACTGTTTCTATAGCAACAGTTACCAAAGCAACCGCTTTCATAGCAACTGTTTCCATATTAACAGTTACCAAAGCAACTGCTTCTATGGTAGTTGTTTCCATTACAACCGTAACCATAGCAACCATTTCTATGATTGTTGTTTCCATAGCAACCGTTTCCATGGTAGTAGTTTCCATAGCAACTGTTTCCATAACAATTGTTACCCTAGCAACCGTTTCTATGGTATTTGTTTCCATAGCAACCGTTTCTGATTGTTGTTTCCATAGCAACCGTAACCATAGCAACCGCTTCCATAGCAACTGTTTCCATAGCAACTGTTACCATAGCAATCATTTCCATAGTAGTTGTTTCCATAGCAACTGTTTTCATAGCAACCGTTTCCATGTTAGTAGTTTCCTTAGCAACCGTAACCTCAGCATTCGTTACAATGGCATCACCCCATCAAGTTTACGAATTCAATTATTGAATTCATTAATGTTCTCCTATAAAAAATGGAAGTACGTGAAGAACACATTCTTGTTGTTATATTTTTATTACTTCATTTTTACGAATGCAATAAAATTATATACTCTCGCCATTCCATAAACTATAATCTTCTAAAGTTTACGACAATTTTTATTATCCCGAACACTTGTTTTGTTTTTTTTTCATATGAATTTTCTATGTGATAGAATTATTACTTATTTTCAATTTCCTGATGTATTTATACAATTTGCTAAATGAAATAGGATTTTTTTTGTTTACTTTTGATATATATACAATCTGTGTGATCCATTAGAAAGTGAATTGTTTCATTTCGTTAATATTTACGTATACATATAATATTTCATATATAATGAAATATTTATGGTCTTTAGAAAAGAATTCTTCTATTATAATAATATATTATAATATAAAACCTTACAAAATTGATATATGGATGAGAAATTTACTATTAAATTTTGCAAATTAAAAAATAATACACATTTATGCCAATAAGATATTTGTTTAATGTGAGATGGGTTAAAACATAATTATGATTGATATCCACATTTTTTAATAATAATAATAATATATATATATATATATATATATATATATATTCAAAGAAGTTGAACACGTAATTGAGAAACCGTGATTTATGTGGAGCGTAACACATGCACTTTGCACACGCGCTTACAATTTTCAGTGAAATTAAGTTTTTTTTTATCTTTGATTTGAAGAAATAATTTTTCAATCCAAATGTTGATTAACGTTTTCATGAAATAATCTTTATTTATTTATTTTTGTTTATTGCAAAATAATCGGGATGATTATTAAAAATCATATTATATATTATGTTATATTTATTATTTATTTTTACATTAAATTATATATTGTTATACAATAACAATTATTATTCTTTTTTAATATATACGTGGGTTTCACTGTAGATGGTTAAAAAATTAACAAGATTGTAAAAAATTAAAAAAAATAAAAATATTAAAAATACCGACACAGAAACAAACCTTACCGACTGATGGCAATTTTTCGAAAATATAAAAATTACCAACATAGGAATCTACTTTACCGACTGATGGTAAAACAGTTTTTCCCCCAAAATGTTGATAATTTTTTAGATATTTTCATTTTTCAAACATTGTTTTACCGTCAGTCGGTAAGGTAGATTCCTATGTCAGTAATTTTTTATATTTTCATTTTTCAAAAAATTTCTTTACCATTAATCGGTAAGGTAGATTTCTATATAGGTAATTTTTTATATTTTCATTTTTCAAAAACTGTTTTACCATCAGTCGATAAGGTAAATTTCTATGACGGTGATTTCTTATATTTATTATTTTAAAAAATTACTAACTGTCGGTAAGGTAGATTTCTATGTCGGTAATTTTGAAATTATTTTCAGAAAACTACTTATTTTTTCAAAAAATAAATAATTAAAAAAAGATTATAAATTTTTTTTGTTTACTTTTTTTTATCTCAAATTAAGTTTTAAATTTATGCAAAAAAAATGGTAACAACTAGTTAGACAAATAATTGATAATAGTACATTGTAAAACTTTGTGGTGAAAGATATGCATTATTTTGTGTATAAGGGAGAAAAGTATAGAGAAGAAAATTTATGATGATAAATGGTTTTTATTTGTAAAAGTTATTGCTCTAATTTTTTTTGCGAGGGGGGGGGAAAGAAAAACATAGGAATCAATAGTGCAGAAACTGAAACGAGCAATCGACAAATTCTTCCAACACTTTAGTAATTATAACAACTTCTTTTGTTTATTTCTTCATTAGATTTTCCCTTTCTTTTATGTATATGTATACATATATAGAGAGTATAAATATATATTTGTAAGCAAAACGTAAGATTTCTTCACTAAACATTCCGCTTTTGGTATATATAAAAAGAAATATTGAAAATATGAAATAAATTTAATTTATATTTACACTGGAAAAAAAAAATTTGATTCAAATAATTAATTACTTGACTATTATCATCAAAGTTATTTTTATCAAATAATTTTTATTTCTATTTATACCAAAGAATGAAGAAAAAACCTAATAATTTTTTTTTATCAAATAATTATTATTTGTATCTAATGAATTTTTAATTTTATAAAATAATTATTTTCTGTATAACCATTTTCATTTGTATCATATAATAATTCTTTGGTACAGAATGAGCCGACAGTTTTGAACGTTCATATGAACGAAATATTTTTTTCAATCTATAAATTATTAAAAAATATGATGACCATGTAAAATAAAACCATGTAAATTAAAAAATTATTAAATTAATAACATCTTTTTAGATATTTTAAACAATATTTTGTAATAAAATTCGTACTTAAAGAAGCTGCAAAAAAAAATTTCGTTCATATGAACGTTCAAAACTTTTGGCTCATGGTACAGATACAAAGTATTTGGTAGAAATACAAATTATAATTTGGTACAAATACAAATTATTTGGTACAAATCATTTTTATCTTTATCAAATATTTATTATTTGCACATATCAATATTATTTGTACCAAATAAGTTGTATTTGCACCAAATAATTCGTATTTGTACCAAATAATTTGTATTTGTACATTTTTTGTAGCAAATATTTTTTTTATTTTTATCAAATAATTTGTATTAGTACCAAATAATTTGTATTTGTACCAAATAATTTGTATTTGCACCAAATAATTTGTAGTTGTACCAAATAATTTGTATTTGCACCAAATAATTTGTAGTTGTACCAAAGAATTTGTATTTGTACCAAATAATTTGTATTTTATTTGTCCAAAATACAAATTATTTGTATCAAATACATTTTTTGTATCAAATATTTTTTTATTTTTATCAAATAATTTGTAGTTGTACCAAATAATTTGTATTTGCACCAAATAATTTGTAGTTGCACCAAATAATTTGTATTTGTACCAAATAATTTGTATTTGCACCAAATAATTTGTAGTTGTACCAAATAATTTGTATTTGCACCAAATAATTTGTATTAGTACCAAATAATTTGTATTTGTACCAAATAATTTGTATTTTATTTGTACAAAATAATTTTTATTTGTATCAAATACATTTTTTGTATCAAATATTTTTTTATTTTTATCAAATAATTTGTAGTTGTACCAAATAATTTGTATTTGCACCAAATAATTTGTAGTTGCACCAAAAAATTTGTATTTGCACAAAATAATTTGTATTTGTACCAAATAATTTGTAGTTGTACCAAATAATTTGTAGTTGTAACAAATAATTTGTTTTTCACCAAATAATTTGTATTAGCAACAAATAATTTGTAGTTGTACCAAATAATTTGTATTTGCACCAAATAATTTGTATTAGTACCAAATAATTTGTATTTGCACCAAATAATTTGTTTTTCACCAAATAATTTGTATTAGCACCAAATAATTTGTATGAGTACCAAATAATTTGTATTTGTACCAAATAATTTGTATTAGTACCAAATAATTTGTATTTGCACCAAATAATTTGTATTAGTACCAAATAATTTGTATTTGTACCAAATAATTTGTATTTGCACCAAATAATTTGTAGTTGTACCAAATAATTTGTATTTGCACCAAATAATTTGTAGTTGTACCAAAGAATTTGTATTTGTACCAAATAATTTGTATTTTATTTGTCCAAAATACAAATTATTTGTATCAAATACATTTTTTGTATCAAATATTTTTTTATTTTTATCAAATAATTTGTAGTTGTACCAAATAATTTGTATTTGCACCAAATAATTTGTAGTTGCACCAAATAATTTGTATTTGTACCAAATAATTTGTATTTGCACCAAATAATTTGTAGTTGTACCAAATAATTTGTATTTGCACCAAATAATTTGTATTAGTACCAAATAATTTGTATTTGTACCAAATAATTTGTATTTTATTTGTACAAAATAATTTTTATTTGTATCAAATACATTTTTTGTATCAAATATTTTTTTATTTTTATCAAATAATTTGTAGTTGTACCAAATAATTTGTATTTGCACCAAATAATTTGTAGTTGCACCAAAAAATTTGTATTTGCACAAAATAATTTGTATTTGTACCAAATAATTTGTAGTTGTACCAAATAATTTGTAGTTGTAACAAATAATTTGTTTTTCACCAAATAATTTGTATTAGCAACAAATAATTTGTAGTTGTACCAAATAATTTGTATTTGCACCAAATAATTTGTATTAGTACCAAATAATTTGTATTTGCACCAAATAATTTGTTTTTCACCAAATAATTTGTATTAGCACCAAATAATTTGTATGAGTACCAAATAATTTGTATTTGTACCAAATAATTTGTATTAGTACCAAATAATTTGTATTTGCACCAAATAATTTGTATTAGTACCAAATAATTTGTATTTGTACCAAATAATTTGTATTTGCACCAAATAATTTGTAGTTGTACCAAATAATTTGTATTTGCACCAAATAATTTGTAGTTGTACCAAAGAATTTGTATTTGTACCAAATAATTTGTATTTTATTTGTCCAAAATACAAATTATTTGTATAAAATACATTTTTTGTATCAAATATTTTTTTATTTTTATCAAATAATTTGTAGTTGTACCAAATAATTTGTATTTGCACCAAATAATTTGTAGTTGCACCAAATAATTTGTATTTGTACCAAATAATTTGTATTTGCACCAAATAATTTGTAGTTGTACCAAATAATTTGTATTTGCACCAAATAATTTGTATTAGTACCAAATAATTTGTATTTGTACCAAATAATTTGTATTTTATTTGTACAAAATAATTTTTATTTGTATCAAATACATTTTTTGTATCAAATATTTTTTTATTTTTATCAAATAATTTGTAGTTGTACCAAATAATTTGTATTTGCACCAAATAATTTGTAGTTGCACCAAAAAATTTGTATTTGCACAAAATAATTTGTATTTGTACCAAATAATTTGTAGTTGTACCAAATAATTTGTAGTTGTAACAAATAATTTGTTTTTCACCAAATAATTTGTATTAGCAACAAATAATTTGTAGTTGTACCAAATAATTTGTATTTGCACCAAATAATTTGTATTAGTACCAAATAATTTGTATTTGCACCAAATAATTTGTTTTTCACCAAATAATTTGTATTAGCACCAAATAATTTGTATTTGCACCAAATAATTTGTATGAGTACCAAATAATTTGTATTTGTACCAAATAATTTGTATTAGTACCAAATAATTTGTATTTGCACCAAATAATTTGTATTAGTTCCAAATAATTTGTAGTTGTACCAAATAATTTGTATTTGCACCAAATAATTTGTTTTTCACCAAATAATTTGTATTAGCACCAAATAATTTGTATTTGCACCAAATAATTTGTATGAGTACCAAATAATTTGTATTTGTACCAAATAATTTGTATTAGTACCAAATAATTTGTATTTGCACCAAATAATTTGTATTAGTTCCAAATAATTTGTAGTTGTACCAAATAATTTGTATTTGCACCAAATAATTTGTATTAGCACCAAATAATTTGTATTTGCACCAAATAATTTGTATGAGTACCAAATAATTTGTATTTGTACCAAATAATTTGTATTAGTACCAAATAATTTGTATTTGCACCAAATAATTTGTATTAGTTCCAAATAATTTGTAGTTGTACCAAATAATTTGTATTTGCACCAAATAATTTGTTTTTCACCAAATAATTTGTATTAGCACCAAATAATTTGTATTTGCACCAAATAATTTGTATGAGTACCAAATAATTTGTATTTGTACCAAATAATTTGTATTAGTACCAAATAATTTGTATTTGCACCAAATAATTTGTATTAGTTCCAAATAATTTGTAGTTGTACCAAATAATTTGTATTTGCACCAAATAATTTGTTTTTCACCAAATAATTTGTATTAGCACCAAATAATTTGTATTTGCACCAAATAATTTGTATGAGTACCAAATAATTTGTATTTGTACCAAATAATTTGTATTAGTACCAAATAATTTGTATTAGTACCAAATAATTTGTAGTTGTACCAAATAATTTGTATTTGTACCAAATAATTTGTATTTGTACCAAATAATTTGTATTTGTACCAAATAATTTGTATTTGTACAAAATAATTTTTATTTGTACCAAATAATTTGTATTGGTACCAAATAGTTTTTATTTCAATCAAATATTTAAAAAAAAATAATTTTTTTATTTTGAAACAAATAAAATTTAATTGACAAAAATAAAAGTTATTAGATTGAAGGAAATATTTACTTGTTATTAGTCAAGTAACTGATTATTTGAAACAAATAATTTTTTTTTTCATTGCAATACGTTTTTTGACGTATAAATGTGTAATAATGTGAAATCGAAAATGAGATTGAAATCATCTACAATAATTTTGTCAAAAATGAAAATGAAAATAGAGTTCGTTGACGTTTGTATATATTTACAACGTTCACTTTCCTTTTGGAAATTAAAGAAAATCGATTAATCAGAAGGCAATCAAAGAAGTGTCGAGTTTGATTAATAATTTTCTTACATTAGGATGGGAAATATTAAATATTGTTTTTAATGTACATATTTAATGGCACGTAGTATTGTGTTCGTGAGTGAAGGGTAGTAGCTTCAGGACTACTAGACTGTGACTATATTTTCATTGGTGTAATGTTGGAAGAAAGTTGACGATTAACAATATGCAAGGTGTTTTATAGAGTAAAAATATATATTTCTATCGCGCGTTGAGATGGTGCAAAAGCATCATAAGCGTCACTAGGTCATACCCACCCATTCTCAATGTTCAATATTCGTCGTTATTCTTGCGGTTAGAAATTAACTGTTATGGTGGGAGATTCTAGAGCGTCAGTAGTCTTCTTTTTATCTTGTATAAAAGAGAAGATGCCTAGTCTTGGTTCCTGCAATATATCTGGATCACCCGAACGGGATACATTATTCGGTTATATATCTATTTATAAATATAGTGAAAAGTTTATATTTGTGTATTCAAATTTTTATTTATTTTTATCATGCGGCTTGCGGTAAGTTTTGTGTTAATATTATTGTGTTATTTATTTTTTTATCAAAAAAAAAAGAAACGGGAGTCAGTAAAGTAATTATTTTTAATTGTACAAAAATACTCTTTATTTATTAATATTTCATAATTTTTTAATTATAATATTATTGCAAATTATAATTATTATAAAATAACCAGAGAAATGTTTTATTTGAAACAAATATAATATTTCTATTTGTCTCAGAGCCTAATAAATTTTTTATTTGGCGTAAATAAAAATTTTATTTGTCATAATTAAAATTTTTATTTAAATTAAATAAAATTTATTTGCAAAAAAATCAATATTTATTTGAAACGAGTACAAATTTATTTGCAACAAATCAATATTTATTTGAAAGGAATAACAATTTATTTGCAACAAATAAATATTTATTTGAAACAAATACTAATTTATTTAGCTCTGAGACAAATATATTTATTTTTTCTCTAGGTGTAATTATTATAAATTATAATTATAATATTATATTTTGTAAATCGCCAAATTTTGAAAAATAAATTTTCTTTGCTTCGAATGAAAATTAAATTTTGTTAAAATTACATTTGTTTTTTTGTGTTAATTTTTTTTAGAATTATCAATTTCGAATGCTAAATTTGATTTCGGTACACTACAAAAAAATTTGTTTGATTCAAATCATCGATTACTTGACTATTATCAAATAAATATTTTTAAATAATTATTATTTAAGTCAATTATAAATTCTATTTGTTTCAAATACAAAAATTATTTATTCAAAGACATTTTAATTGATTTAAATAAAAATTATTCGCCAAAAAAAATATTTATTTGAAAATAGTAACCGATTATTTGAATCAAATAAATTTTTTTTTAATGTAATAAATATTTTTGTCTTAAACCAAGTCCACTTCTGGGCCGAAAGGCTGAAGCTTAATTAATAAATAATAAATATTTCGGTCTTTATGTAATATAAATAATTAATAACTTTTTTATTTTTTTATAAATTATTATAAATATTTTTTTTATTAATAAAAAATAAATTGAGAGTATCAATAAATTATTTATTTATTTATTTAAATAATAAATAGAAATATTAATAAAATATTAATTTTGCTTATTAATGCTTATAAAAAAGCATTTTAAATTTACTCTCTGAATCTAAATTAATAAAAACTTTAACTACTTTGAATTAGTAAATGACATTTTGCTTTAAAATTAGTAAAATTCTACTAATATTAAAAAGTTTTTTTTTACTAACTAATTAGTAAAATTTAACATTTTCAGAAAAAAAGCCGATTACTTTTTCAAATTAGTTAAAATTTTTTACTAATTCAGATTTAGAAAATATTTGGTTATCATTGTTTCTCATAAAGAAAAAGGATTTTAATATTAATTTCACTTTTCCAGATTTTCCTCGTTTTTCTATCAATAGCATGTAGTTTTCTGACAATTGCTGCAGAGTAAGTAAAAGAAAATTTTTTTTTAATTTTCCAGTTTTCGAAAGTTAAGGAAAAAAATTTTATAATTATTTTTGTTATTTATCCTCTGGTATAATTTATTTATATTGTATTTATATTATTTATAATAATTTATAAAAATTTATAAATTATTGAATTATTTTTTATTAGATATTATTTGATTTATTTATGTTAATTAAATTTATTGTTTTCAGGAGGAAGGTAATTTTTATGATACCACGTCACGTAAGAAGGAGTCCAGGTGCATCGTGGCACTCTCATATGAGACCGCCCCCATTAAGAAAATCCCATTATACAGCCGATGACAATTATCCACATCTTTATAATCGGCCAAATAGTATTATTTATGGAAAACCAGCATTTCGCCATGGAGGAAATTATTTACCTCATGGAGGCGATGATTTTGATCAAGATCACGAGGGAATTAATAATGTTGTCGTACCCCATGGAAAAGGCATAAGTCATGGGATTTCCTTTGGTCACGGATATATTCCATATGATAAAATTAAAGGCAATTATGTGCCTCTAAAGGAAGGGTAAACAAATTTATTTTTCTATTTTTATATTTATTAGCTGCTAAGGATTTACTTTTAATGCAATTTTTATTTTATACTTTTTGAATCTTAAAATTAATTTATTAAATGATTATAAGTGTTGATCATTAAATTAGAGAAAAATTCTGTCATTAGTTACGGTCTATTAATCATTGATATAGAGAAATTTTTTTTAAATTATTTTATTAGTTATTATTAATTATAATTAAATATTTTTCCATTTTTTTCAATTTTTTAAATTAAATAATAAATTTATTAACAATTAATTAATACAAAATTATAAAAAAACGTTTCAGTCAAATTTTTTATTAATAATAATTTAATTTATTAAATTTCTATTTAAATCACAATTTTAATTATTAAGTTTACTTTGAATATTTCCAATTTAATTGACTTTATTAACTTTCATTTCATTTCTATATAAAAAAAAGTATTTTATATATATTGAAAACGACGTAAAGATTCATTAGAATAGCTATAACTTTCGCTGTTTTAGAAAAAAAATATACTAGGCAATTTCACCTGTTTTAGGTGAATTTTTTGTTGCATATTTTTTATTTCTTTAATTAAATTTTTATTATTTGCATTGAGTTGCCTTTCATTTATTTACAATTATTATTTAAATAAAATGGTTCAAAAATATTTATTACATTAAATTTATTTTTTTATTGTTTTATTATTATTATTATTATTATTATTATTATTATTATTTAATATTTTATTAATATATTTTGATAAAATTTGTATTTAAAAATAGAAGATGTAAATAAAAATTTTTATCAAAAATTTTTAAAGAATTTTTAAAAATTGAAAAATTTGAGAAATTTAAATTCGAAAATTGATGAAAGTAACTTTAAAAGTTATTTTTCTTCTATTTTGTAGAAAGTATAAGATTCTGTGAATGATAAAATCATTGCAAAGATATAAAATTTCAATCAAATTAGACGTTTATTATAGTTATTGAAGCTTTAAACTAAACATCGATTGAAGAAATTGTATTTTATCGGAAAATTACATGTTTTGGTAACTTTTTTTTTAATATTTAAAATTACGAATTAAAATACGAAAATTATAAGTTTATAACACAGAAAATTGGAAAGTATTCAAAAAAGACTTAACACTCTTATTTTAATACTTAACAATTTTTTGTGATTATTAACACAATTATTTTTATTATAATTTTTTTTTTTTTTATTTATTTCACAATAAACGGGAATTTTTTTTATTATTATTTATTTCATAATTATAATAAATGATAATAATTATAATTAATAATAAATTAATTAATAATAGTAATAATAAATTAATAATAATAATTCATTAATAAATAATAATAATTATTATTATTATTATTAATAATTATTTATTTATTTATTTATTTATTAAGAGAATTATTAGCTAAATATTTTATATAATTTAAAAAAGAAAAACTTTATAAAAATTTGGAAAATACACAGAAAATTAAAAGGTATTAAAATAAGCTGCAACGCTTATTATTTTAATCCAATTTTGCTTATTTTAATCCATTTTGGTATTAAAATAAGCAAAATTGGATTAAAATAATAAGCGTTGCAGCTTATTTTAATGCCTTTTAATTTTCTGTGTAAATAAATTTTTTTTAGTAGGGTCTCATTATTAACGAAACATTAATTAATTTATTTATGAAATAAATAAAAAACAATAAAACTCGTTTTAATTGATTATAAATATTTAATTTATTAAATTTTGTCTTTAAAAAAAAGAAATTATTTTTTTTTTACAAAAAATATCTAATTTTTTTGATTTTATTTTTTAGTTTCGTGGAAAATCATTCTTCAAAGGATTCATCGGAGGATTCTGCATTTTCACCGATAGATCCAAGTCACGTTAGTTTAACAACAGAAAGTGACACAGATTCCTTTCTTCCCGGTCAAAGTGGATCCTATGATATTGAATTGAATGGAAAAACAATTGACGATCAAAGTAAACTTTTTAATTCACGATCATTGGCAAAAGCTTCTTATGGCGACAAACTTTCATTGGATAATGTAAATAGCGCCTCAGCTGGTGAGGAAAAATCAATTATTGCCAATGGTAGGTTTTTTCTATTATCAAAAAAATTTTTCTTAGTAATTATTTTTAGTAAGAAATTAAATTTTATTAATTTTTAATTTATTTTTTTTTACTTTAGTAATTTTTTGATTAAGATTTCGTTTACAAAGTAATTTTATTTTTTTAATTATAATTCTTTTTTATTTGCATTTAAAGTTGATAGAATTTAAAAGTAAATGCAAAAAATATTTTTTCACAACCGATTATTTTGAATATTGATAAAAATAAATAGAAGAAAATTTTAATTAGCTTTAAATCATTATTTAAAAAATTATTTTTCATTCCTTTATTAAATTTATAATTTTAATTTTCTAAATTAATTTTTTTTTATATACCTTAATAATTTTAATTTTTTCAGTTAAAATTATTATTATTATTATTTATTTTTTATTGTTTTGATTAATTGTTTTTTATATTTTCAGATTATTCAACATCATCACAAGTTTTAAAATCGGAGACAACGTCGAGTACGCCAATTTTTGTACCATCGCCAAAAATTGGAGGAAGCACGAGAGGAGTCGTGATTCGTGACAGTGTATCACTTGACGATTATAATAGAAAAGTTGAGGAATTCACAAAAACATGGCCGGGTGTTGTAAATATTCCTGGAATTCATGGAAGCAATATACAACATGTTGGACAAAATATTCAACAATTGCCAATATCATCATTTGCAGGATCAAGTTTTCCCGCTAGTTCATCATGGACATCATCATTGGCGGGTAATCAGGGCTATTCAGTAAGGGAGGATATTGTCGAACCCGAATATGATTTTCGAACAATGCCCATACAAAATAGTCCTGTTTATTCATTTCCCAATCCTGGCAGTGCAACTTTGCCTAATATTCAATCTTCGTATTCTTAATTATTTATTTTTTAGTTTTATCTAATTAATTATTTGAAAGAAACGGATTTTTTTGTCTTTTTTTATTTTTATTTATTTTTTTTTTGTTTCATCACTACTAAAGAGAAATTATTTTTTTTTTGTATGAAATATTTCAATGCCAAGAGAAAAAAATGATAAAATTATTAAGGAACAAAAGAAATAAAAAAAGAAATGAAAATTAGTTCAACTTGGAAATTTTTTTAAATAAAAAAAAAAAAATTTCGATTAAATAATTTTGGTGAAAGTGTAAATAATTTATTTTTTTAACATTTTTAATTTGTTGTAATTATTATTATTTTTATTATTTAATATTTGTTGTATTTTATAATAAAAATTAATATTTTCTTACAGTAGGAAACAATTAACATAACATAAACTAAAATTTGTCAATTTTTTTCCATTTTTTTACTGTGAGAAATTTTTAATTTTCATCTAAATCTAATTTTTAATCATCCGAATGAAAATAAAATTATTCACACTTTTACTGAAAAATTTTTTAATTAATTTTTTTTTTTTGTTTTAATACAAAAGTTAAATAGAAAAATAAATGCTTATTTATATTTTTATATTTTAAATTAATAATGTTAAGTTGAACTAATTTTTGTTTAGAGACTGTCCATCCAATTTTTTTTTTGAAAATAAAATTTAGAAATGTAAATTAATACTCCTAAAGTATTCGAAAAATGTAAAAAAAAAATTGAATATTCAAAATATTTTAAATTCGGAAATTTTTCAAAAATTTGAAATATTTGGAAAATGAAAATTAAATTAAAATTCCAATTTTTGGAAAATGAAAATTTTTTAAATATTGAAAGTATTTTTGCGAAAAAACTAAATTTTTTGCGTAAAATTAACAACAAAAAAAGAAAAAAATACTGTTTGGTTTAAAAATTTATTATTTATTCTTTTGTCTCCGAATGTTAAGAATCAAATAATTGTTTAACTTTGTTTAAAGAAAACAATATCGTTGTTTTGTAAATATATTCAACTTATTGTTTAGTTGTAAAAAAAACGTAAAATAAATCTAGAATTATAATACAAAATTTCTTTTTATATTTACTGAAAAAATTGTAAAAAAAAATTTTTTAATTCTTGATTTAATTTTTGAAATTCTTTAAAAAAAAAATGTTATACTTTTTTTTACATTTAATTGATAATTTGGAATTTATTATAAATTTTTTTCTAACTTAAAAAAAATTTTATTCGTAGAGAAAAATTTTTTTTTTACCAAATCAATTAATATTTTTTATAATAATTTCCTTGTAGCAGATAATTATAATTAGTTAATAATTATATGTATTTATATATATATGTTTGGTACGATATGTGATAATTAGAAATATTTTAATTGTAAGAGTAATTGAGTATTTGTTAAACCATTGACTGAGGAAATAAATCTTGTTCTATTTTTTGTTTATTTAGTTTTATTTAACACATTATTTATACATTAATTAATTTTTTTTTTATTTACAGTACATAAATTATAAATGTTATTTTATAATTACAATATCATATCTAAAAATAATAATATAATTATAATTTTAATAGTAATAATATTTATTATTATTTTTATTAATATTATTACTATTATTATTATTATTATTATTAAAATTATTATCTTCTTTTAGAATTCTAAAGAAAAATTAGTGCCCATTTTAACCCTTTTTGGTGTTTTAAATAAAAAAAAAGAAATTATTTTCATTAAAAGCTAAAAATAATTAATTAGATAATGTTAAATTAATAAACGAAACAATTGGCATTTTTCAATTAAAAACTTTCATTTATTTATAATTTAATTTTTTTTTACACATATAAATAAAATATAGACCCGTTATGAAAGTTGACGTTTGATTTTGTAAATAAAAATATGTATAAAATTCTAAAAGGAAAAATACGTATGCTAAAAAAAAATTAATTTAATATCCGATATAAATCAATTTCTATATATATAAAAAAAAAAAAATGATTTGCAGACAAGTTTATGGTCTCATAAATAGTTTATATTTTTGAATATGTGCAAAGTGGGCTATATAAATGATTGACAGTAAAAAAAAAATATATTATATATCTTGATTGCAATTTCACTATTGAGTGTGAATTTAATTTTTTTTTTTTTCGAGAAACCGGTTTTTGGATATTCGATGAGTTTTAGAATTTAATATATATATATAGAAATATACTCGTGAGAGTAATATAATAGTTGTTCTCATCGTCTCGAAAGATCATTGTTGAATGCCACGGTCATCCGATTCAACATCCCCCTTTATACTTTCACTCATATATAGATATATAATGAAAATTGCGAGCAAGTAACCGGTTAAGATATATACTTTGAAAGTCTAGAAAGTCTGTAACAAGAAAATCGTTTCGATTGCTTGCCCCGGTCCATTCAATCTGTTGTCGCTATTTTCAACTGAACTTGACATGTCTCTTTTCTCTCTTTCTTGATGGAAAAAACCAAATTTCACAAATTTTTATCTTGTTCCATTTTGATGCGATTTTTATGTTTATACACGAAACAAGGAAATTTATTGTAAAAAAAAAAAAATGTTTTCACTCGATTTCGAAAAAAAAAAAAATTTTGCGATAATTGACAAAAATTAATTAAGTTGAACATTAATTTTAATTAACTGATTTGTCAAAGTTTGCTTTTTTGGTTTTTTTTGTTTTGGAAATTAAATTTTTTAATATTTTATTGTATTTTTTATTTATTAAAGAATAATAGTAATAATAATTTTATTTACTATATTTACTATATAATTTTATTTATTTTTATTTATTTATGAATTTATCCATTAATATTCATTAGTACAGACAAACAATTATTGTTTAATTAAACAAATTATTAACATAAATTATAATTAATTATTTAAACAATTATTAACTATTGGGATCATGAGTCCGAAAAATAATTTTCAACGTTAAAAATTTGTTGTAAAAAAAATTTGTTGCAATCAAATTTGTTTAAACAATTTGTTATAAACAAATCAACAATTTTTTTAAACTAATAGCAATTTTACGGAAAAAATTACTATGAAAACATGTATATCTTTTGTTAAAAATTATATTGCTATATAAATTTTATAAACAATTATAATGTTTCAATACTAGTTTTATAATTGTTTATAACATATTTACAACAATGTAATTGAGAAAAAATCAAATACATGTTCCCGAAGTAATTTTCCACGTAATAGTTTTCCAAAAAAAAATTTACAATTTTAAAATTTACTACTATATTTGTTTAAAATAAATTATTTAAACAATTTGTTATAAACAAATAAACAATTTTTTTAAAACTAATAGCAATCCTACAGGAAAAATTAACTTTGACTTTTTTCTATATTTTTTTATAACAATTTGTTATAAATAAATTTTAATTTTTTTTAAACTATTAAAATGATTATTAAAATATTATTATAATATAAATAATAACTATTATTAACTATTAAAATAAATAAGTATAAATTTTTTTATATATTTGTTTATAACAATTTGTTATAAACAAATAAACAATTTTTTTAAAACTAATAGCAATCCTACAGGAAAAATTAACTTTAATTTTTTTCTATATTTTTTTATAACAATTTGTTATATATAAATTTTAATTTTTTTTAAACTATTTGTTATAAATAAATTTTAATTTTTTTTAAACTATTAAAATATCTATTAAAGTATTTTTATAATTATTATAATATAAATAATAACTATTATTAACTATTAAAATAAATAAGTATAACTTTTTTATATATTTGTTTATAACAATTTGTTTAAACAATTTGTTATAAATAAATTGTATTTTTTTTTCTATTAGCAATTCTACAGGAAAAATTACTATGGAAATATATCTGACTTTTTTAAAAATTACTGTTTAATTGTTATAAATAATTTTAATGATCCCGTTCTCTATAATAGTTTATATCATTTATACAATAATAAAGATTTTTAAAAAAAGTCGTCGTACATATTTTCGTAGTAATTTTTCTCTTAAAATTGTCAGTAGTTTTTTAAACAAAATTGCTAATTTGTTTATTTGTTTATAACAAATTGTTTAAATAATTTTTTTTGCAAAAAAAAAATTCTAGGAATATTTCTAGGACTCATACTAGAAAACCAATAGTTAATTTTGCGTTATTAATTAATAATTAATTATTTATTATTTAATAATTAATTATATATTATTTAACGAGTGGAGATTTTTATTTTTTTTTGTTTTTTCTTTTGTAAATTTATTTATTTTTTATATAAATTTTTTTTTTAAATATATATATATATATTTGAGTTCCTGTTTTCCTTTATCTATTTTTTTTCTGTCTGTGAGATCCGGATCCACCTTTCTGAGATTTACCAGATTCCTCGTTAATTTACAGCGGCATTATAGTCTACCCGACTTTCACTGTAAATCTCCATTATTACTTTCATAAATTCGTAATTGATAATATTTCCCTATCAAACCATATAGTATAATTAAATGAGTATAGGAAATTCGAAAAAAATGTTAAATTCGCCATACATAACTATTTTGATATGTAAAAGAAAAAAAAATGATTTAATCTTATAAGGAACTTAACGATATTAAAAGGAAAATCATACCATTAAGTGGTTTGATCAAATTAATTTTTTGTTGTTTTTTTAAATTTTATTTTATTAGTCCAACAGTAAAAACCAATAATCAATGATAATTAGGAAAAATTTATATATTTTTTTTTATAAATCTACATTCTTTTTTCATAATAAAATAAAAAGAAAATTAAGAAAAATTTAAAAGAAAAGAAAATTGGGGAATTAAATAATTTATAAAAAATTTAAATAAAAATAATAACCGTTAAATAAAGCGATAATATGATTGATGCAAAAAAAAAAAAAATTAGTATATTTATAATATTATAAAATGGAGCAGAAAATATAAAATTAAATAATGTGTTAAAAAAAAAGTTTACAAAACTATATAATTTGAAAATAAGTGTAGAAATCCATTATTTTCGTAATTGTATAGTCTTAAAAGTAGATATAATAAAAAGTCAATATAAATTTATCGGAATATTTTGTGTATACAAAGAAAAGTGATTCTGTGCGTGTGAACTTTTGCCTCTTCTTTATATACTTTCTCCTTTGATGCTAATTTTATTATACACCACTCTTACTGACGCTTTTTTTTTATTGTGAATTTTTTTTTCTGAT